GTGCTGCTCCAGCAGAGTGAGCGCTCCTCTCGATTGCGCTCCTCTCGATTGTGCGCATTGCAGCAGAGTGAGCTCTCCTCTCGAATGCTCTGATCTCAGTTGCGCTCCTGTCGATTGCTCTGCTCTCAATTGCGCTCCTCTCTCTTGCTCTGCTCTCTCTTGCACTCCTGTCGATTGCGCTCCTCTCTGTTGCTCATCTCTCGATTGCGCTCCTGTCGACTGTGCTTTTGTCGATTGCACTCCTCTTGATTGCGCTCCTGTCGATTGCGCTCCTGTCGATTGCGCTGCTACAGCAGAGTGAGCGCTCCTCTCTCTTGCACTCCTCTCTCTTGCGCTACTGTCGATTGCTCTCCTCTCTCCTGCTCTGCTCTCGATAGAGCTCCTGTCGATTGCACTCCTCTCTGCTGCTCTTCTCTCGATTGCACTCCTCTCTCTTGCGCTCCTGTCGGTAGAGCTCCTCTCTCCTGCGCTCCTGTCGATAGCTCTGCTCTCTTTGCTCTGCACTCGATTGCGCTGCTCCAGCAGAGTGTTAGCTGCTTCGAATTGCGCTCCTGTCGATTGCGCTCCTCTCGATTGCGCTCCTCTCGATTGCACTCGTCTTGGTTGTGCTCCTGTCGATTGTGCTCCTGTCGAATGCGCTGCTCTCTCCTGCTCTGCTCTCGAGTGAGCTCCTGTCGATTGTGGTCCTCTTGGTTGCGCTCCTCTTGGTTGCGCTCCTCTAGATTGTGCTGCTGCAGCAGAGTGAGCGCTCCAGTCGATTGAGCTCCTGTCGATTGTGCTCTTGTCGAATGAGCTCCTGTCGATTGCTCTGCTCTCAATTGAGTTCCTGTCAATTGCGCTCCTGTCGATAGACCTCCTGTCGATTGCGCTCCTGTCGATTGCGCTCCTGTCGATTGTGCTGCTCTTGATTGAGCTCCACTCCATTGCACTCCTCTTAATTGCACTCCTCTTAATTGCACTCCTCTTCATTGCCATCCTCTCTCTTGCGCTCCTGTCGATTGCACTCCTCTCTGCTGCTCATCTCTCGATTGCGCTCCTGTCAATTGAGCTCCTCTGAAATGACCTCCTGTCGATTGCACTCCGCTCTGATGCTCTGCTCTCGATTGCACTCCTCACTCTTGCTCTGCTCTCGATTGCGCTCCTCACTCTTGCTCTGCTCTCGATTGCGCTCCTCTCTCTTGCGCTCCTGTCCAATGTGCTCCTCTTGATTGCGCTCCTTTCGATTGCGCTTCTATCGATTGCACTTCTGTCAATTGCGCTCTTGTCGATAGAACTCTTCTCTCCTGCTCTGTGCTCGATTGCGCTCCTGTCAATTGAGCTCCTCTCGATTGCCCTCCTCTTGATTGAGCTCCTGTCGATAGAGCTCCTCTCTCTCGCTCTTCTCTCGATTGTGCTGCTCCAGCATAGTGTTCGCTGCTTCGAATTGCGCTCCTCTCGTTTGCGCTCCTGTCGATTGTGTTGCTCCAGCAGAATGAGCGGTCCTGTCGATTGCTCTGCTCTCAGTTGCGCTCCTGTCGATTGAGCTCCTCTCTCCTGTTCTGCTCTCTCTTGCGCTCCTCTCCATTGCACTCCTCTTGATTGCGCTCCGCTTGATTGCGCTCCTCTCTGCTGCTCTTCTCTCGATTGCACTCCTCTTGATTGTGCTCCTGTCGATTGAGCTGCTGTTGATTGCACTTTTGTCGATTGTGCTCCTGTCAATTGCGTTCGTCTTGATTGTGCTCATGTCGATTGTGCTGCTCCAGCAGAGTGAGCGCTCCTCTCGATTGCGCTCCTCTCGATTGCGCTCCTCTCGATTGCGCTCCTCTCAATTGCGCTGCTCTCAATTGTGCTGCTCCGACAGAGTGTGCGCTGTCCAGCAGTTTGCTGATGAGATTGCGCTTCTCAGATTGCGTTGCTCCAGCTGTGCGTTGCTCTTGAGCTGTGTGTTGCTCTTGAGCTGTGCGTTGCTCTCGAACAGTGCGTTGCTCTCGAGCTGTGCGCTGCTCAGATTGCGTTGCTCCAGCAGAGTGTGCGTTGCTCTAGCTGTGAGTGCGTTGCTCCAGCTGTGCGTTGCTCAATTTGCGCTGCTCCAGCGAAAATAAATTTGTTTGCGTTGCAGCACTTGAGCAGTGTAAATTTCGAGTGTGTTGGGGGTCAACGCAGTCGCGTGAATTTCGAATTTGGCGGAGCGCAATTGTGCGTTGCCCGCAAGCAAGACACACCGGCTAGGGCTAGGGCTAGGCTGTCATGTTGGGCCACCAATAATGCCTTTGGGCTGCTTTGGTGGTGGCTTCTCGACCCACATGACCGGCTGTTATGCCATCATGACATTGAGCCATGACCATGAATTGTAGATGCTCAACAGAAAGGGATTGGCCATCTACCTCCCAAGCACTTCATGACCCATGGTCATTGGTTCTTCCTGGCATGGTTACCTTTGGTATAACCAACCTTCCGCCACTATGCCATAAGCCATCTTTGATCTTGAACAGCTTCTTGACATGTATTTCCTGTAGCTCCAGGTCCAAGGGCTGAAAGATCTTGGTAAGGTCTTTGAGTCCTTTCGTTGCTATGGTCTCCATGGTGAGCGTGGGAGCCATTAATACTGCATTGTCATCTAGGCCCATTGGTATGGCCAATTCCGCTGAGGTCAGTAGTACCATGCTTGTTACTACATTTCCTGCTGAATTTTGCTGTAGTGCACTTCCTATAGTGATGTTGTTTTCAACCTTTTTGAACACTCGGGGAGGCAACAATTGCCATACATTGTGCTTTTGCTCCTCACCGATTGGTTGCATGTCAGCTCGTCTGGTGAGAGCATTGGGTTCACCACCCTTGTCTCCTGGTCAGTATTGTAGCATGAAGTCGAAATCAGCTAGCAATACTGCCCATCTCGCTTGTTGTCCTGTGATGCAGCATTGCGACTTGAAGTACTTGAGTGCCTCGTGATCTGTGAGGATGACTAACTGACTTGGCAATCCCGCTAGCATGTGGTGCCACTGAGTAAGACAGGCAACCACTGTGAGGAGCTCCTTGTCGTGATTCTCGTAGTTCTTTTCCGCAGATGACATCTTCCGGGAATAGAAAGCCACAGGGTGCCAATGTCCTTCATGCTCCTGTTTGAGCACACCAGCGATGGCGAAGTCACTTGCATCAGTTTCCAACCTTGTTGGCAGGTGGTAATCGAAGTGCCAAAGCACTCCTGCCATTGTGAATGCTTGTATGAGCTTGTGGAAAGCCTGTTGAGCTTCTTCCAGCAGCTCAAACTTCTTGAGACGTTCTGTAGGTTTGACCAGAGATGTCAATGGTTTGGCAATTTGAGAGAAGTGTGCTATGAATCATTGATAGAAGTTGGCGAAGCCTAGGAATCATTGGATGTCATGTATTGATTCTGGCATTGGCCATTCCTTGATGGTTCATGTCATGGGCCTGGATGCTCAAGAAGCAGGAGGGTCACTGGTTCATATGGATGGAGCACAGGTATCGAAGACCTAGTCGATACCAGTAGAGAGCATGGTCGTAGTGCAGTCTCCATGGAGACCATGGACTTCTATGGATTCACATGCAAAGGAGCACTGAGCCCATATGCGAGGAGGACCAGGCACAGCCACGAGGAGGACCAAGCTCAAAGAGCAGGCGCAGCCATGAGGAGGACCAAGCTCAGATGGTTACCACTCAGGGGCTCGAGAGACAGGAAGTCGACACAGGTCATGAGGAGGAGGAGCAGTGTCGAAGGAGTCGACACAGGTCATGAGGAGGAGGAGCAGTGTCGAAGGAGTCGACACAGGTCATGAGGAGGAGGAGCAGTGTCGAAGGAGTCGACACAGGTCATGAGGAGGAGGAGCAGTGTCGAAGGAGTCGACACCACTCAAGAGGCACAGGGGTGCCAAGCAGGAGAGGCCCCTGAGCAGTACTCGATGAAGAAAGTACTCTCTGGAGAGAGAGCAGGAGCAGCATCGCTGGCGATGCTGTGAAGAGGTATATAACCATGCTTTCTCATCATCATAGGTCGAGTGGATCCCCATCCACTCTACTCACCATACAACTAGTCAATACTTTAGAAACACAAGTACTCATTAGTTACAGTCAGCATAGCAGCAATCTATCAAGGTTGCTCCTCATCGTAGTGTGTGTGTTGTATCACCACTACCTGACGTCCGAAGGCGCCCATAGCAGGTTAGCGGTCCGGATATAGATAGAACCGAAGGCAGTAGTCCACTGCGGTCCGGGGATCACTTCAAAGCATCAAGTCAACACACTGGACACTCGTGTTGACGCCACCAACCTTATCACCAACACCATCAACCTCATTATCATTGACATCACCAATCTTATCATCAACACCATCAACCTCATTATCATCGACATCACCAATCTCATCACCAACACCATCAACCTCATCATCATCAACACCCACACCAGACCTTGGTGTCATCATAACATTGATATTGATCGTGCCGAGCTACCCCTGAACGGAGTGTCCACAGAGGTCAGCCGAAACCTACGATAGTATATACAACGAACGCCACCTGCTGTCACTGCACAACTTGATAGTCACCGATACCGAGACAATAGCTGTCACACAGTTTAATAGTCACCGAGTATCTCGACAGACCGACCTGGGTTTCAGGCGCGAGACCCCTGACAGTTCAGACCTTCTCTGGGTCCATCTCAATCCTGGTCAGTTTGATGATGTACCCCAAGAACTCAACTGTAGTGATGTGAAACTCACACTTTGACAGCTTGGCGAACAGTCGATTGCTTCTTAATCGAGTGAGCACTTCCATGACATGTTGGACATGTTCCCCCTCTGTGCTACTGAAGATGAGGAAGTCATCCAGGTACACAACCACAAACACTCCAATGATGTCTTGGAAGATGTGATTGATGAAGGACTGGAAATGGGCCAGCACATTCGCCAGGCCAAAGGGCATCACCAGGTACTCATAGAGTCCCAACTGTGTGCCAAACGCAGTCTTCCATTCATCCCCTTTTGCAATGCGGATGAGATTGTATGCTGCTCACAGATCTAACTTGGTGTAGATCTTTGCATTCTGGAGCAGGAAAAGCTGCTCCTCAATGAGGGGCAGCAGTGCCCGATTCTTGAGGGTGATTTCATTCAGGCCACAGTAGTCCACACATAGCCTGAGGCCTCCATCCTTCTTGGGCACAAAGAGCACCAGAGATCTTGCTGGGCTCTTTGAGGGGCATATGAACCCTTTTGCAAGGTTCTCATCGAGATACTTCCTTAGTTCAGCCATTTCCTTCGGCCCCTTGAGGTATAGTGGGCCCTGTGGCGGCCTACTGTCTTCCATTAGTTCCAGATGGAGATCATGCTCCATATGGTGGGGCAGCTTATCTGCTTCCACCTCATCAAACACATCCTGCAACCGTCGATATGGTTCTGGTATATCTTCTGCCGATACCTTCCGATCAACCTCTACTTCCATTTCTATGCCCTTGTCAGTGCCAGTGGGTACAAACCTGAAGGCCGGGAGCAACGAGGGTGGGAGGTCCAGGAGCATGAACCCAATGGGTCCATCCTCCAGGGCAGCTTGTATCAGGCTTGCCACTGAAACAAACTCATTTCCATGAATGGTCAGATGTTTCGGTTTCTCATCATAGAGGCGTGTTACCACTGATCCGGCTGAATTCGGTGATAGACTGTCTTCTATAGCGGGCTCTTGTTTTAACTCGCTAGCTATAACATCTTTCACCAAATTCGGTAATAAGTTGCTTCTTATGACAGATTTCACTGAGTTCATGTGTAATTCCCCAGGTACAGCTTCTTCAGGGGGCTGTTTTGGGGGTCAGTCCTCATCCTGGGTCCAGAACTCCAGTTGGCCCATCTCCCACCATATGGTGGGTTTGAGCCTTCTTAGCTCGGTGAAGCCCAAGATAAGGTCATAGTCAGCAGTATCGGCCACCGAGGCTTCGACTACTCTGAGACTGTGCTTGCCAATAGCAACTTGAATGCTAGCTGAACTGTTTATGGCAAGCTGGTGCCTGGTGACACCATGGACAGTTCTTGTTTTTGTAGGTTTTGTGGGTATGTGGTACTTACTAACAAAGGAATCTGAAACTATTGACAGTCCAGCACTGGTGTCGGCAAGTATTCGAGCCGGATGGTCTTGAACTGTTCTGGAGAGCTCTAGTACTGCCATTCCTCCGCTGGTAGAGAAGCATATGGGGCAATCTTGATATATACATAAGGATGGCGAGGAGGTTTGCAGAGCAATGCATGCCATCAGTGCATCACCCCACTGCCGTTTCCCTCATCGGCATCCTCTTGGACCTCTTCCTGGCCAGCCTCCATTGATGGTTGATACTGGCTGAAGTCGAGGACATCGGGGTCGACCGTTTCTAGGTCATCTGTCTGGTTATCCCCTGGGTCCAGGTCTCCTTCTTCAAAGGAGGTTTCTGTGGTTACCATTACCTTCGGGCCCATGGGTCGGGGCCCCAAGGCATCCAACTTCTTGCTTGGGCAATCTCTGGCCCAATGGCTGAGCCCCTTGCACAGGTGACAGGTGTTGCTGCTTGGTAATGCAGGGCTTCCTTGTCTCGGACCCTGAACCGATTGATGGGGTAACAGCTGATTGGTTGGTCGGCTAAAGTTCCCTATTGTTGTTTGTGCCGGCGGTCAGGAATAGGTCTGTGTCGGTTGCCGCGCAGGGAATGGACCTTGAGCCAGTGGTGTAGGTCAGCCTCCAGGGTTTGGTCATGATGGAGCGGCGCTTGGGTGCTGGGCCAAGGACTGCTGTAACAACATCCTTTGCCAGTCGATCTCTTCGACCTCTCAATACCATTCCCACCTCTTTAAAGGTGGGTTCCGCTCAAACTTCTCCTGCAGGCTGCACATGAGACTTCCCCTAAACAAGTCAATAACTAGTTCATTGTCATCTAGATTGACTTGTCCTTCTAAGTCTCTGAATTGTTCGACGTGGCGTGTGGCTGCACCTGGTGCATTGCTCGTGAGCCAGAGAGCCAGAAGTTTGTTATAGGCCTCCATTCTGGCGTTCCGAGGATTGAACTGTTCCATCAGGCACTCAGTGAAGTAGTGCCAATCATTGAACAGTCTTCCTTCTTGGCCTCTGTCGATGCGAAGCTTGGAAGTCCACCATTCACGAGCGTTCCCTTCCAATTGAGCACCCATATGATTGATCATCCTTGCCTGCTCATAGACCTGGTTGAATTTGAACCATGCCTCAGCCTCAAGGATGAAAATCTCAACATCTCTAGGATTAAACTTGGGGAATGGGGTGGCGACCGGCTTGGAGCACAAGAGACTGGGGTCTCTGGCAGTGCTTGTATCATCCTCTTGGTCGAAACCATGAGGTTCTGCCCTTGGCTGGCTGTACGGCTCCACATGGGGCCTGAAGTATCTGGGCCCAGTGGGTGAGGCATACTTGTCATAGTTGTCGACCGGCAGTTTGCTCGGTCCCACGAATGATACCACCTGCCTTGGATGCGATGCTGGGGACGGTGTGGGAGGGTCTCCCATCATGTCTTCCCTAGCCCTTTGATCCTCTGGGTGGGAGGGCTCGATCGTCTCCTCTCCACTCAGACAAGCACAGCATAGATGCTCTTCGCGCTGCCCTTGCCTGGTAAGCTCCAACTGGGCTTCCATTAAGGAGAGTAGCCTCTCGAGCTTATCATTGAGGCTTTTGTCCGTCATGTTGATCGTGGGGTGCTGCTTGAACGATCCACTCTAATGTCAGCAGTTGCATGCCTGAAACCTGAGATCAGTAGTAGTATCAGTACTATCACCGATCCTGTCAATTTATGCGACAGTGCTAGTGGTATTACGATTCCTAGTGTAATATGCAACAGAACCGTCTCTGCTGCTTTTCTCGTTGGAATCTGTAGTTGTATTGATGTTGTGACAGATTTCGACTGACCACCGTGGACACTCTGTCCAGAGGTAGCTCAGCACGATCAAACTATGATATGACTCTAAGTGAACTTGATGTTGTCACCAATGGTCTGGTGTGAGTATGGATTGATGATGCCGACATGAGTGTCCAGTGTGTCGACTAATGCTTGAAGTGATCCCCAGACCACAGTGGACAACTGCCTTCGGTTCTATCTTAATCTGGACCGCTGGTTTGCTAAGAACTGCCTTCAGACGTCAGGAAACGGTGATACAACACATGCACTTCGATGAGGAGCAATCTATTGATTACTACTATACTGACTATAAACTCATGATACTTATGCTTAAAGTAATACTAGTTTGTTTGATGAGTGTAGAGTGGATGAGGATCCACTTGACCACTTAGTGACAAGAAGGTATGGCTTTATACCTCTTCACAGTGCTGCCAGTGCCACTGCTCCAACTCTCTCTCCAGAGAGTACCTCCTTCATCGAGTGCTATGCAGGAGTCCCTGTAACCCTACTCCTGTCCCTCTTGAGCTGCATGGCGACCTCCTCGACACAGCTCTTCTTCCTCATGAACTATATGCTGGTGTCCTTGACACAGTTCTCCTTCCTCCTAACTGGCGACTGTTCTCTTGACTCCTATCTTGTGAACCCCTGAGTGGTAACCAGCTGCAATCTACTGAGCTCGGTCCCCATCTTGGCAGAGCTTGGTCCTCTGCATGTGTGGATTCATTGTATGAACATCCTTGTCACTGATCTCTGCAGAATCTACTATACAACCTCTCCTACTACTGATCTCATCAGAATTCGTGATATCATCCTTGTTCGTACCGATCTCACTGAGATCTGTCATAGAGCCAATTCTACTGCAGATCTCGGCAACTTCTGCCACAAATCCTACGATCCGCCTGATCCCCTGATTCCTGTGCTCCCTTCATATGAGCTAGCAGTTCTCCCTGCTTCCTGCACACTCAGGCCCATGACAACTGGCAGGAACAACATGGGGACATGTCACCCCCTTTGAGCTCTTCTATGGGAAACATCCTGAGCTATGCCAGATCCAGCATTTCAGCTGCATAGTGTACATCATCCTCAGAGGAAACACTTGCATGACATGGTTGTGAAAACACCTGATAGTTAGTAAGCACCTCTGCCCACAAGCTCTCTGTGGAGTCTACTTGGGGTTCTCAGATGCTCCACATGCAGTCAAGGGCCACCAGGTATGGCTTCCAGAACTAGACCACATCATTGTTTCAAAGGACATACAGTTCTCAGAACTCGAGCAACTGGAACCCAGAGCCACTCCAGCTCATCCACCAGTTCTTGCCAGGAACAGTGAGCTCCTATGGTCATACACATGGCTCCCTCACAGCAATGACCATGTTCAGGAGGAACCCAACAATGATGCAACACAGTATCTGCCATCTTACTCCTGCCAGAGGAACTCAAGCTCATGTTCAGTCTCACCAAATGCACCAAGCTACAACCAGGAATGGGATCATATGATGGCTGAGATTGAGGCAGCAGGTGAGGTTGTGGTGGACCTCGATGTGATTGCTGTTGACCTGGAAGCCGAACTTGATGCCACTCTGTCTGAGGGGGGGAACAGTTTGTTGAGCCAAGACCAGGTACTCCAGAATGATCCAGAAACCGTGTCTCTACTCAGAATGCCAGGCAGCAACATAATGACAGACATATATGATGATGTCTCCATACTTGGGCCCACTCCTGCTGAGACACTGACTCAACCCAGTTTTCTGGCCTTTGTGGCAACATGTTCAGGAACTCAGGTGTCAGGGGTCTCGCACCTGAAACCCAGGTCGGTCTGTCGAGATACTCGGTGACTATCAAACTGTGCGACAGCTATTGTCTCGGTATTGGTGACTATCAAGTTGCGCAGTGACAGCAGGTGGTGTTCATTGTATATACTATCATAGGTTTCAGCTGACCTCTGTGGACACTCCATTCAGGGGTAGCTCGGCATGATCAATGTCAATGCTATGATGACACCAAGGTCTGGTGTGAGTGTTGATGATGATGAGGTTGATGATGTTGGTGATAAGGTTGGTGGGTGTTGATGATAATGAGGTTGATGGTGTTGGTGATAAGGTTGGTGGCATCAACACAAGTGTCCAGTGTGTTGACTTGATGCTTGAAGTGATCCCCGGACTGCAGTGGACTACTGCCTTCGGTTCTATCTTGATCCAGACTGCTAACCTGCTATGGGCACCTTCAGACATCAGGTAGTGGTGATACAACACACACACTATGATGAGGAGCAACCTTGATAGATTGCTGCTATGCTGACTGAAACTAATATATACTTATGCTGAAGTGATAACTAGTTATGGTGAGTAGAGTGGATGAGGATCCACTCGACCTATGATGATGAGAAAGCATGGTTATATACCTCTTCACAGCATCGCCAGCGATGCTGCTCCTGCTCTCTCTCCAGAGAGTACCTTCTTCATCGAGTACTGCTCAGGGACCTCTCCTGCTTGGCACCCCTGTGCCTCTTGAGTGGTGTCGACTCCTTCGACACTGCTCCTCCTCCTTGCTATCTTGCTGCTTGTTTGGCGCCCCTGTGCCTCCTGAACGGTGTCGACTCCTTTGACACTGCTCCTTCTCCTTTGATCAGTGACAGTTCCTTTGGCTCTTGTCTCTCGAGCCCCTGAGTGGTAACCATCTGCATGCTCCTTGAGCTTGGTCCTCTTCGTGGCTGTGCCTGCTCCTTGAGCTTGGTCCTCCTCGTGGCTGTGCTTGGCCCTCCTCGCATATGGCTCGGTCCTCCTTTGCATGTGAGTCTGTAGAAGTCCATGGTCTCCATGGAGACTGCACTACGACCATGCTCTCTACTGGTATCGACTAGATCTTCGATACCTGTGCTCCTTCCATATGAACCAGTGACCCTCCTGCTTCTTGAGCATCCAGGCCCATGACACTCTCCTTCTGTCTGATGTGTGTTGCCCCCTTTCGGCACGGCCCCCTTTCGACTTAATCTTGTGAATCCCCTTTTGAACCTCGTGACCATACCCCCTGGTCATGTGGTCACATTGGCTCAGTTCCATCTCGACTTGTTCAGATCAGCCGACTAGTTGAAGCGTGCTGATTCGACTGACTCCGACGTTGGCACAGCTCCGAATACTTGCTTGGATCGGCTGACTAGTTGAAGCATGCTGATCCAACTGATTCTGACATCGGCACAGCTCCGAATACCTGTTCGGATCGGCCAATTAGTTGAGGTGTGCTGATCTGACTGCCTCTGTCGTCGGCATAGCTCTGAGTACTTGTTCAGATTGGCTGACTCGTTGAAGCGTACTGGTCTGGCTGACTCCAACCAATCCCATGAGATCGATCTGGATTCCCGGGGTTTGATTGATCTCGTAAATCATGTGTGCTGCCAACCCGATTAATCTCATTGATCCCCGATGGTTGTCGACTCTGATCAATCTGGCACACCCTTCATATGTTGATCTTCTGCACACTCTTCATATACTGCTCCGTTACGCGACATTATCAACTGCTGCTGATCATTTGGCGCACTCCCTTGCGCAGGCCAGCCGTCCCTGTGACAAGGAGCAGTGTCGAAGGAGTCGACACCACTCAGGGGGCACAGGGGTGCCAAACAAGCAGCAGGATAGCAAGGAGGAGGAGCAGTGTCGAAGGAGTCGACACAGCTCAAGAGACACAGGGGTGCCAAGCAAGAGGAGAGGCCTCCTGAACAGTACTCGATGAAGAAGGTACTCTCTGGAGAGTGAGAGCAGGAGCAGCGTCGCTGGCGATGCTGTGAAGAGGTATATAACCATGCTTTCTCATCATCAAAGGTCGAGTGGATCCTCATCCACTCTACTCACCATACAACTAGTCAATACTTTAGAAACATAAGTACTCATTAGTTTTCAGTCAGCATAGCAGCAATCTATCAAGGTTGCTCCTCATCATAGTGTGTGTGTTGTATCACCACTACCTGACATCCGAAGGTGCCTTATAGCAGGTTAGCAGTCCGGATCAAGATAGAACCGAAGGCAGTAGTCCACTGCGGTCCGGGGATCACTTCAAGCATCAAGTCAACACACTGGACACTCGTGTTGATGCCACCAACCTCATCACCAACACCATCAACCTCATTATCATTGACATTCACCAACCTTATCACCAACACCACCAACCTCATCATCATCAACACTCACACCAGACCTTGGTGTCATCATAATCTACACATTGATATTGATTGTGCTGAGCTACCCCTGAATGGAGTGTCCACAGAGGTCAGCCGAAACCTACAATAGTATATACAATGAACACCACCTGCTGTCACTGTGCAACTTGATAGTCACCAAACAACTAGCTCGTCGAGACAGATACCAAGACAATAGCTGTCACACAGTTTGATAGTCACCAAGTACCTCGACAGACCGACCTGGGTTTCAGGCGCGAGACCCCTGACACACGTCCTCTGGCTCTGATGCCTGTGCCTGTGCCTGTGCCTCTGCCTCGGCCATCACATAGTCCAAGTTATCCTCCACAAGTGCTAGAGGCAATTCCTCTGAGTCTGCCACACTAGGCTCAGCCTCTGGAATTGAATTCAAATTTGAATTCTCCTCTGCAAGGATGGCAGGATCCAACACATCCAGGAAAGATTCACACTGCATGTCTGCTGCAGGCCCAGGCTCTGGACTTACCACATCATGAGATTGCTGAGTTGAAATTGCAGGCATAGGTTCCACCTGAGTCTGCTGTGTGTTCTCACCTTGGCATTTGCAGATGCTTTGGTGTTTGCGTAGTGCTGCCACATTCATGACCACCTGTCCACAAAAGCATGCAACAAGTCCAACAGCAGCCACAGCATCCTGACTGACTGCAATGCCCTTGTGCACCTTATGCAAATGGTTGGTGATGTTGCTTTCAGCATAAGCATAGCTGCACACCAGACAGGTGATTGGTGGCATGGCTGGAATAGTAGTTGACAAGTGTGTGGTAGACCGTGTTCCTGTGTTGCTGCAACATCAAATTAGAATTGGACTGTCTTCCAGACTGTAGTTGACTGTCTTCCATTTCAATTGGACCATCTTTGATCTGTAGCTGACCATCTTTGATCTGTAGCTGACTGTCTTCCCAGCTCAGCACACACAGAAAATCAACTTTGTATTGGACCATCTTCCCAGCTCAGTGCACACAGAAAATCAACTTTGTATTGGACCTTTGAAATGGACCGTCTTGAATTTTGAAGTGGACCATCTTGAATTTTGAAGTGGACTGTCTTGATATTTGAAATGGACTGTCTTGAATTTTGAAGTGGACCATCTTCCAGGAGGGCAAGATGCGTCTGCCCCAAGGCCTGAATTTTGTATTGGACCGTCTTGATATTTGAAATGGACTGTCTTGAATTTTGTATTGGACCGTCTTGAATTTTGTATTGGACCATCTTGAATTTTGTATTGGACTTTCTTGAATTTTGAAATGGACCATCTTCAAAATTAAATTGGACCATCTTCGAGGAGCACAAGATGTGTCTGCCCCATGGCCAGACACCCTTAGAACCCTAACCCTCCTAACCCCATGGTCTCCATGGAGACTGCACTACGACCATGCTCTCTACTGGTATCGACTAGATCTCCAATACCTGTGCTCCTTCCATATGAACCAGTGACCCTCCTGCTTCTTGAGCATTCAGGCCCATGACACCAAGTTACCCTCTGCATTTGCATGTGTGCTGGACTGCAAAATTTTTCAATGGGTGGAATTCCTATGTTGTCCCATCTCCCTCAACTCACAGTGTTGAAGCTATTGAGCAAAAACACTATACTATATTGACCTGGGGAAAGAATAGTGGGTTTCAGCTTTTTTTTTTTTTTTTTTTTTTTTTTTTTTTTTTTTTTTTTTTTTTTTTTTTTTTTTGTTTTTTTGGAAACTCGTGTTTTTTTTTGAGTTTTCACTTGTGTCAAATATTCATTTCTTACATAAGCTCTTCAATTTTGGAAAATACTCTAATTTTTGAAAACACTGCTTCAGCTGGACAGTTGCAGCAGAGTTTTCAGAATTGGACCTGTGTCTTCACTCATGTGATGTTGCACATGATGTTGCATGTAATGTGGCATGTGATGTACTCATGCAAATGCCTCCTCTTTTTCTGCACAGCTTGTTTTGCATGAACCCACAGTGTCAATAATGACTGTATCTACTTTGATTGTGCAACAAGAGTGTCAAAGATGGTGGAGCTACAAGGTGGTTGGGATTCCAGAACAGGTGGTTTGGATTTTGGAACTGCTTCATTTTCCAGCCAACAATACCCTAACTCTTGGTCTAAAAACACAGCTTACATTTGGGGGCATCAATTTTCTGGCCTTTTTTCACTATTCAAAGACTCTAGTTTTCGAGGGCAAAAATAAAATGAAACCCCCTAATGTGGTTGGAGCCTCGAGCTCGCTGCTTGATATATATACAAAGTGTCGGCATATGCCAAAGGTGGGAGCATTCCCCTTAATGACCAAGTATGACAACAAGTGGGACACCGTTGTACGCGATCCCTCACTTGTATCGGCTTTGCCCGATTCCCGATCAGATCAGTTCTGCCCGATCCCCTATCAAATCGGATCTATATCATACTTTAGCGTCTTGCTGGATGGTAATCTTCAGCAGCATCTAGACCGGTTGCAGCTGCCGTCTTGAGCCAGCTGAGTGGCAAGAGCCATGCGCCTCCAACGCCCCGCTTGGCGGTCAGGATGTGCAGGACGTCGTGTTGCTCTGCATCTCCTTCTCACGGGAGGGGTGCGTATGAGGCGTGATTGCACAACTGCTTTCTCAGGAAGAGACCTGTTGTTCGTCTCTGCACTGTGCAAGCCTGCTAGCCTCGACCTGGCACCATGTGAGGCCTTGGAGTAGCAGCATCGCTCCCCTTTGTGTGCCACTGGTGCCGGGCATTGGAACTCCTCACCTTTGGCGGTGAGAAGATGGTTCGATCTCGCAGGTCACCCTTGCCCTCTCTTTGTCGCCGATGAAAGATTGGTGACTGGCTGCCAAGACGATCTGCTGATTTGCAAACCCATTGTTTTAAGACCATCTTTGTAAGGGTTTGCTCCATCTCAGAGCTTCGGCTTGTTGGGAATACACACACTCTTTGAGCCCATCATCTCTCCATCGCCTGGCCGCCCGAAAGTCACTGAGAGTCGAAATCGAGCGGAAAGAGTTGGCAATGATTGAGGAAGCAAGAGGCAAGGACTAGGATGTGATTGCAAACCTCATCTATCCAACAACTCGGAAGAGATTACAGCTTCGGCACCTTACTCAACATGGGCGCATCCCCATCTTGCTCGCTCCTGACCTGGTCGACCTTTTCCCCCACGACCTCCTTGACCTCGCTATGAGTCATTTGCACCCAATCGTCCTCATCTCCACTTGCCTCCTTCTTGCCGGCGTTCGCTCGCTTTGCCACGTTGTGCTTGCCCTCCTCCTGCTGGCCCTTCTCCTGCTGGCCCTCCTCCTGCTGGCCCTCCTCCTGCTGGCCCTCCTCCTGCTGGCCAACCTTGTCGCGCACAAGTGTTACGACATGCTGTAACAAAAACTCGGCCACAGCCTCGAAATAACCCTGCTTAATACAGGTATCGTTATGAGTGCCATCGTTGAACTCCTTTTTCACCTTGACGCTACTTGTGCATCTTTCGAACAAGGCATCCATGTGGGAGGGTGGTACTAGCTCATCCTGTCTGCCCGAGAGGAAGAGGGTAGGAGCCTTTTCTGTGATCTTAGTGATGGTCAGGCCAGAGCACCAGTATTCGCGACAAAGGAAGGTGAAAGGTCGGACTGGTGGAAGGAGGTGTGGGATCAACTCTGGGATGCTGAGGAAAGTGTTTTCGAGTATGAGCGCCTGGACGGAAGCGGGGTTACGAGCGGCGAGATCGATTGCTACTGCTCCACCAATACTCTGTCCGTATGCAACTAGCACTGTGCTAGAGAGGGAAGGGTGTGCGCGGATGAAGTCCAGGGTGGTTTGAGTGTCGATTTTGATCCCACGCTCATTTGGTGAGCCGGTGGAAAAGCCGTAGCCTCGATAACTGAGCATGACAACGTTGCAGCCGAATCGTTTGAAGAATACTGCAGCCAGCGGCAATCTATGACCCATGTTGCCGGCGTTTGCATGCAAGAACAGTATTGTTGGACGCTTCGACGCTAGTTGAGCATCGAACGTGTCCACGGGAGCCATTCCGGTTTGTGTTTGTGTTGATTTACGCTCGAGCTGTTGCGGCTCTTGATCTTGCCTAGCCTGAACTTTGGAAGCAGGTCCTCGACGCGGGGAAAGCTTGGTGCCTTGGAGCAGGACAAAGATGCGCAGACGCTGGGAATCGGGTGTGATGAGCTCTTCTTCGGTGTAAGGAAGATCGTATTCGTCCGGGGTGGAGACTTGAGTTTTGGAGCCGGTAGGGAAGCAAGAGGGATAGATGAGCGACGTTTGGTATCGGTAGAGAAGCCCAGCGGTGGAGATGAGAGATACGACGAGCACTCCTCCGACTATGCGGACTATGGAGGTGAAAGAGGGGATGAAGGCCATGTTGACGAGGTCCTCGTGGGTGTGATTGGATTCGGTGCCTTTGCTGAGGAGATGCGTTGGATGGAGCAAGTGAGGATGCGCTGAAGGCCCACCGGCTGGATAGTGGGGCTGAGGATGTGTCCGGATGCCTTTGCTTTGAGGAGGTTGCTACAGGGTATCGTCTGCGTGAGAGAGAGCAAAGTAGTAGTGATGGTCGAAGGAGAAGGAGCGGCAGACAGAGGATATGAGCGAGAAGCCAAGAGTGTTGCTGAGTGTTGGTAACAAAGACCTAACATTGTAAGCGGTTAATATAAAACGGTGGCGGTATTCTTGCCATTCTCCAAAGACGCTTTCCTTGACTTGTCAACACCACCATCTCAAACGCTCGCTTCAACACTGCTTCGACATGGACACGGTGACCATCCCGAAACCGCGCCACCTGGAGACACCGCAGGAAACAACGGAACGCGAACGATGCGAACAATGGACAGACCAACTCTTCCGTACCTCACCCATGGTCCGCTTCATGGCCAAACACCTCACATTACTCGACTGTGATCCTCTCTCCCCTCGACCCGCTCGACCCGCTCTCCCCTCCTCCTCTTCTTCCTCTTCGTCTTCCACCGCAACACCGCCTCCGGGACCCAAACTAGTCATCACCCCCTGCCCACCATCAATAGCAGGTGGATTCTCCCCCTCGCTGCCCACAGAACCCACCTCTGCGTCTTCGATCCTTATCTGTTCCAACCGAATCTTTTCCAAATCGCATCTGGAAGATACTCTGTCGCATGAGATGCTACACTGGTTCGACCACTGTCGTTTCCTAGTTGATTGGTCTAACATCCGACACCACGCTTGCAGCGAGATCAGAGCGGCAAACTTAAGCGGAGACTGCGGTTTTGCGAGGGAGTGGAAGAGAAGGATTTACGGCTTCAAACTTCAACATCAGCACTGTGTGAAAAGGAGAGCAGCGTTGAGTCTCTTGATACATCCAGCGTGTGATGGGGATATCGAAAAGGCGGAAAGGGCGGTAGATGAGGTGTTTGAGAGTTGTTTTGGTGATACCAGGCCGTTTGATGAGGTGAGTAGTGCCGGTTGAAGCAAGGCATAGACGGTTCATTCGGAGCAATACTGACCTTGACGCTTTCCTTGTTTGATTGTGTGTCGCTTGGCAGATCTACTGAGCATTCGAGCAGTTCAGAAGGCGGACATCCTTACCCATCTTGGCCTTCCAGGCACGCCACGGAAATCACAATCGCCACCTCGTTTGCGCTTATTAGCTGATGGTGCAAGCGGACGACAGATGTATATTCATAAGGGACATGTCCATACGACAAAAGTGTCTCAGCGTGCTTGCGAAGCCAGATCTGCTGAGAAGGACCTTGGCTAATGGCAGAATCGCGTCGTGACTGTTTCTAGATGAGGATCGAAGCTGTTTCTGAGGCCGCTGCCTGCTCGAGTCTTTGTGCCAGCCTGTCTCGTAATGAGCCACAGTGGAGCTGCTGAGCTTGCACTTTCCACTGCCACCTTGGACACACTTGGGAGAGATGCGATAGTGAGCAGCGCTCACCCTACCGGCTACTGCTCCGCCCGATCGCTCAAATTCAACAAGAGCGTAGCCAAGCATCTTTTCGTGATATGATCGTTCTTCAACAACTGTCCGAACGTAGCATCCCTCAAGGGCCCTGGCAGGCAAGCCCTCAAGGCCTCCCTTGCTCTCGGATTATCGCTCAACCTCAAGTAACACCTGACGACATGTTTGAGCAACCTCACCGCCTGACTCTCCACAATCTGACTGACCATGTTACTCAGCACCGTCCCCACCGCATAAAACCTTTCGTAGGTCTGGCAGATGTACGCCAATCCCATATCATCCAACAGGATCTTCTGAACGATGAAGATGGCTACCGTCTTACTCAGTTCCGAGCCAGTCTCCATGATCCGGAGGCAGAGGGGGATGATTTCGGTGGAGAGAAGGAAAGTGATTACGTCGGAATTATCGTTTTGTTTTACCAGAGCACCGATGACGCCGAGCGATGTGAGACGGAGGTATTCGAACGGACGAGTTTTGCTGGTGGTGTTGAGAAAAGGGTAGAGGAAGAGTGGGATGTGTGCTTGTAAGAACAATCCTCGCGTTTCCGAGTGCGATGCGACGCATTGGAGAAGAGCGAGGGCGTTGCAGACTCGGTTGCTTGCTTGTGCTGTTAGTGCTGGTGGTGAGAGTAGCGGGTAAACAGAGACAATTTCTTGGAGGAGGCAAGACATGACACCGAAACTGTGCCAGAGCACTAAAGCGAGGTCTTCGTACTGTTCGCGCTTCTTGCTCAGCTCCAGCAATGCATGCTCGCGTTGGGCGGAGGAGCCGGGAAGAGCATCAAGATTGCTGGGAGAGGTAGCACCATCGCGGTCGGTATCGATGCCTTGTTTGCCCTCCTGTCCGTCCGGCTGAGAGTCGCCGTTCTTTGAAGTGCCATCAGCGCCGCTGGTGGTGGTGGTGGTGGTAGGTGGAGAGACAGAACCATGCTTGCGATTGATGGCCTTCGGTTCAGGTCGCTGGCAGAGCTGAGTAATGAGGTGGTAGACGCTCAAAGCAGTGGTCGGTGTGCCTCCTGGACCGGTGCCTGCTGGCATGGCAGGCCCTGCATTGGGAGGCGGACCGGCAGCGGAAAGCATCGAGGGACCCAAATCAACACCGGCTAGCGACCCTCCGACCATAGTTGCGAGAGAAGCCAAGGCGTGTATGAACTGTCCTCGTTTCCTGTTTCCTGGCGTTGTGTCGAGCAGCGAAAGGTGGAGAAGGTCAAGAGCTACTTTGCGTGGTCATTCCCGGACCAATCGGTGGTTGGGAGGTGTCGGCGGCTTGACAAGGGAAGACGGTGCTTTCCGTCGACCCACGGAGCTGTTGCTACGAAAGCCGATTGAAACTTGCGAGCCGAGTCGGGTTGAGTCGAGTCGAGTCAAACTGAGCCTTGTCCTTTCCTTTGGCAAGAGTTGGCGAATAAGAAAGAGATGGTGTCAACAAGTCAAGAAAGGATGGGACAAGCTGGATTGCTCGACTTGACTTTGGAGTCGGTATGTGGCTGTGTCACGTGCTTCTTCCAGGCTTGATTTACCCGATTCACCTGATATCTCGATTTGCCCGATTTGCCCGATTCAAAGCTGCAATTAATATTCCACGATCACCATACACAATTCTCGCGCTTTAACAGACAGACACACACACACACACAAAAACCTCACTCCTCTCCCTTACCAGCCCCGAGTCAAGGCAACGCTTCAGTAGTATCAACACCAGCCACAGTTGCAAGACCTTGACAGCCAGCTAGGTAGGGTGATGCGAGTGGTGGCATGCTTGCATGTATTGCAACACCGGTGGATGCGCATGTCAACGCGGACCAGCACCAGGAGCACCGAACCACTTGCTCCACAACCTCGTACTCCTCATCGCCAAGCCTTCCACCGTTGATGGAGCCGGTCTGACATCCAAATAGAAGCTCAGACCATTGCTTGCCTGTGCAGCAGCGCCCAACTTGTCCGCTATCCTCTCCTCCTCCTTTCCTCCATTCCCTCCGCTCTCCGCACCGCTTGCACGAGGCGCACTCTTGCCCGTATAAAAATCAATCACATACCTCACCTGCTCGCCACTGCCATTCCTCTCGATCGTCCAATCATGTCGATCAAAGGGCCTTTGATATCCGGCCAAGGAGTTGAACCATGCTCTCCAAGTCAAATCCTTGGGTCTACCTTTAAAACTGACCAACTTTGTCTCTTCTTTTCCTTGCGCTCTGCCAGTCCACATACGTTCCCATGCTAGGATTTGACGCCAAGCTTGTTCGTTGACCGCATTGTGGATGGGCACCACTACCTCCATATCTGCTACTTGCGGATTTTGGTTTTTGCGTTTCATGGCGTTATAGAATTGTTTGGCCGAGGGGTAGACCCATTTTCCGTCCCAATCTTGGTCCTCGTCCGGACCGCCGCGGGTCGCAGGTGCCGGTTGTGCCGGTTGTGCCGCTTGCGCAGCGGTTGGGTTGCTTAGAGGCGAGTAGCTTCGTGGGATGGAAGAAATTTCTCGTTCGGTGGAGAGGCGCGATTCATCGCTGTAGCGCTGTCCGGATGGGCCAGCGACGGCTGGTGGTGAGCAAGAGGAACTAGGGTCGGGTTGGAAGGGGGAAGATCTGCCAGGGTTGGCTTTGAGCCATGCTTGGCGAGTCTCTTCGTCGACGGGGCACTTGTCTGCCGAGGCAGGTGAGGAGGAGGAGGATGAGCTGGTGAATGGCCACATTGCTGCTTTCTTCCGTGTGTGGCAAGTGATGATGGTTGGATAACGGCAACAGTGATAGAAACAAAAGCTTCTCGAAAGGCTTTCCAAAAATTGATTTCGGATCTCGGATCTCGGATCTCGGCCATTTTACTCAATGTCGATTTTGATGATTTGATTTTATTTTTCATTGTACAGCAAAGCGCGGTCTAACAAGAAGAATTTAGCGTTACTTGGCAGCGAAACACACAACCTGCCCTCTTCCCGCACGAGATCGCTTCAAGCCTTTAGCACAAGCCGTCTTGCTTTCGCCTAGTAAGAACGATCAAAGGCGTGACCATATCTGCTTCAGGCCATATCTGCTTCAGACCATATCTGCTTCAGTGTGATTCGTATATCTCTACCATCCCATAGCTTATCGACTTTAGCGGCCATGAAGCGGATCACAGCTTTGCTCCTAGCAATGCAGATTGAGGAGCGAGTCACTTCAAGCCGAACAAATGCCTCAACTGACTCTGCGTATCCTCGGGATTCTTGACTGTATGTCCAATAGTCCTTTCATCTTCAAAAATCTCGTTGTCATTTCCACCCTTGTACGTCTTGTCACCGAAGAAATGAATCTCTTCCCAACCCAGATCCTTTGCCATCTTGCTTCCTTCCGCTTTCCCGCCGTCGATGGCGATGTTTCGGAGAGCATAAGTCTTGTCCCAACCATGCGGGAAGACGTCGAATGAGATTTGCCCTCCGATGGAATAAGTTAGGCCGTAATCTGGGAATTCGGATTTGAGAGCCGAGACGAAGGTGGTGCGAATGTTGTGCATCTTGTCGTATTTTTCGAATTCGATTCTTTCGTCGATGCTATCTCCATCAGGCAGGAAGCGGAGCGATCGAGGTTAGGGTTCAGCCGAGCACGGACAAGAGGGTAGAGTGGGGTGTGCACTTACGAAGCATTCCTTCCAATGGGACTGATGTTGATCATTCCGTTTCTAAACTCGACGAAAGTACCGCTGTTCCCGCGCCAAAAGATGATTTGAATCTCTCAGCACAATCTAAGCCTCTCTACACCACTTGCTCATCGCCGTCATCAAGGCTACTTACCGCATGATAGGAATATCCAGTCCGCTGATATACCTCAACACGAACTTGACCAGTTTCTTGTACTTTTCCTCACCCAACCAACCGATGAAACTCTGACTAGCCAACTGTTTTCCATCCTGAAACCCTGTCAATCCGTTCTCTGCAAACACGTAATCAAACTCGTTGATAAAGTCCCTTTCGGTAATCTGCAGCTGTTCACGAACCTTTTTGAGGTCGGATCCACCAACGACGCCGATAACGCATTCGTGTCGTAGCTTGGCAAGCAACGAGTGGAATTCGGGTGTGATACTTTGACGTGCGAGGGATAGAGTTCCGTCAACGTCGAAAAGGCACAGCTTGCGAGGGTGCTTGCGGTCGCTGTATAATGAATTCATCTTGTACAGATCTGCAGGTGAACGGTGGTGGTGGTGGTGGTGGTGGTGGTGAGCGAGATAGAGGTAAAGGGAACGAGGCAAGAAGCAAGCTGACTAAAATTGCCCCGTCTGTGCGTAAAATTAGACTGGCGGGCAGAAGCGAGAAACGCGATTCCAAACCAACAGAGCTCGAAAAGCGCGTATTTCTCTTTCACTTTCCACTCATCATTAGTAAGCAACATAATAATAATAGATATATATTAAAAAATATGTTAGATTTCGCTTGAAAACATGCCAACGCCCAACTCCTCGGTCTTTGATGGCGTCGACGTTGCTAGCGAATGCTCACTTCCTGACAGGCCTTCGAAAAGAGCAACACACACCGAGCAACGGCGAGCTTGGGATTGAGTGCTAACCTGGCACCTCAGCTCACACGTGCACATCTTGTCTGACATCATGGGATCGGTATGAATGCTGGGTGCACCGAAAGACAGCTCTTACATCGCCACTAAGGGTGTCATTACCGACGCCCCACCCTCCGACCACCGGCAGCAGCCCTACTCCTGGCAGCTCGAGGCTCCACAAACTCATCATCCTCATCATTCTCATCATTCTCATCATTCTCATCATTCTCATCGTTCTCATCATCCTCATCGATCATGGCATCTCCATCTTCATTGTCATCGCTAATTGGAATGCTTTCTTCCTCCTGCTGCTGTTGTGCGTGCTTGCTTCTAGCGGTAGCCGGTTTTGCAGCTGCTTTGGCTCTCGGTGTAGCCGCAGCTGCGCGTTTGCCTCTGCCCGGAGGGGTGGGTGCGGACCGTTTACTGAGCATTTCGAGGACACTTGCATGGCCACGAGTGGAACGAGGGGCAGGTGTCGATGCGGTTTCCTCAATCACTTCCTCTGGGTCGCCCTCGTCTTCTGCATAGGCTGATTCAGGACCGAGAAAGGTAGCGGCCGCGGCGGAGGTGCCTGAGTTAGATGCTCGGGCAGAGGTTGTAGCTGTGGCGCGTGAGGCGGTGGTCTTCTTTGCCCTGCTCGCGGTTGCTGTCGTGGTGCGTCGAGTTGCACCTCTTCGACTACTAGCCGCACTAGCACCATCGTCCAACTCCTCACCCTCATCGTCATCGTCATCGACCGGTGGAGCGGCAGCAGTGCGACCCCTTGCTCTCCCACCACGCGCCGTCGTAGCAGCAGCAGCAGCAGCAGCACGGGAGCTAGGTCGAGGAGTCTCGAAATCATCCACCATCGAATCATCCGACACATCTGCCCCTTGCCTTGTCCCTCCACCAGGCCTGCCATTCCGCTCGATCTCAACCTCGATCTCCCTCCTCTGCTGTTGCTGCTGCTGTCTCAACCTTTCCAACTCGCCATCGATGCTCGATTCTTCGGGATCAATGGTGACCAACCCCTTGACCATATTCTTGAGCATCTTTGTCACAAAGCTATCAATCGCATCCCTATCGTCCTTCTCGACAAAGTTGAGCACTGCTCCTTCCAAACCGTCGGGGTTGAGAATGTCGAGGTTCTGCGCCTGAAGATACTCCTGCACGAGTTTACCCACATCGACGTTGGCAAGCCTTTCAACTGGAAGCAAGCCTTGCTCTTCGACATCTACGTAGGCACGGGATGCATTGTCATCCTTTTGATCGCCTCGACCGCTGCGGAGAGCCTTTTGCTTGGTGAATTGCAGCACTTCTTTAGGGTTTGCAACTTTGCCAGCGAATTCTTGACCAAAGCGTTGTGGGTTGCTGATCTCCTGGTTTGTGTATTCCACTCGAAGCCGGACGAGCGGAAGAGGCATTTCACGTCCGGGGTAGCGTTCTTTGAACTCTTGCTTTGCTCGTACGATCAACCCGTCAACACGCTTGCGCACAAGTTTGAGGATGTCGCTCCTCTCCGAAGACAGCCCGGCATCTTGGAGCTCTTCGGATAGAATCATGTCGTCCATCACAAAGGGACGTACGGTTTGCAGTGGGATCGGCTCGATAAGGAAATCCGTCTCTTCGACATGAATGATGGCTACGCACTTGTCCACCGTCTCACCCTGGCTGAGGCTGGTGGCGACACTGCTACCTGGTTGAGTGATGTGGTAGCGCTTCTCGGTGACAGGTTGAGGTTGGATCATCTGCTCGTGCTCGTGGCCCCACACTACCAAGTGGATCGAGTCGTCGAACATTGTTTCTGGTACGCAAGCTTTTGGATTGTGTGCAACGCGGTTCTGGTGAACGCAAAGGATGTTGAACCAGGAATCGGGATCCTCTTCTGGACGGTACATGCGAACGCGATTGGCACGCAGCTCGAAATGCATACGTTCGTCTTTGATGTTGCCCATTCCATATAAGGCCAGCTTGGTCTGGCCTTTCTGCAGCAACACAGGCTTGATCCTGATTCCCTTCTCCTGGAAGGCACCTCCTCCTGCTGTCCTCGCCGAGGATGAGCGAGCAGTAGCATCATCAGAAGGCAGCTCAATCTTGCCAAAGTAGTTAATGAGGCCCGAAACGGAAAGCAAATCGAGCGCAGAGAGCGCACCAGTCTCGCCCACACCCTGCGGATCATCGTGATTGCCATGAATGGAAAAGACAGGAATACCGACGTTGAAGTTGGGATCTTCGTAGTTGATCGCGGGGAAGTGTTTGCCTGGTAGTGCGCCGTCGTTGGGATCGCTGAGCAGCTCGATCGAGATGGGCTTGTCACCGAGCGTGTACTGCCGCAAGAGTGCCATTGTCTGATGCAAGGTGGCTCTGCTCGGCTTGTTCTCGTGGAAGAGATCGCCGCCGAGAAGGATGAGGTCGACATCGTGCTGCACAGCCAGTTGGAGGATCTCTTCAAAGGTTCGAATCGAGTCTTGACCGCGGACAGGATCGCGTTCCATGTAGCCGAGGTGGTTGTCGGTTGCGAGCATGATCTTGATGTGATCTGCTTCGCTCCTTGCTGAAAATGTGGAGGGTGCAAGTGGGTGGACACCTATGTTGGTAGGTTGCTCGTGATCATGCACCCCTGAGCCTTGCCCGTCGTGGTGCATCTCAGTTTCTGACGCTCCTTCCGGCTGGTGATGGCGGGCACCGCTCCTGGGGATCGATCGACCTGCTGGGTCGTGTTGAGACCCTTCGGCGGCGACCCCTGCATTCTGCTGCGAGGAAGAGGAGACTAGCTCGTCATCGTGATGCTGTGAGTCCCTTCTGGAAGCGCCCGACTTTTGCGTCCCTGTTCGGCGTGTGAGGCGAGCCATGCTGGCTGGCCGGAAGAGACCGAACGACGGATTTCGACTTTGCTGGGATCCCGTCAGCAGCAGTGAAGGCCGACTGTGCTGTGCCTGTGAGGCAGGCTCCTGCTGCTTTCTACGCCGTTGCAGACACTACAAGGGCCTTTCGATGAGTAGATTGGTGGTGATGAGTCGATGCAAGGAGGAAGCAAGGCTCTGTCAGCCAAACGAGAAGCGTACGCCTTCAAGGGTGAGTTAACGCACTTGACAACACGTAGAGGATAGTTGGAGCCGAGAATGGAGGAAAAGAATGTCAAATTGCCTAACTCGATTGAGATGCAGAAGCTATGCAGAAACTAAGGTGTGAAAGAAGTGAATAGTATCAAAGGCGGGACGGAGGGTGAAAACTTGACGAAGCGCAGCCTGGAGGCAAGCGCGAAGAAGAGAAGGTGATGAGGAGAAGATGATGGAGAAGAAGCAAGAGAGAAGAGCGAGCCGATGAGAAATCAAAAACATTGCGACGAATCTGAAATTCTGCGCATTGATCACGTGCCCCCTTAGCTCACCTTTGATCACGTGCCCTTCTATCCATTCGCACGATAAATTTTGCAAATCAGCGCGGCAGCAGCGTGTGACAAGCACGCAAGAGAGAGAGAGAGAGAGACCTTGGAGGCTAAAATGAGCTTTCGCATCAACCTCAGCTTGAGCGTTGATCGCATTCAGACACGCACGCAACAAAGAGGAGAAGGCCATTGTTCAAATGCTGGTAAAAGATTATGCAAAGCAAGGGTGTAAAAGGCGGATATGTTGAGCAGTTTCTATGAAAGTGCAGAGTGAAGAGGTCTCAATCAGCCCAGGCACCTTTGATCGTCTTGATGCACTTGGCCCATCGTAACAGCCTTCCTCCTTCCTCTGGCGCTACGATAGGTAGCAGCGTCAAGTCGCTTGGGCCTCCTGATTGGTCGCCGTAGCTCATGCTGCCTCTGTGGAGATACGAGTCAAATTTGGGCTTGGACGATCGACGACTGCGTTCGTATGCCTCAATACCGCTGCTTTCCAGTGCGCTTATCCCACTACTGCCCGATGAGGTGGCACCATCATCGTCAAAGCCGTGTCGGAGCTCGATGTGGTCATGTGCGATTGCCGCTGCTTCCTCCAAGTTGGATGCAGATGCTGACAGTCGGCGTTCTCCTGAGAGTCGGGCGAGCTTGTCTTCTGCATCGCACCAGAAGAGCTGCCATCCTGTACCTTTTGCGTCGGTGTCGATGCGAACAAAGCCATTGGAACGCTCGTAGTACCATCGGTTGACGGGATTGTTGGAGCGCGACTTCCAAACCAGATCGCGTCCCGTACCGTAACCACCTCGACCTCCATTATCGTTGAGCGCATCCAACAGACCCAAACCCTGCACTTCGTCACGCAATGCACCCCACAAGAAGTCCACCGTACCCGAACCCTGAAGCGAGGGCAAAACGGCAAACTTGTCGAGATAGGCAATTGGCTCAACTGCATCCCTATCATCGTCAGGCGAATACTCCTTGGTCACGATCGCCGCACCCTGATAGTCGCCCGTGAGGATAACAAAGTCGAGCTGCTTGCTCAACCTCTCGTAGTAGGCCTCACGGTTGAGCTTGCGTCGGAAGGAAGCTTGGAGGAGGTCTGACATCTTGTCTAGGTTGATCTTGTTAAAGTCTTGGATGACTTTGATGGGCAGACCAGGACGGATGATGGTGGGCGTGTGGCGAACGTCTTGCTTGTTGGCGAGAAGACGGTGGGGTAGGGAAGGAGAGTGTGCTGCTTTGTTGGTGATGAGGTTGGCGATGAGCGAGCGCGGTGATCGGTGAGTGACGAGAAGACCGGATGAGGTTTGTGGCATGTAAGAGAGACAGTCTGAGATGGTGTCGAGGTTGCGTAGCGCTGTGGGATGCGTTTGATGCCAGACGAAGGACTGCTTGATCTGATGGTACTCGGAGGCAAGATTGATAGACAAGTGAGGGTCACCTCCTCGTGCGTGAGATGGGATACCGCCTTCACGATTGATGACCATGAGACGGAGAGGCATCATGTCGACTTGACCGCCTATCAGCTCCGAAAGGGGGTCAGCGATGGTCGAGGCAGCAGCAGAGGTCTCGGCCTCTTGTTGGGATCGAGTGGCAGCAAGGACCATGTCTCGTGCCAAAGCGACCATGACATGGTCAGCACAAAGACAGAGTGTCTCGAGTGTACCATCCTTCTCGTTCTCGAACAAGGCATAGGGAGCCAGCACGGGGATCTGATTGGAAGCGAGTGCTGAACGGATGGATGTCAGACCGTCATCCGAGACGAGTGGTGGACGGAGAGGCTGCTCTGCTCGACTGCCATGCTGCAGAGCGGGAGAGGTGGAGGAAGATGGGGAGCGTTGCAACTGAAGTGCTTCTGCCTCGACTTGAGCAGCTGCATGAGCATCGACCTTGACAACAGCCTGAGGGAAGGGTCGAGCCATAGCACCTTTACGATTGAGACTGTCAGCTAGACGCAAAGTCTCGGCCATGATGCGCTTTCGCAGACGCTCCTGTTTACGACCAAGCATGGACTTTGTGCAAGACTGATTGGCGCTCTCCTTGGCTTTGAGCGAGGATGGAGAAGGGTGAGCAGCAAGCCAATCACCCATGCGCTGGTCCTCGAGCTCATCTCTACCGGCAACAATGTCACCCTTGCAATCGATATCGGCAGAGATGTGGGGCCAGTCATCTTGATCGACGACGACAACACTGACAAGGCCGAGACGCTTAAGATAGACAAGGCCTTCAGCAATCGAGTCAAGCTGACGATCTGTGAATGGGCCTTGCACCTTGACAAGCGCAGTGTGCGAGTCTGCCAACGCATCTGATACGGGTGTGAGCTGAGGAATAGCTACCGTCGAGCTTTGCTGCGATAGAGGGGCAGAGGTAGTCGAGGAGGAGTTGGGATCTAAGATGCAGTCAGGCTTGGTGCGCTGCTTCTTCTCGTTGAGCATGTGCCAGATAGCTTTGGGCAGCTTGGGAGCTGGCGAGGCTGACGCGGTAGCCTGAGGATCGTCCTCGAACGATATTGAGTGTTGTGGATCCCAAGTAGTTGTTGATGGGTTATGCAGAGACCCTGGATGAGCGACGTTGGATGGTATCGGGAACTCGGGATGGACCTGTGTGGCGCAAGAAGAGGGAGATGCGAAGCGGCTGGGAGCGGGTGATGGCGAGGAGCTGGATTGAGATGGTGTCAGCAGCTTTCGTGGCGCTGCTTTGCGAGGTGCGAAACTGGTGAGGTAGCTTTTCGAGTCTCGAAGCGAGGGCTGCGCCTGGAGGATCTCGATGATGAGGTTCTGCATGCCTTTCGACATGATGGCGTGATCGGTGTGATATGATGGTGTGATTGGATCCATCGGACGATCCGATGGTGGCGTGGGAAAGGTCACGAGGTCAAGAGATAAGGCTGTGTCAGCGATTCGGATGTCCCGAGCATCACAGTTGCCAGTCCTGCACAGCCTTGCTAGGCGCACGTCCCCAGTTGTGGCGGTGTGATAAGAACAGGCAAGACATCGACGACGAAAGATTGAAATCCGCTTCTCCGCCAGTATTGCGAGATATATATATATATATATATATATATATACACACTCGTTTGCGTACCCTTAGCGAGCTGCTAACAAGAAACGCGTCAAATTTCCAAGCCTTTTTTTACATTCACTGCCAACAGCAAAGTGGCCAACCCTGTCAAACAAGCCAACCTAAGCCGAGGATCGCGATCAACTCACCCTTTGCATCTGTCTCTCGACGTCGTAAGCAGATCTATGGCTCCTGCTGAATCGGTCTCCTTGAGGTGTGTGGGGTCGAGCATTGTTGCTGAACGCCGTGGCTCGACCTTCATCTCGATGCAAGTCGAACAAGTGGCCTTCGTTTTCGTATAGGTCAGAGTAGAAGGTGCGATGAGCGATACCACTCCAGCCCGCTTTGGTGGATTTGAAGGTTGCGGTCCAGCATACCGTCGGTATCGAAGGTCGTCTGCGTGCGACGATGAGCATCGTTGGCTGGCTATGTTCGACCAGAAGTGGATTGTTAGATGGACATGGTAGATCGGAAGTTCGTTGTCAAACTTGAACCAACCGACTCGTTGGTATATACGGAAACAGCAGACCAAGGCATGAATTGCTTCCCCTGCGCTTCTGAAAGCACTGGCAGCCCTTGACCCTGGTTGACACCTTTCTTCTACGCCGTCAAGATAGCTCGTAAAAGGCCTTCGAAGACACTGTCTACTTTGGCAACGGTCCAGGCGGCCTTGACTCTGGTGCTCAAGCTTGATCAGGGCAGGCCAGCATTGACCGCACCGCAACGCAACGCGCAACAGAACGAGCCGCTCACCAACTACCGATCCTATATTGCCCTGGACTATGCGCTCTTGGCTCAGGGTTTTAGCATATTCATTCTTCTTCATGCCGGGCTGAAGAGAGCAAACGGTGAGCAGAGGGCAAAGGGTTGCTGGGTCCAGGGTTGGCCCCTCTCACCAAATTGCGCCGCCGGCAACAGGCGTCCAGTCTAACAAAACCTCGTCCGATCAGATCAGCTATATAAACATCTCCTTCGTTCCGAACATGGCTACCTCTTGATCCAAATCGACGCAAAGTTCAAAGCCAAGAGCCATGCAGTTGTATGGCTGCACCCGATCGCTTCCGAAGCATATCACCTCGCTTGCATGTAAAGTAGGATGCTGATTGGTTTACAGTGGTCTTGGCGAACTGCATGGCTGCGTCAGAACGAGTTAATCAGATCAGTTTGTCAAGATTTCTTATCAGATTCAAAACGCATCATCATTCTTTGACTTGAGCGGTACAACTGTGTACCTTTGTTTCTCGTCATCTGACACCTCTTCCCACCACCTCGTGCTTTCAGTTCAGGCTTGAGACAGACGTTCTAAGAAGAGTTATCCCTTTCAGTCCTCCAGAGAAAAGCGGCTCGGTTTCGGGTCGTGTGTGAAAGAGCAACAAAGGAATGCAAACCTTGGCATTGTGTTAGACCGTACGCGCTCACAAATTCACTTTCTCGGCCGGCACAGTTGTTCTCCGCATTGACTTACGGCTCAGACCATCTCATCACTCGTCCTTCGTTGCAGCTAAAGGTGCCATCTTCCGCTTGGCCGGTCGAACGGTATGCGAGGCCTCGCTTATGACCACCTAGCCTGGCCTTGATACAGTGAAATTACATGACCACATGTTTATGCTCTAACACAACCGCAAACTTCACTCAGCATTGCCACCCATCAACCCCACCAATGCTTGGCTTTCCCCACCAACACTCCTATCCTACTTGACAACAGCATGCCACCATATGTGTCACTTTCCCCTATGCACACACACATCAACTGACAGCAGAGACATATATACTTCTGCTATTACTTTGTACTTAGTTCCTTTTGAATTGCTAACAATTATCACCACTTACTTGACCACCTTGACTGTGCTTTTCCTCAACAGATTAAGAGTCGGAAGCTCTGCTGTGGGAACACTGCCCCACCTCCCCATGCTGTCTGATCCATATCCTCACCTGCCTCTGCCACCCAAAGAAAGGGCCCACCTCCACCAAGCCCAATGACTCAGCATGCCCCCATGCACCTGTGATTCAGATGCTGAGAGCAGCAATCTGTCTGATGAACCAAACAAGGAAAGAGCTCCTGCTGCACCACACAGGCAGATGCTAGTTGGTATGGAGACACCTTCTCACTATGACTCTGATGACAATGATGATGGTGATGAAACTCACTATGACATCAACACCATCTCTGGACTAAACCCCAAAATGCTTAAAGGCATACTCATCAAACTTACCAAATGCAACAAAGCAAGGAACAATGATGCATACAAGAAACCCTCATGCCAATTGGACTTTCACCAAAGACTCTCCCACACCCATGATGCTCTCAAGGAGGCCCCCAAGCTCACGACCAAAAACTGGTATGCCTGGAACCCCCATCTCCAAGGTATCCTGCCCAATTGGCCTGCAGCCATGAAGCACCTCAACAGTACCATCACTCCTGAGCACAAGAAATATGATTGTGCCCTCAACAGAGAACTATGCACTATTCTCCAGAGTAGTGCTTTGCTTGCCAGAAACAATAATGTCAACTATCTATTCATACAACCCACCAACTCAGAACCTTGGAAACTGCATGAACTCTACTGCAGACTCAAGACAGACCTCACAAAGATGGAGAAGATCGCTGAGTCAACCTTACTAAACAAAGTTGGGAGAATCCACATATTCCAGGCAAATGTCCACAAGCTCATCACCAATATCAATGAACATTGGGCCAAGGCTGAATCAATGGGCCATGCTCTTCCTGACATCCTCAGGGTCAAGATGCTCATTGACCAGGCCAGATACATCACCTCATACCACCATTGTATCACCATGCTCGAAGACACTGGGATGGCATCAAACTATGAAGTGCTTTGTGCCACACTTTTCAAATGCCAGGATAGCATGACAGCATGAATGGATCACAGGGCTGGCAACCTCAAGACTGCACAGGCAAACCTGGCTGATGGAGAGGTCAAGAATGAGGAGGCCTACCATTGGGGTAAACCTGGACCTGACAGTGTTCGACATTGCTACCATTGCAATGCAGAGAACCACATTTCCAGGTACTGCCCAAGGATGAATCAAGGAGAGGCACCTGCCAACACCACTGTGCCAAACCAGACCACTGCCTAGGATATTTGGTGCACCATTGCTTCTGCTCACTGTGTATCCCTGGATTGACAACCCAGTAACTGGATTGTAAATTTGGGGGCAACAGATCATGTCACAAATGATAAATCGAATCTTATTATTTCTTCCCCTTGCACCAGCTTTGTGAAGACCACTAGCAGAATGAAGATTTGCATCATGGCCATGGGTCAGGCTATGTGTCATGGGCCTGAGTGCGCAGAACGAGGAAGGACCGAAGTTCATATGAAGGTAGTGCAGGAATCGTGGAATCGGGTAGATCGTCGGGGCTGCGACAGAGTTCACAGAGATCGGCAGTAGAATCAGCTCTATGGCAGATCACAGCGAAATCGGCATGAGCATCATCGATATCACGAATCCCACCAGAATCTGTGACAAGCAAGACCTTGTGGCAGATTCTGTGGAGATCGGTAGCAAGGTTGTCTGTATGACGATTCACACACGAGAGGGACCAAGCTCAAGTGACATGCAGATGGTTACCACTCAGGGGCCCACAAGACAGGAGTAAAAGAGAACCGTTGCCGGTCAGAAGAAGGAGAGCTGTGTAAAGGACACCGGCGAAAGGGACATGAAGAAGAGGAGCAGTGTCGATGAAGTTGACACAGCTCAGGTAAGACAGGAGGGACAAGGTCTGATACGGAGGAGGTGCCTCCTTGGAGACACCTGTACAATACTTGACAAAGAGGGTACTGAGAGAGCAGGAGCAGTGTGTCATGGGCCTGGATGCTCAAGAAGCAGGAGGGTCACTGGTTCATCTGGAAGGAGCACAGGTATCGAAGACCTAGTCGATACCAGTAGAGAGCATGGTTGTAGTGCAGTCTCCATGGAGACCATGGACTCCTATGGACTCACATGCAAAGGAGAACCGAGCCACATGCGAGGAGGGCCAGGCACAGCCACGAGGAGGACCAAGCTCAAGGAGCAGGCACAGCCACGAAGAGGACCAAGCTCAGATGGTTACCACTCAGGGGCTCGAGAGACAAGAGTCATAGGACACTGGCAAGCAGGTCCTGAGGAAGAGGAGCAGTGTCGAAGGAGTCGACACCAGGTCATGAGGAGGAGGAGCAGTGTCAAAGGAGTCGACACCAGGTCATGAGGAGGAGGAGCAGTGTCGAAGGAGGTGACACCACTCAAGAGGCACAGGGGTGCCAAGCAGGAGAGGCCCCTGAGCAGTACTTGATGAAGAAGGTACTCTCTGGAGAGAGAGCAGGAGCAGCATCGCTGGCGATGCTGTGAAGAGGTATATAACCATGCTTTCTCATCATCATAGGTTGAGTGGATCCTCATCCACTCTACTCACCATAACTAGTTATCACTTCAGCATAAGTATATATTAGTTTCAGTCAGCATAGCAGCAATCTATCAAGGTTGCTCCTCATCATAGTGTGTGTGTTGTATCACCACTACCTGATGTCCGAAGGCGCCCATAGCAGGTTAGTGGTCCAGATCAAGATAGAACTGAAGGCAGTAGTCCACTGCGGTCCAGGGATCACTTCAAGCATCAAGTCAACACACTGGACACTTGTGTTGATGCCACCAACCTTATCACCAACACCATCAACCTCATTATCATCAATACCCACCAACCTTATCACCAACACCATCAACCTCATTACCATCAATACCCACCAACCTTATCACCAACGTCATCAACCTCATCATCATCAACACTCACACCAGACCTTGGTGTCATCATAACCTATGCATTGATATTGATCGTGCCGAGCTACCCCTGAACGGAGTGTCCACAGAGGTCAGCCAAAACCTACGATAGTATATACAATGAACGCCACCTGCTGTCACTGTGCAACTTGATAGTCACCAAATGACTAGCTCACCGAGACAGATACTGAGACAATAGCTGTCGCACAGTTTGATAGTCACTGAGTATCTCGACAGACCGACCTGGGTTTCAGGCGCGAGACCCCTGACAATGATCACCATGATGCACACACATCACTTGCCACAGACATTCTGGCCTTTTGCCACTGAGGCCACTGCATTCATGAAGAACCTCCTGCCAAATGTTGAAAACTGGATCCTGTATCACATTTTCTACTGAAAAGACCCCCAAAAACCATTCAACATGCTCTGGACCTTTGGTTGCCTCACTTGGGTAAACATACCCCAGGCAAAATGCAAGAAGCTTGATGAACCAGCCAACCTGGTGATCTTTGTTGGATATGATGAAGAACATAAGGGGTGGAAGTTCCTGACCCCAAACCATAACCCACCAGTCTTCTGGTCAAACTTGGCCCATTTTCTACAGGACAAGTCATGGAACAATTGCACTGACACCACCCAGATTCAAGATATGGATGCTTTACATTACAACACTGGAACTGACATCAAGGATTTCAGTTACAGTGACATTGATACACATGATGAAGACCTACAACAACCCCTTGATGAAATCTACTGCCTAGCACCAGAACAAGATATGGCATTCAAAGGGGAAATCTCACCTCCTGAACTGGCAAATGACACCCTCAGACACCCGGATCCTCCTGGGCCAGCAGATACCACCCATGAACATCCAGACAACAAGCCAGATGAGGAACTTGGGTTGACTTCATTGCCCATGCCATCAAACCAGGTGTCAGACAGTTCAGCAGAACATGCATACTGATCCAAGATGCTGCCAGGCTCACCACTGCTGCTGAGGGACCTCACTCCCCATGCCCAAAACTCTGCTTTCTCCAAATACTTGTCAATACAAAATGCCCAGTACTATAATAACAAGTTTGCCACCACAGGCAAGGTGTACCCTTGGCTGCACCCAACAACACTTGCTGAACTGCTCTGTCTTCACCTGAGAGTATTTCTGCCCACAGCAGAGATACATCAGTTCCAAGAGAAACTCCAGTGCAATGGAAAACTAGCAGACATAGGACCAATTCCAGAGTATAATGCAAATGTATATACACTCATGGTCACTAATCTAAAACCATCAGTAAAGGAAGCTCTGACTGGGCCTGACCAGATCCATTGGCATGAGGCAATCAAAGCAGAAATCGATGGCCTTGAGAGTATGCATGTATGGGAGACTGTGGATTGGCCAAAGAATACAAACCTTGTTGACTCAAAACTGGTCCTGCAGGTCAAGACTGACACAAATGGCATCCCATACAAGTTCAAAGCCAGATTCTGCACATGCAGTTTCTCTCAGAAGGAGGGGATAGACTTTGACAAAATCTTCACTCCAGTGGTGCCAAGGGATGCAATTTGGACCATTCTCATGATTGCAGTGAAGTTTGATTGGGAAATGGATTCTATTGATGTCACTCAAGCATATCTTAATGCCAACCTCCATCACAATGTATATTTGAAACCACCAGAAGGTGCAGAAGTCCCAGTGGGAAAGGTGTATAAACTACTTAAGAGCTTATATGGACTGAAACAATCTGGCCAGGAATGGCACAAGGAGCTTGACACATATCTACATTGTCTTGGTTTCTTTCCCCTCCTCAATGTTCCCTGCATCTATCTAAAGGGTGTGGGTGCATCGCAAGTGATTATCACAATATACATGGATGATATGTGTCACAGGGTCAGAAGGATAGCGCAAGAGAGTGTGCCAAATTGATCAACGGCAGTCATGGGAATGTCGCACAATGGAGCAGTATATGAAGGGTGCGCAATGGATCAATATATGAAGGGAGCGCCAGATTGATCAGTGCCAAACCATCAGGGATCAACAAGATTAACCGGGCTGGCAGCACATATTAATTACAAGATCAATCAAACCCCAGGGTTCCAGATTAATCTCATGGGGATTGGTCGGAATCAGTCAGATCAGCATGCCTCAACAAGTTGGCTGATACAGTCAGAACAGCATGCCTCAAAAAGTCGGCCAATACGAGCAAGTACTAGTAGACTCAGTATCATGCAGATGGTTACTGCTCAAGGGGTGCATGCATAAAGTCACACAGGCCCAAGCACAGGGGTGACCACATGACCAAGGGGTTCGGTCATGAGGTTCAACAAGAGGCTAAAGGGATTCACAAGGCAAGGTCGAGAAGGAGCTGTGTCAAAAGGGGTCATCACACATCATCAGGCAGAAGGAGAGCATGAAGGCAAGAGGGCAGTGTTGCATAGCCCTTATGCCATGCAAATGGTAGGGGTGCAGTATCAATGGGATTGATGCCAGCAGGACAAGACAGTGTCAAACAGGGGACAAAGGCTCCTCAGGAGGAGCAGGATAGGTGTTGTGGGCAACACCAATCGAATGCATAAATACTCTCACTCTACCATAGCATACAAGTGGAGCCCCATCCACTCTTTACATACTACTTACTCTATCTACTTTACTTACTCAGTTACATACCATTGCAATAGCAGTGCTCTTGCAATGACTCTCAACATGTGTGTTGTATCACTGTTAGTCAACCACTGTAGGTGGTGTTCTTCAACACTAGCAGTCCAGTGCCCTTACTGTAGGTGGTGTTCTTCAACACTTGTGGTCCAGTCCCTTACTGTAGGTGGTGTTCTTCAACACTTGCAGTCCAGTCCCTTGCTGTAGGCAGTGTTGCTCAACACCTGTGGTCCAGTCAGTTATTGTAGGCAGTGACTCACACCTGCAGTCCAGTAACTCCCATCCTCTGTAGGTGATTAGCAAATCGCAGTCCAGATGATGTCCAAGAGCATTATCAACAGTACTATGAACACTCATACTGTAGGAGAGAGTGTTTCACTCACTCACCAACAACCAGTGTCTGTGCCATGCAACCTCTGAACAGAGTGTTCAAGGTGGTCAGTCAAGACTTACCAGGCAGCAACATTTGGTTACATTTAGGTGAAACATACTGAGTAGACCTTACTCAATCAAACTCAATTTAACACCCCAAAACTAAGTCTCTGGCGCGCGACTGCTTACAATATGCTCATTGTATCCCCATGACAGAACCAGATCAACGAGATGAAAAAGGCGATCATTGACAAATGGAAGATCACCGATAACAGACCTGCCACCAAGTTCCTCAAGATCAAGATCATGTGGGATTGAGAGAGGAGGACAATTGATCTAGATCAGCATGCTTACATAAAGGAAATCATAAGAGAGTGGATCTGGCCACATGAGAAGACATGGATGCTGATGGTTCACACCCCAATGAAAGCACCTGACAACAAGGAGACCAATGATAAACTGAAGGCCAGGTACCTGGTCCTGGTAGGAAAACTTTTATGAGTCGAAAACACTGTCTGGCTGGATATCACATACACAGTCAACACCCTGGCCTGCCACATGTCCAAACCCACCAAAGGGGCCATGCAAGTGGCCCTGCAGGTGGTGAATTACCTGAATCAAACACAAGATGAGGTCCTGAGACTTGGTGGCAAAAATGAAGACAAACCACCCATTGCTACCTACACAGACTCAAACTGGGCCTCTGACCTGAATACAAATAGGAGGAGCATGTCAGGCTCAATTGTAAAGGTTTTTGGCAGCATGGTGACCTGGAGCTCCCATGTTCAGAAATGCATCTTGGACTTGGCCAACGAAGCAGAGTACATGGCAGGATCAGCAGCCATGCATGAGGTCCTCTTCCATTGGCATCTGCTATGAGGGCTTGGCTTTGGAGACCACATGCTGATCATCTTCACAGACAACACCAGATGCATCCAAGTAGCAAAAGACCAGGCAATACATTCAAGACTCAAGCACATTGACACCAAGTATCATCTCATCTGGAACCACATCCTGGAGGGTGATATTGTCATGTGATACATTCAGACCAACTACAATGACATGGACTACCTAACAAAACCAGTGTCCCAACACCTTCTAATGCACACCCAGAAATGCCTTGGTATGATGAACCTCAACCTCCTCAGTCATTCAGTTTGTGAGGAGGGCAGTGAAATCACATGACTGCATGTTCATGCTCTAACATGACCACAAACTTCACTCAGCATTGCCACCCATCAACCCCACCAATGCTTGGCTTTCCCCACCAACACTCCTATCCTACTTGACAATGGCACACCACCATATGTGTCACTTTCCCCTATGCACACACACATCAACTGACAGCAGAGACATATATACTTCTGCTATTACTTTGTACTTAGTTCCTTTTGAATTGCTAACAATTATTGCTGCTTACTTGACCGCCTTGACTGTGCTTTTCCTCAACAGATACGAAAGCTGTAGCTGTGACACGGGTGAGATGGACGAAGAGTGAAATCACATGACCGCGTGTTCATGCTCTAACACGACCGCAAACCTCACTCAGCATCGCCACCCGTCAGCTCCCACCAACGCTCAACATCACCCATCAACGCCCCTATCTCATCCCACAACAGCACCCCCTCATACGTGTCACCTCATCTACATATGCACACATCGACTGACAGTAGAAGCATTTATATACTCATGATATTGCTTTGTACTTAGTTCTCTCTCAATATCAACGATTCGCCACCTGCTTTAACGCTTCTGACCGTGCATTCCTCAACAGACAAGGCTGGATGGGAGAGAGAGACTAAGAGAGTGAGCAAGGGTTACTATTATGCCAAGCGGCCGCGGTTGGAGCATGGAGCTTTGATAAAGCGATAAAGGCGCAGATCGAGGAACTGATTAAGATGTACGCAACGAAGAAAGGTGTCGGAGGAGCAATCATCCTGGACAAGCGAGGGAAAGCGTACTTGCCGTTGGCTCCTGCTACCATGAATAGAGGTCTGACTTCAAAAGACACGGCCTACAAGGCCAAGGTCACTATTTTCCATTATGAACAACTCGAGTAGACACACACACCATATAAAACTGATCAATCGCATCTGTCGAAGGAAACAAGAGTCTGAATACTTTTGAGATTGAAGATGTTGAAAATGAATGAAACCCCATCTGTTTTACGGACAAAGAGAGAAAGAATAGTAGGGAAAGGTAAACGGAAGCGACACAAAGCGACATTCTTCAATGCTGCTGGCCCTGCTGCTGCTGCTGCTGCTGTTGTTGCTGTTTTTTCTTCTCCTCTTCCTCTTGCTTGTGCTGCTGCTTCTGTTCTTCAGCTTGCTTCTTTTGCTGCTTCTGCTGTTCCTTCTGCTGCTGTTCGGCTTGCTTTTTCTGCTCTTCCTGCGCTTGCTTCTGCTGTTGTGCATCGGGTTGACCATAGCTTTGCGGGTGAGAGCCTGGTGCCCAAGGGTTTCCGCCGGCATGTTGCGGCTCAGGCGAACCGTTGTGAGAGGCTTGCTGATCAGCAATGTAAGGAGTTGTAGCACCAACGGCACTGGCATCACCACTAGCTTCAGCTCCAGTACCACCCCGAGCACCGTAATCCTCATGCTGATCCCCTCCCACTTCGGCAGTCGCGACTGCTTTCGTAGCACCATTACAGCCGGCCGTAGACGCAATCTGCTCCTTGACCTGATCTGGCGTCAACGCCTTCACCATCTTCTCGCCCACCACATCCTTCAGCACCACGCCAGCGCTAGACGTACTTGGAATTGGATTGGCCCTAATATAGGCGTTCGGTTGACAATCTCTACCGAGCATCGCCTTGCATTGCGAACAGACAGCTTTATCGCTAGGAGCGAATGCTCGACCCGGAGAAGATTCGTGCAGACTAGTCTGCGCTACATCGTTAAACACGTTTCCTTCAATGAGGGCCGAGATGCCAGGACCGAGATCGAAGGAGTGACCAGTGCTTCCTTCGAAGGCCGAGTTGACGACGTGCCACACTGAATCTCCACCTTGGTTGTCTGGGTTGGCGATTCGCGGTGAGCGTCCGGAACAGTGCTTCATGATGTTTCCTGAGAAGGTCACTCTGTCGCTTTTGCCGTAGCCGAGGACGGTCCAGTAATGGCTGTCGTCGCAGGTGGCAGACCATTTGGTTTGGCAGTCAAAGAAGCAGTTCGAGATAGTAACCCTACCGGCGCTATCATATCCGGTCACAATAAACTGCCTTCCGATCAGCCTAAACGTAATCCTATCGATCCAGACCAAATCGCTATCCCTAATCGTCACTCCATCTCCTCCCCAGATAAACTCCGGGTTGATTAGTTCGATTGCGAACCCCTGCAGAATGACATTCTTCTGATGCGCAATAAGCAGCCCCTTTCCCCTAATGCCAGCATTGGCGGTAATACCAATAACAGATTTGTTCGGACCCATTCTAATCGGCGTCAACCCGGCCTTGTCGTATGTAACAGCATGGAAGGGTTTATCTTTGCACCATCCTTGGCCGTTGTCGATGGCCAATTGACCTTTGGAGGGACACTTGGCGTATGAATCAGGGATGCAGCCTGCACAGTTGGTGCAAACGCCGGCGGTGGTGCGGAAGTCGTACGTTCGGTCGAGATGGATTACGCGCGGTTGCGGATCGGTTAGCAGCTTGAATAGTTCCGAAGGGGATTTGGGGATCACGGGGGGAGCCGAGCCTCCACCGGTGGCTGAGGCTGCGAAGCCGTGAGGTCTGGAGGTAAGAGCTGTGCCGGAGCCAGAGCCAGAACCAGAACCAGAACCAGAACCAGAACCAGAACCAGAACCAGAACCAGAACCAGAGCCATAGGAGGAATAGAGATCGGGGGATGAGGAAGAAGGAATGGGGGTAGAGGGCATACCGTTGTAGTAGGAGGATGCGTCGGCGCCTGTGGGGAGCAAGCCGCCTTGGTGTTTCTGACCACCCGGCTGCTGCTGACCATCACGCGTACGATGACGATGCGTAACCAAATATCCTCCACCGATACTACGCTTCCTACTGCCATATTCACCAACGAATCTCTCGTGCTGAGGCACCTCTCGGTACCTCAACCAAGGTTCATCCAAATGAGTCCCATGAACAGGATGATAGACTTTCATATCGTCGTCCAACCACTTCAGTTCTTCCCTATTCTTTTGCGTCTCTCTTTTTTTCACTCCAGCCTTCTCCTTCTCCAACTCATCCCCCGCCTTGGTCTTTCCGCCGTCAGCAAGAGGCGAACAACCAGTGCCATGTACGATCTTCAATTGCTGTTTCACCCTATCCATCGCTCTACCCACATGACCTACCCACAATTCATTTAAGACGAGATTGACCTGATCCTCACCCATCCCCTTCTGCTTGAACCAGTTTCTATAGCACTCTTCCTCACTCTCTGTCACAGGTGGCACGTGCAGTTTCTTCTGAACAGCTTTGCCGAGTAAAGTAGGATCAATATCGCTTTTCTTGGCATTCAATCCTGCTTTCTTTCCCTGCGACTGTTCAAAGTACTTCGAAACCGAACTGGGATCGATGCGGGAAGCACCACAATCCGTTCCAGCAAAACAATCGGGTTGAGGGTTATGGACATTGCCAACTAAATCAGCCGACATTGCATACAGAACGATTTGCATCTCACCAGCAGAGCTGACACAACTTTGGAGAAGTTGCGAAAGAGCCGACCGCTGGGCGGTTGTTAAGGGGACCAGGTCGGTGGCCTGGGAACAGGAGGTGTATCGGATTCCATTGTAGTGGCAAATTTGGTTGTCGATGGGGTTGTAAGATGGTTTGAGCAGGGCGGACACTTGGATTGGTTCTTTGAGCACGTTGATCGAGTTTGATGCCGAGGCGAGGGTGGAAAGGAGTGTTAGGAGAGGGGCGAATGCCCAGAGATACTGCCTCATGTTTGTAAATAGATGGGATCGCTACCAGAGCGAGCCTCTGAATGGAAGACAAAGGAAGGAGAAAAGAGACGACAAAGTATGGGGATAGGGCAAGAGGAAAGGCAGACAGCGTGGGTGAACAAGGTCTTTATACGCCTCGAGACCGACAGGGTGGGACGGGATCGTCGCGACTATCACCGTGCCTGGCTTGGTCAGGAATGTACACACACACACTACTATTATTGACAACAAGGTGGGCCATATACGGTGGCAAATGAAGGTGTCCACAAGAGCAGATGCACAACCGGACTGACGCTCATCATCGAGAGTCGATAAAAAGGTGGGGTCAAGTAAGGACTTGATATGTCGACAACCCGCCCACTTTGCGTTGATATCCATTCAAGACAAAGAAGCGTCGCAACCCGGCGACCCGAAACGACACGCCCCCTGAAGTGGCTATGCCATAGCTCATCCCCTTTGAAAACAGGAACAGCCTTCATCAGTACTCACTTTTGGCGTTCTCCCCACCACAGGCACAACTCATCCAAATGGTCACAAGACACGATTCGCACCGAAAAGGCGAGCAACTCTACATAGAAGCCCTAACAAGCGCCTCCCAAAGCTCGATCTGGCTACCAAGTACCAGGATGGCGTCAGCCTGAACTTTGACGTCTTGCAATTCGGACAGTGCTTCCGTCCTGGCTCTAGTCCAGCTGGATTTGGCTTTGTCGCGCTCGACAGCGGCGATTTGGGATTGTAGTGCTGTGAGGTCTGATTGGAGCATGTGCTGGGTACGTGTGCTCTTTTGCACTGCCGTCTTACTGTGTGCTAGCTGCGTTTCGAGGGTGGTTGTGTTGCATTGGGATAGAGCGAGGGCTGAGCGTAAGCAATCCAGCTCTGCCAAAGCTGACGAGAGATGCGTCTGCAGTTCTGATGCATCTTTCTCTTGAGCTGCGTCCGAGTTGTTGGCCTGCATATCCCTCTCGTGTTCGGTGGGTGTAGGAGGAGCAAGAGGAGAGGCGGTGTGTTGGTCGCCAACCATATCGTCCAAGCCGATCCTAGCAACTGCTGAAACTAACTCATCCAAATACTTGTCGTCGTCCGTGAGCAACATCGTACTTGGACTTTTCCCAATTCCATCTCCCCCGTCCCCTTGCATCTCTTTCTTCCGCTCCTGTATTTTCTCTTCTCCTTGCGCATTCGAACCCGAGGAAGAGGGGTTGAAGTTTAGAGTTGCAAAATGCGCTTCCATCCCGAGAGATTCGCGGAGGGCCTTTTTCAACCTCATCCTTGTCTTTGCTGACATTCCTGCCGAGCGTGGACACTTGCATGGCGACGTTGAGGTTGAGGTCGAGGTGGTGGTGGGGATGGGGGTTGAGGGGATGGGGGTTGAGGGGATGGGGGTTGAGGGGATGGAAGGGACGTTTCTGTACCCCGCAACTCCAACACCGCCGCCGCGACGGATGGGGGTCTCTGCTACCTCTGTTCTGCGAAGTAATGTAGAAGCTGCGGCGGCTCGAAGCGAGGGGCTTGCGCAGGATGTGTCTTGCTCTCTTTCCTGCTCTGCTTGAAGCTGGGTAGCGTTGGTGCGGGCGAGTGCGCTAGGTGGTGTGTCTAGATACCCCACCTGTGCAGCGGATGAGAGAAGCATGCTCGTATCGGAAACAGGCGAGGAATTGGCGAGATCCAAAGCCATCAGATCAACGCTAACATCACCGAAAGTTGGGTCTAGATCTTGGCTTGCCTCGCTCCTTGCTCTAACCCCCGGTTCCGGCTTTTGGTGAAGGAGGTCGTGAACATCGAGATTAGCCTTACCAGCAACGACTTTTAAGCTGGCGAGAAGATTTGCGTCGATTTCACTAGCCGATACCTCCCCTGCCGCTGCTGTTGCAGTCGGGAGGTGCTTTTCCAGCGGCGAAACAGCCTCTTTCTCGGTGCAAGGAAAGAGCAAAAGCGAAGACTTGATAGGTGATCGAGACCCGCTGCTTACCATGCCCGCTGCTGCTGCTTCTGCTGCTGCTGTTGGTGGTTGAGGCTTCCCCGGTGTACTCTGCGCTGCTTTCTTCTGCAACGCTCCGAGCCTGGTGCTTGCCGACTGCGACCTGCCTAAGCTGCTTACTATCTCGGAAGACGAACCGGCCACACCTCGGGCACTCGCCAAGGAACAAGTAGAACCGGAAGAAGACAGAAGGACCGCACTCCACCGCTTCTTGGCCTTAATCAAGGCCTCGGGAGTACTTATCGGTTGATGAGCTGCCACTTTTGTAGACTGCAGAGCAAGGATCGACGGATGGATCGGGTTGGCAGAAATGATAGAAGACTTTATCCCAAGCCCCTGTTTGGCCGTTTGATTGTCTGTGCCCGATGCCTGCTGTTGACTACGAGACCGAAGTGTAGAGAGACAAGTTTTCGTTGGCGAAGCTGGTGGTGGAGTTGCGGCGGGATCTTCTGCGATAGCGACTTGGCTCGCCTTTGGTGGGTGGCAAGAAGATTGTGTAATGGCGAGTGCAAGGCTTGATCGCGGTCGAGATTGTGCGTTGAAGCCTGGTCCCATGCTGTGTCGCTTGGATGCAAGACCGACTGGCTTGGCGGGGTTGTGGGAGAGGTTCTCCTTCTCACCGGCTTGAGCGAGGGTGACGCTGTTGCTCGAGGATCGTCGGTGTGGTCTCATCCCTACCCTTGCACTTGCCGAGCTGCTGCCAATGCTAGGGATCCTGGACCCACTTGCCGCCGTTGTTGCGGCGGAGGAAGGGAGGGTCTTTGATGCCTCCTCTGCTGCTACGAGCGGTTTGGTTCGGATGGGCGAAACATGGAGCGCCTCCCCCTCGTTCTCCTCTTCCTCCTGCTCATCTTCTTGGTCGCTCTCAGAGCCAGAGCCTTGCTCCGCATCAGACATGCCACTCAACAACAACCCCTGCGGCCGTTCATGCAACAAGGTCTTCGCCGGCACTTGTCTCGCCTTTGGTTTGGGCAAGGTGGCAATCTTGGGCCTTTGCACGGTAGCAACTGATCTTGAGGAAGCACCGCTTATGGTCCTATTACGACTTGCGATCCTCGTTTCTGCCGGTGACGCTCCTCTCCGACTGCTAGTGCTGCTGGTGTTGGGGGAGATGGACGCATGAACCTCACCCACAGCATCAGACCTAGCGACCTTCCTGGCAACCTTGGACATGGATGGAGAAGCGGCCATCTTGACCAAGCCTCCCAAGCCACCGTTCCATGCGGTACGGGCAGAAGGAGGACCAGGCAACTTGGACCTATTGACACCAGCCATCGCGGTTGCATTCTTACACGCTCCACCCTGCGTCTTAGGGAGTAGCGCACCAAAATCACTGACGCATGCCATCGAGACCATTTCTTCCACCGGTCGTTTCCCGAGTGATGAAGCGGCTCTCCTTTCTTCGGGACTGGTGGATGCATTCCGCCTGCGGGGCAGGGTTGAGCTGTCTAGTGCAGTTGAGTTGGTTCGATTCCTAGCGCTGTTACTGAGGGAAGGAATACTGCTGGCTGCAGTTCGAATGATGGGTCGAGCGAGTTTGCTGTCCTGCGAAACCGAAGAGGAGATTGGTTGCATGTCTACACTCGTCTCTCCTGCTAGTGGTGCTGCTGGTTTGCAAGCGAGTTTAGACGCTTTATGCTGCACCAAAGCTGCGCGGAAAGAGAACTTGGGTGAGCATAGACCGCTGAATCCAGAGCCGATCTTGGACTGTGTTTGTGCGGCTGCTTTGCGCTTTGGCGAGGAGGAGAGCGGGGTGTCATTCGAACGAGCCGACATGGCGAGCTTTTTGTCTATGCTAGCCTAGGCCCATGTGTGGCAGCGAGGCATAGGAGATGGTAGAATGTCGTCAAGAGCAGAGCCTCTGAAATCGACACCTCTTTCTGCGCCAGACCAACACATCAACACATCAACACATCAACACGTCAACGCGTCAACACGTCAACGCGTCAACGCGTCAACGCGTCAACACATTAACACACGCGACAGACACGCGTCGCCTTTCAACGCCGAGTTATCGCCCTTTTATCGCCCGTAACAACGCGTGAAAATTAGTTGAATTTAGATGTGCCGGTCCAGAGGCCACAGTCAGGCACTCTTTACAGTCGGGTGATCTAAGTAAAAGGACTTTTTTGGTTTTATCAGGTGTGAGAAGCTACGAACATAGTGTATATATACCTTAACAGCTGGCCATGCTCACTCTTCGATTCGCATCTCGCTCCACGTCGCCACCCGTCAACTCCCACCAACCCCCACCAACGCTCAACACCACCCACCAACGTCCCCTATCCCACTCAGTAACAACACGCAGCCACACGTGCCACGTCACCCATTCACACACACAGAGACCAACGTAGAAGCATATATAGTTCACGATATCACTTTGTACTTAGCTTCTCGAAATACAACGATTTTGACCGCTCGCTATCTCGAACTCACTGTGTTTCTCAACACTTTTATCGCCCGTAACAACGCGTGAAAAATTGACCGAAAAGGAGGCTGAGAAATTGAGCGGAAAAAGAAAGGAATGTTAAATTGTCTTACCCGAGTGAGCGTCGGTCACTCGCCCCTTGGCTCTCGCTAGTGAAATCACATGACTGCGTGTTCATGCTCTAACACAACTGCAAACTTCACTTGACATTGCCACTTGTCAACTCCCACCAATGCTTGGTTTTCCCCACCAAGACTCCCATCCCACTTGACAATGGCACACCCTCATATGTGTCACTTTCTTCTACACATGCACATGCCAACCAACAGCAGAGGCATATATACTTCTGCTATTGCTTTGTACTTAGTTCCTTTCAAATGCTAATGATTTTTGCCTCTCACTTGACCACCCTGATTGTGCTTTCCTTAACAGATTAAGAATCTGAACACTCTGCTGTAGGAACACTGCCTCGCCTCACCATGCTGTCTGATCCATATCCTTGCCTGCCTCTGCCACCCAAAGAAAGAACCCACCTCTGCCAAGCCTGATGAACCAGCATGCCCCCACAAACCCATGATCCAGATGCTGAGAGCAGTGATCTGTCTGACAAACCACACAAGGAAAGAGCTCCCACTGCACCACACAGGCAAATGCTGATTTGCATGGAAACCCCTTTATGCTACAATTCCAATGACAATGATGACAGTGATGAAACCCAATATAACATTGACACCATCTCTGAACTCAACCCTGAAGTGCTCAGGGGTATGCTCATCAAACTAACCAAATGCAACAAAGTGAAGAACTCCAATGCATACAAGAAACCCTCTCATCACTCCAATTTCCACCAATGACTCTCTTGCACCCATGATGCCCTAAAAGAAGCCCCCAAGCTCATGACCAAAAACTGGTATGCCTGGAACCCCTGCTTCAGGGGCATCCTGTCCAACTGGCCTGTGGCTATGAAGCACCTTGACAGAACCATGACCACTGAACACAAGAAATATGACTGTGCCCTGGATGGCTAACTCTGCACTATCCTTCAAAGTAGTGCCCTACTCACCAGAAATGACAATGTCAATTACCTCTTCATATGACCCACCAACTCAGAACCCTGGAAACTACATGATCTCTACTGCAGGCTCATGATGGACCTCACAAAGATGGAAAAGATCACCAAGTTGACCCTGCTCAATGAAGTTGGGAGAATCTGCATGTTCCAAGCAAACATCTGGAAACTCATTGCCAATATCAATGAACATTGGGCCAAAGCCGAGTCTATGGGTCATGCCCTTCCTGAGATCCTCAAGGTCAAAACACTTATCTGTCAGAGGTCGCATGCCCAAAACCTGATATCTGTAATAGAACCGTGTCTATTACAAATTCTGTCGAGATATGTGACAATGATTGTGGTATTATGATTTTTGGCAAGATATGTAGTAGAAATGTCTCTATTACTTTTTTCACTCAAAGATGCAGTAGTGGTTTTGCTATTGCAGGTTTCGACTAACCACTGTGGACACTCCATCCAGAGGTGGCTCAGCATGATCAATAACTAATATGAACTGGTACTAACACCAAGGTCTGGTGTGGTTAAGATTGTTGTTGTCACCAACACAAGTGTCCAGTGTGTCAACTGAGTGCTTGAGGTGATCCCCAGACCACAGTGGACAACTGCCTTTGGTTCTATCATTATCTGGACTGCAGGTTTCAATGAACCACCTTCAGATGTCAGGGAGCAGTGATACAACACATGTGCTATGATGGAAGCAATCTTATTGAGATTTCAACTTGCTGACTGAATACTAATGTATACTTATGTGTAAGCTATAACTAGTAATGAAAGGTGTAGAGTGGATGGAGATCCACTCATCCACCTATGATGAGAAGGTATGATTATATACATCTTTACAGTGTTGCCTGCAACACTGCTCTGGCTCTCTCTCCAGAGAGTACCCTCTTCATCAAGTCCTACTTGTCCTGTGACATCGCTTCTGTCCTTTCTGAGCTGGGTGTTGACCTCTTTGACACTGCTCTTCCTCCTCATGACCTATATGCCAGTGTCCTTGACACAGCTCTCCTTCCTCCTAACCAGCAACTGTTTTCCTGACTCCTGTCTTGTGAACCCCTGAGTGGTGACTGTCAGGGGTCTCGCGCCTGAAACCCAGATCGGTCTGTCGAGGTACTTGGTGATTATCAAACTGTGCAACAGCTATTGTCTCAGTATCAGTCTCAATGAGTTAGTCATTCAGCGACTATCAAGTTGTGCAATGACAGTGGGTGGTGTTTGTTGTATATACTATTGTAGGTTTTGGCTGACCTCTGTGGACACTCTGTTCAGGGGTAGCTCAGCACGACCAATTTCAATATGTAGGTTATGATGACACCAAGGTCTGGTGTGAGTGTTGATGATGAAGAGGTTGATGGTGTTGGTGATAACCACTCAGGGGCTCAAGAGACAAGAGTCAAAGGAACCGTCACTGGTCAAAGGAGAAGGAGCAGTGTGTCAGGGGTCTCGCGCCTGAAACCCAGGTCGGTCTGTCGAGATACTCAGTGACTATCAAACTGTGTGACAGCTATTGTCTCAGTATCAGTGACTATCAAGTTGTGCAGTGACAGCAGGTGGCATTCGTTGTATATGCTATCGTAGGTTTCGGCTGACCTCTGTGGACACTCCATTCAGGGGTAGCTCAGCACGATCAATATCAATGCTTCGGTTATGATGACACCAAGGTCTGGTGTGAGGGTTGATGATGATGAGGTTGATGACATTGGTGATAAGGTTGGTGAGTGTTGATGATAATGAGGTTGATGGTGCTGGTGATAAGGTTGGTGGCATCAACACGAGTGTCCAGTGTGTTGACTTTGATGCTTGAAGTGATCCCCGGACTGCAGTGGACTACTGCCTTCGGTTCTATCTTGATCCGGACTGCTAACCTGCTATGGGGTGCCTACAGATGTCAGGTAGTGGTGATACAACACACACACTACGATGAGGAGCAACCTTGATAGATTGCTGCTATGCTGACTGTAACTAATGAGTACTTATGTTTCTAAAGTATTGACTAGTTGTATGGTGAGTAGAGTGGATGAGGATCCACTCGGCCTATGATGATGAGAAAGCATGGTTATATACCTCTTCACAGCTTCGCCAGCGATGCTGCTCCTGCTCTCTCTCCAGAGAGTACCTTCTTCATCAAGTACTGCTCAGGGGCCTCTCCTGCTTGGCACCCCTGTGCCTCTTGAGTGGTGTCGCCTCCTTCGACACTGCTCCTCCTCCTCATGACCTGGTGTCGACTCCTTCGACACTGCTCCTCTTCCTCAGGACCTGCTTGCCAGTGTCCTATGACTCTTGTCTCTCAAGCCCCTGAGTGGTAACCATCTGAGCTTGGTCCTCTTTGTGGCTGTGCCTGCTCCTTGAGCTTGGTCCTCCTTGTGGCTGTGCCTGGCCCTCCTCGCATGTGGCTCGGTTCTCCTTTGCATGTGAGTCCATAGGAGTCCATGGTCTCCATGGAGACTGCACTACGACCATGCTCTCTACTGGTATCGACTAGGTCTTCGATACCTGTGCTCCTTCCATATGAACCAGTGACCCTCCTGCTTCTTGAGCATCCAGGCCCATGACACTCTGCACTGCACTCTTCAAATGACAGGACAGCATGACCACCCAAATGGATCACAGAACTGGCGACCTCAAGTCTGTGCAGGCGAACCTGGCTGATGGAGAAGTAAAGAATGAGGAGGCTTACCAATGGGGTAAACCTGGGCCCAACAGTGTATGATGTTGCTATCATTGCAACATGGAGAATCACATCTCCAGATATTGCCCAAGGAAAACCCAGGGAGACATGACTGCCATGGCCCCCACCTCAACCCAGATGACCACATAGGATATGTGGTGTACCATTGCTTCTGCCCACCATGTCTCCCTGGATCAACAACCAAATAACTGGATTGTAGACTCCAGGGCAACAGATCATGTCACAAATGATAAATCAAATCTTAGTTCATCCCTCCCCTGCACTGGCTTTGTGAAGACCACTAGTGGAACAAAGATTTGTATTGTGGCTGTGGGTCAGGCCATGCTCAGAGTGAATGGCCATAAAGTACTACTAGACAATATACTTTATGTCCCAGACTCTAATGCAAAGCTGATCTTGGTAAAGGCATTAACAAATAATGGTGCATGTGTGATGTTCAGCTCCAAATACATAACCATAGAGCTGTCAGCTGATGAAACAGTCATCAGCAAACTCAACCCTCAGACAAGGCACTATGAAATGAATGCCAGGACTGTGTGGTCAGCAAGTCAACTAAAGCCCAGATGGGACATGGGAGTGGTACACATGCTAAAGACCCCCTAGAATTGATACACATCGATCTTGCCATGCACTGGTCAATGAAGACTGAGGTCACATGCTTGCTAGTCACAATTGATGATGCCTCTAGCTTTACATATGTGAAACCACTCCAGACAAAATCAGATGCACTGCAAGTCTTAAAAGAGTGGATTCAATATGCTGAGGTACAGATGGGCCATAAGCTCAAAACCCTTTGCTCAGACAATGGGGGTGAATAGGTCTCAGCAGTGGCTATCAGTTGGCAGAATGATGCTGGTTTCCAGTGGCAAAAGACATCGCCATACACCAGCAAACAAAATGGTAAGGCTGAGCACACAATCAGAACAATCAGGGAGATGATGATCACCATGATGCACATGCATCACCTGCCACAGATGTTCTGGCCTTTTGCTGCCAAGGCCACCACATTCATGAAAAACCTTCTGCCAAATGTCGAAAATTGGGTACCATACCATGTTTTCTACAGGAGGGATCCCCACAAACCATTTAACATGCTCTGGACCTTCAGTTGCCTTGCATGGGTCAACATACCCAGGGCAAAGTGTAAGAAGTTGGAGGAGCTGGCCAACCTGACAATCTTGTCAGATATGATGAGGAACACAAGGGATGGAAGTTCCTATCCCCAAATCATAATCTGCTGGTCTTTTGGTCCAACTCAGCATGTTTCCTCCAAAACAGGTCATGGAATGACTGCACAGACATGACCCAGATCCAAGACATGGATGCCCTGCACTACAGCCCTGGGGCTGACACTACTGACCTCAGCTATGATGATGTCAACATGCATGACAAAGAACTCCAACAACCTTTGGATGATGTCTACTGCCCAACACAGGAGCAAGATATGTTTTCCAGGGGAGAAACAACACCCCCTGAACTGGCAGATACCACCCTCGACCACCTGGATGGCATGACAGACATGGAACCTGTTTTGACCACATTGACCATACCCTCAAATCAAGCATCTGACAGTACAGTAGAAAATGGATACCAATTGGAAATGTCATCAGCCTCACCACCCCCAATCAGAGACCTTGCATGCCACACTCAAGACTCCACTTTCTCCAAGTACTCATCAATACAAAATGTGCAATATTATCACAACAAGTTTGCCACAATGTGTGAGATGTACCCATGGCTACATCTGACAACACTCACTAAACTGCTCTGCATTTACCCAAGAATGTTCCTGCCGGCTGCCAAGATGCACCAATTCCAGGAGAAGCTCCAGCACCATGGCAAACTAGCAAATATCAGACCCATTCTGGAGTATAACACCAATGTATATCACAATGCAAATGTATATACATTTTTGGTCATGAATCTAAAGCCATCAGTGAAAGAAGCATTAACTGGACCCAATCAGATCCATTGGTGTGAGGCAATCAAGGCAGAAATGGATGGTCTTGAGAGCATGCATATCTGGGAGACTGTGGACTGGCCCAAAGACATGAACCTCATGGACTCCAAACTTGTCCTACAGGTCAAGACTGATGCAAGCAATGTTCCATATAAGTTCAAGGCTAGATTTTGAGTGCAAGGCTTCTCTCAGAGGGAGGGGATTGATTTCAATGAGATCTTTGCCCCAGTGGTGCCCAGGGATGTGATAAGGACCATTCTCACAATTGCAGCAAAGTTCAACTGGGAAATAGATTCTGTGGATGTTACACAAGCCTACCTCAAAACCGATCTACATCATGACATCTATTTGAAACCACCAGAGGGTGTGGAAGTCCCAGTGGGGAAGGTGTACAAGCTTGTTAAAAGTCTGTATGGCCTGAAGCAATCTGGTTGAGAATGGCACAAGGTGCTTGATGCACATCTATGTCATCTGGGTTTCTTTCCCCTCCTCAACATTCCCTGTGTCTATCTAAAGGGTATGGGTACATCCCAAGTGATCATTGCAGTATATGTGGATGATATGCTTATTGTATTGCCACAACAAAACCAGATCAACAAGATGAAAAAGGCAATCATTGACAAATGAAAAATCACCAATAACAGACCTGCCACCAAGTTCCTCAAGATCAAGATCATGCAGGATAGGGAGGAGGACAATCAACCTGGATCAGCATGCTTATATCAAGGAAATCATGAGGGAGTGGATCCAGCTGCATGAGAAGACATGGACACCAATGGTCCACACCCCAATGAAGGCACCCAACAACAAAGAGACTGATGATGAACTGAAGGCCAGGTACCCAGTCCTGGTGGGAAAGCTTTTATGGATCTCAAACACTGTCTGGCTGGACATCACATTTGCAGTCAACACCCTGGCCCACCACATGTCCAAACCCACCAAAGGGGCCATGCAAGCAGCTCTGCAGGTGGTGAAATATCTGAATCAAATGCATGATGAAGTCCTGAGACTTGGTGGCAAGAATGAAAATGAACCACCCATCACCATCTACATGGACTCAAACTGGGCCTCCAATCTGAATACATATAGGAGGAGTACATCAGGCTCAATTGTAAAGGTGTTTGGCAGCATGGTGACCTGGAGCTCCCATGTCCAGAAATGTGTCTCAGATTTGGCCATCAAAGCAGAGTACATGGCAGGATTGGCAGCCATGCATGAGGTCCTCTTCCATTGGCATCTGCTACAAGGGCTTGGTGATATTGTCATGCAATACATTAAGACTGACTACAACAATGTGGACTACCTAACAAAACCAGTGTCCCAACACCTCCTAATGTGCACCCAGAAATGTCTTGGTATGATGGAACTCAACCCCCTCGACCACTCAGTTTGCGAGAAGGGCAGTGAAAACACATGACTGTGTGTTCATGCTCTAACACAACTGCAAACTTCACTTGACATTGCCACTCATCAACTCCCACCAACACTTGGTTTTCCCCACCAAGACTCCCATCCCACTTGACAATGGCACACCCTCATATGTGTCACTTTCTTCTACATGTGCACATGCCAACCAACAGTGGAGGCATATATACTTCTGCTATTGCTTTGTACTTAGTTCCTTTTGAATGCTAATGATTTTTGCCTCTCGCTTGACCGCCCTGATTGTGCTTTCCTTAACATCACTGCTAGTAAACCTATGTGACTTCTAGTCCGATCTCACACTGGCGCCAGCTTCGCTCACCCGATCCCGTACCTGACAGCCTCAGCATCCCTGTACTGTATCATACAGGTATACACAGAAGGCTGCAAGGCATATATATACATTCCTATCATCTTGTGCTTAGTTGATGATGATTATCGCAATCGATACTTGTGATCAATGGCATTTGCCGCATGTGCTTCAACACTGCTCCTCATACGGCACTTGTTCTTGTGTAGCACTGGACTGCTTCGATTGCCATGATTCTATGGAAATGGTTGATATCGATGATGGGCGAGGTGGGATGTGAGAAGGTTAGCACCACCAGCCGTACTCATTACAGACCCACTCGACATCCTCCCCCTCTTGCTTATCCGCATACCAAGCAAGCGCAGGCAAACTAGCTCCACTTCCTTGCCTCTCGACAACCACTCCTCCTTTCAACTTGTCTTGGTACCCTTGCACTTTCTCCCCCGCTTTCAACTTCTGATCGTCGTCCTCACTCAGCTCGACACCGAGGGAAGCAAGGTCTAGGTTCCATGCGAGGCATTTCTTCATCCCGAATTGCCTCGCCTGGCCTCTAATCGCACCGATCAAGACCTGGAATGCTTGTGGCGAGGAGAATCTGAAGCGGAGGATGGAAATTTTGCGCTCGATATGGTCGAAGATGCATACCGCATACGATTCATCCCCTTTGCCAGAGGTGGAAGGGAGGTATAAGCCAAAGTGTTTCGGTTTAGGAGCGGATTCGGGTAGGAGGGTGGTAGCGTAGAAGCTGGATCGCTTTATGAGCCATCGCCAGGAAGTAGCTTCTGGATCATCTAGACAGAATCTTATCTTGCCATCTCCCGGGGAGGAAGGGGTTTGAAGCTGGGAGAGGAGGAATTCTCGATCCATCCTACCAACCTCTCGCAATTCTTCCGGCTCTAACCACTTTGCACCCTCCGGCAAGCGCATCGGGCTATCGCCTTCCGAAAGAGGTGGCCATTCAACGTGTCGATTGCCGACAACTTGCCAGCCGAACTTCTTATAGTATTCCCCTACATCACTGTACAAAAAACTCAAAGTTGCATTGCTACCATACCGACGATCCTCACCCAACTCTCCTTTTCGCTCATCTAAGCCTTCAACCAAGTCGCCCGGCCGCGCTGCCCGCTTCGGTTTCAAAATCTCTCGTAAAAGAGTCATCATCTGCCCCGCATACCCCATCCTCCTTTTCCCCTCAGGTACAAAAACACTGCAGACACTATATCCCCACCCGCTCTCCACTCGCCCCTTGCCTGGACGCTTGAAGAGGATGGGGCGACGATAAGTCTCGCAAGCAGAAAGAAAATCCTGAGTGGTAGTATTGTCCGCGGGGACAAGGACCCAACGTTGACGACGGTTGCGAGAGAAATCGGTGCCGTCGAGAACGCTTTTCTCGCGCGTTATGAACTGGTCTTCAGTTAGGAGGGGAGCTCCCCATTCCAGATGTTCGCGTTTGGTAGCGATCAGGTCTTGGGCCGGGGTGGCTGGGACCAGGAGGTAGCCTGAGAGCGCGGCGGTCATGTTGGTTGGATGTCAATATGCATTAGGGATGGGTGAGGGAGAGGAGAGAAGGCAAGCAAGGAAGAAGGCAAGCAAGGAAGAAGACCAAGTCATCGAGTGATCCGAGCATGACCGAATGATTGCAAATTGGTGGTTGGTGTATCTCGTGATGCACCATGTTCAGGTTCGGATTCGTCGGTTGCGTCGGACACAACGGTCGGGGACGTGAGTTGGAGCATTCATGGAAAGGTACAGGCGACCTTGCTTTTTTTGTCAAGTTGCCAGTATTGCCGCCTACACCAAAGTCAAGGAGACCTGGCTCCGCTGAGACAGGTGTGAAGGCACCAAAGCCAGGTGACATTGGGTCGTACCGTCAAGTCGAGGTTGAATCCAGAAGGCATCGGCTGTGCTACCAACCCGATTTCGACTCTGACGTCTGCAATAGCGCTGCAAGCTGAGACCTGCCCGATTTCAGTGCTGTCACGATACTGGCGTGTGGCGACCAGGCTGACCACATTTCCCACCATTCCAAGCATCCGACACTCGGTACCACTTTGCCGTGCTAGCCCACCTGACCCGATCCGTGCCTTCCATATCTCGTCGTGACCACACCTTTGCGAACGGAAGAAGGATCGCCGAAGCTTGAGAACAGGCTTGATTTGGCGGGTATGAGAAAGGCGGTAATCGACAGCCCAAGTTCTTCCTCCGATTACAATGAGCTAATTAGAGCCATTGTATGGAGGAATACAAAGCTGAGTCTGCCAAGAAATTTGGCGCAAGTCGGTTGCGCATAGCAAGGTTCGAATTCGGTCAAACTGGGAAAACAAAACGCGGAACAGAGGCTTCCGTTGACGCCATGCGCGGTATTCTCTCTGACTGCACCTCGCCCGTGACTGACTGACTGACTGTCCTTTTCCCTCTTTTGGACAGGCGAGGTTTGGAGGCTGAAGATTGGATCGCCTGTCTCTTCCTAGTGTTTAGGCGAGATGGATGACACACACCAGATAGCCATCTTCCTCAGCCATCCAAGAAGAGTCGGTATTGTCGCCGTTTTATCAACTCGCTTGTCGCTGTCTCGATAAGCGTGTTCGAGTAACTTATCTCGTATCGATGCTGGGAAAACTTTTGAGAAGACCAACGCGCGGCCGCAATCATAGGTGTTGATGGACCGGAGGTCAGGAGGTTGTGCGCGTGTTTGCCTCGCTCCCTTCTGTAGAGTGCAAAGACTTTGCTTGTCTTTTCGCAGGCGAGCGGGGATAAGCTGGCGCAGGCAGGAGATGAGCCAAGAACAGAGGATGCCTTCGGCAGAGATCCAGCCGATGGTCGCGTTGGAATGCGTCGCCTTCTTTTCCACCACTTTGCTTTTTCCGTTGTCGTACAAGGGTGGGAAGAAGGAGAAAGCGGGGCAGAAGACGAGTAGAAGCTGTCGGGAGATTTTGATTCGTTTTGGTGTGCATGAAAAGAAGAAGTTTCTTGGCCAAAGTTTCCGATTTTTGGTCGTGGGAAAGGAGAGAGGTTCATCGCACCTTTCAGAGACCGCTCTAGACCATTACTGCAATCTAGCTGCAAATGCATCAAGTCACGGGATGATAACTTAGCAGACCCATGTTCCACGAGTGCGGAAGGTAGTATTCCGCGCGTTCATCACCTACTCCTCTCTTTGTCTCCCACCACATCATTGACTGATTGTGGGTAGGTCGTGCTAGTTCCTAACTCGTCCGATCGACTCTGTCACTGTATCAGTCTGAATCCGGTCAGCCTTGATTAGCATGCAGGAACGACAAGAAGCATGTCGACTTCTGATAGGCTGATTGACTTTGATCCAACCAGAACGTCGCCATACCATCAAGACGATGAGTGGTTTCCATGCCATCGGCGCCATCGTGAGGCGTGCGCCATTTTGAATGATTCGGTCGGCCACTCGATACACCATGGCTGTGTCAACGCCTTTGTCGCCAAATGTCGCTAGCCTGGAAGGTGAGAATGAGAGCTGCTTGTCCAGATTACCGGTCGATGAGTGGAAGCTATTGAATGAACCGAAGCAGTGTTCTAACGGCGACCGCCGACGGGACAGAGAGCGGAATGGCAGGATACTGCTGGTGTCGCTGAAGTACCCCGCACTTGCGCTCGCAATCTAACCATCTCGCTTAGCTATCATCCCGAATAAAAAGGGAAGGACAGAGTTGGCTGATTATGGTGGGAAATTTATGCCTCACGAGCTTGCTTGCATTACCCCTCGCTTGCGTGGGTTACTATATGCTGGATTGCCATCCTTGCCCGTGACTGCGGTGTCATCGTCTCTGCAGAATCAAAAACCCGATGGTCTGATGGTTTTCAAGAAGAAATAGATGGTTATGCTTTGGTGTTTACCAGCTGCCTGATGATTTACGCTATCTAAAGGAAAAGATAACGATGCTGGCACTCGCTGTTGGACGAGCTTGCTCCCGGTGAGCACCTAGTCAAGAGACCGAGCCAGTCGAACAAGGCACTGTCGAAGTGAAGAAGCAGAGACTTGCAAAAGAATACCCGAGAAGCCGTCGGCGAATGGGATGAATGGAAAAGAGAAGAGAGAATAAGAATCAGAATTGCTGAGAGCAACGATAGAATTTCTGGGTCTCTACCACCGGTCAACTGAGTCGAGACAGGCTTGACAAGGCCCGAGACCTTGAATCTTAGCTCTGTTTGCCACTCTGATGCCAGACCGCAAAAGGGAGGACGCCGCTCCTGCTCCTTTGCTGCAACTGCAAGGTCAACAGCAGCTCGAGCGTCGGAAGCTTGGCAGCCATACCGCGTTGATGCCGCTTCTATCAGGTCTATTGCCACTGTTCTGTGTACTTGCCTTTCCTCTGCTCCCATATCATTTCGTTACGCTTCGCTTCGAACTCGCTTCCTCCTCCGCTTCAGTCCGTTGTCGAGAGCCAATTGCAATTCTTGCTTGCTTGCTTGCCTGCCAAAGTCCTGTGATATGCCCCCGCGATCTTGCAAAGCCGGATTTGAGCTCTGATAAGCCTGTTCTTTGGCTTTTGCCACAGGACCCATGTCGCTCTTCGCTCCTCTGTCAACCGAGCTCGTCTTGTTGCATCAAAGCTTTGGTGTCCCCACCGCCGACATCGACGCTGCCCATGAGACCATCTCTGTCCAATCGTAGCTTGTTCTCAGCTCATACTCGCACCAATCCGCTCCGTCCCTGCATCCGCCACTTGATCTCTGCGCCTCGCCTTCTCATTTCGTCCGACGCTAGTGATTCTTTCACCTCTCTTGGCATCGCTGCTGCTGCCCAATCGCTCAACTCTGACTCGAATCTAGCCTTTTGGGTTTAGAGGCTTTCCCCTCATGTGCCTTGCTCAACTACTTGGTCCGGTCAATCATATTAATACCCCCTTCTCCTTCATTCGACCTATCAGCTCTTGTCCACCCCCAAGCAGTCCCTCTTCCCTCTTCCTCGCCACTACATCGAGCTCACCTTTCGTGGTTGTGCTGCCGAGGACCGCTTCTATTCATCATGGCTGCTCCAACCCCCACCTGGGGCCAGTTGCACAACGAGGCCAACGAAATTTCCGAGAGTCACCCTCCCCACTACCGCGAGCAGCACGGCCTTGATGCCCACTCTCCTGCTGATGACGAGAAGAAGTCGCCCGTTTCGTCGCAGGAGGCTCTCGACAGTCAGCTCCCTGTGACGGGCTACTACGACTCGGAGAAGAAGGCCGTTGCCGGTATTGAGGACTACGTTTCTGAAGACATTCACTCTGGCGAGCAGTTCGCTCTTCACTACTTCCCCGAGGAGACCTCGCAGCTCACCATCCGTGCCCTTGTGGTGGGTACCATGCTTGGTTGCGTCATTGCCGCCTCCAACGTCTACCTTGGTCTGAAGACCGGTTTCACTTTCGGTGCCTCGCTCTTCGGTGCCATTCTTGGTTACTCGATCATCAAGCTCATGCAGAAGGCCCTTCCTGAGAAGCTCGGTGGCGGTTTCTTCGGTCCCCGTGAGAACTGCACTGTCCAGACCGCCGCTACCGCCGCTGGATCGCTCACGGGCATGTTTGTCGCCGCCGTTCCCGCCATGTACCAGCTCGACCTGCTCCACGACCCTCTCAAGGACTTTGGCCGTTTGGTCACGTTCTCGGCTGTCTCGGCCTACTACGGTGTTTTCTTCGCCATCCCCCTCCGCAAGTTCTACATTCTCAAGCAGAAGCTCATCTTCCCTTCGCCCACCGCCACCGCCTTCACTGTGCGATCGCTCCACGCTCCCGGAGGAGAGCTGACGGCCAAGAAGCAGTCGCGCGCCCTTCTCTACTCTTTCGCCGGCGCCTTCACTTTTGTCGTCGTCAACCAGTACGCGGCGGGTATCCTGATGGACTGGCACGTGTTCTACTGGTTATACAAGTGGGGCTGGAAGAAGGCTCTCGTTGTTGACAACTGGGGTTGGATCATTGAGTGGACTCCGGCTTTCCTTGGTGCTGGTATGCTCTCCGGTATGAACGCTTCTTACTCTTTCTTTGGCGGATCCTTCCTCATGTGGGCCATGATCGGCCCCGCCATCGTTGCTACAGGAGAGGCTCGTGGCCGTAACACTGGTCTGACCGCTGACCCTCCTGAGCCTCTGCGATGGTCGTACACGTCGATGAGCTTCGACCCCAGCAAGCAGCCCCTCAACGCCGCCTCGCCACGATACTGGGGTCTCTGGCCCGGTGTTCTGATGATGCTTGCCTACTCGTTCGCCGAGATTGCGATGAACGGACCCACCATCTACCGTGGTGTCCGTGCCGGTGCGATGGAGCTCTACTGCAACATCGCTCGCAAGGAGGTTGCCGAGTACGAGGATGCTATTCCTGATCCCGTTGCCAAGCAGGACCAGGTGCCTATCTGGGCGTGGAGCGGTGGTCTCTTCATCTCGATCGTCTGCACTTGCCTTGTCTGTACGCTCCAGTTTGACATGAACCTCGGCAACGTCATGCTTGCTATCATGCTCGCCTTCATCTTCTCGTTTGTCGGTGTCCAGGCTTCGGGTGCGACCGACACGAACCCCACGGGCACGCTCGCCAAGGCCTCGCAGCTGATCGTTGGTGGTGCTCTCCGTGGTCAGGGCAAGACGGGAGCTGCTGGTTTGTTGGAGAACTTGATCGCTGGTTCGATCGCCTCCTCGGCTGCTTCGCACGCCGTTGACATGGTCGGTGATCTTAAGACTGGTCACCTTCTGCGCGCCAGGCCGCGCAACCAGTTCTGGGCCCAGCTTTTCGGATCGTTCTGGTCGATCTTTGTCTCGACTGGTCTCTTTGTGCTCTTCACCAAGGCTTACCCATGCATCACCGACGCTTCCGCCGAGGAGTGCCCCTTTGCTGCTCCCGCTGTGTCTGCCTGGAAGGCTGTCGCGGTTGCCGTCATCTCGCCCAAGCTTCCGGTCAGCTTGTCGTCTGGTTTGACGGCTATCGCTTTCGCCATCATCTCGGTGGTCACAGTGATGGCCAAGTACACGATCATCCCTTCCAAGTACCACGTCTATGTGCCAAACTGGAACGCTGTTGGTCTCGGCTTCGTTGTTCCTCAGGTGTACTACCCGATTGCCATGTGCATGGGTGCCACGTTGTCGCTCTTCTGGAAGAAGAAGAGCGCTCAGTCGTTCGACTTGCTCGCCTTTGCCATCGCTGCTGGACTTATCGCCGGTGAGGGTATGGCTGGTGTGTTCAACGCTATCCTTACCATCGTCGAGGTTGCTGGTAGCTACGTGGGTACCGATGTTGGTCTCCCTCCCTGGTAAACTGTCTTGCGCAAAAGCAACTCTTATGGGCATCTTGTATTCTTTTTTCCTTTCTCCTTGTTCGTTATTTGCACGTTTCAGCATACCCCTTCTCTATCATTCTTTTGTCGAGTGTGTGCGTGTGGCTACAGTGCGTTGGTAAGTTTGGTCGGTGAGGGTCGATATGGCCTCGGCCTGTTAGCATTACGCATGATGGGAGTGAAAGGATGGTATAGACAAGACCAAGAGTAGACAATGACAAGTGCTCAGAGCAGGCAAAGAGAGATGATGGTTTACGGAGCAGAAGCAAGATCGCTGGCAATAGTGACGTTGCGCTCCTCATGGGCGAGCCAAGCGTGCGTTTCAATCTGTCCACTCGTTCGAACACTGTAGAAACGTCGGCAGGTCCGAAGAGGTGAGTCAGCGAATCGGCAGATGCGATCCGAACTTTCCCACGCCCTCGAGCGTTGTGGGAAGAGGAGCCTCAAGATTGTGACGACTTACTGGTGAGTTGGTGACCCTGGTCGGTGAAAAAGTGACGGGCAATGTGCTGAGTTGCGATGGCGAGATTGCGCTTGGTGACTTGGTTGCCAGTGTTGGTGCAAGAAGCAGAGCAGTATTGCAGTCCCGGCGTCGAGGCAAAAGCGACATTGTAAGCATCTCGATCGATCACGCCATTGTTGGTATAGAAACTGCTCAGCGTTCCTGCCTGGCGAGAGTTTTCTGTGCTGGCAACGCATCGAGTCACACTGCCAGCACCGCCTTCCTGTGACGAGGCATAAGGATACTCGTCTTCACACGCCAACGCAATCCACAAACAGTCAGCAATCCGCACACAGTCAGTAATCACGCGTCGCTCTACAATCACAGAGCTTACCGCAAGAATTCGAGTCAGCAGGCTTGCCCGCGCAACGCTTGGGTGATCGGGTGATCGGGTGATCGGGTGATCGGCAGGCGGTGTTGGCACGATTGATCGAAGCGTTGGCAGAGTCGCGATCGAGTCTCCTTGGCTTACCAGCGCACTGGATCGCGTAACAGTCGTTCGAGCAGATGTTTGGCACACGAGTGGCAATCCCATATCAATGTTGCTGCCTGAGCACCGCGCTCGCATCAGCATCCGCGCCAAGTCGAGCTGGCACATCAGCGCCGTGGCGAGGAGCCATCTCTGTCAAAGAAGAAGCTGCTTTCCAGGTCCACGAAGCCAACCCACTCCGACCTCTGCTTTGTCATCTTCTCCGATCTCCATCTCGACCATCCAAAGTCCATGTTGACGTTTGCTACCGTGTTGCAAGGCTACGTCGATGCCGACTTGATCCCTTTCGCGCTCGTACTCTGCGGTAACTTTGCGAGTCAGCAGTACTCGTCAGCAGATATGATCGACATGTACAAGGCTAAGTAGCAAACTGCTCTCCGAACGAAGCCTGCTCTCGGCATCTTTGCTGGGGGGTTTTTTGTTTTTTTTTTTTTTTTCAGAACAACTTCATTCGGTCTAACAGAGATCCGCTCCCCGAAAAAAAAAGAGTTGCGCAGCTGACGAGGTGGTCTGTGCGCGAACTAGAGTCGAACACTTTCTATCGCTTTCCGCACCCTTCCTCCCCTCGCTCTTTGCTCACCACAAACACCATCATCCCCAAAGATCAGCCAAACAATGTCATCAACAAATGACGACCAAGCATCAGCCTCAGGCTCAACCTCTTCCGCACCAGCCGCACCTCGAGTCTTCCTACCCCCCTCCGCCTCTTCCTCTCCATCCACTTCTTCCCGCCTCCTCCCCCAACCCCTTGCTTCCGCCGAAGACGATCTAAAACCTTGCGCAGAAGAACTGAGACAGGCCTTTCGCTCTACCCTGCTCGGTCGTCACGGTCCAGATGCACCACTGCTAACCCGAGCTCTGCGCGAGAAGGAAGATGCACGTTTGGGACTGCACGCTAGCCGCAATCGCACCTTCCCCCATGTCCGAATCAGAATCCGGTTCTCAGACCAAACCATGCTCGAAGGAGACTTTACCGAAACAGACACGATCGATAAAATCTACACGCTCTTAGAACACGCTTTGGACGAAAAGGTCAGGCAAGTGGGAAGAGTCATCTATACAACTCCGCCAAAAATAGAGTATCCAAAACAGGATACCAAGCTGAAAGGCAAAACATTGAGAGAATTAGGATTCATTCCAAGTGCACTGCTGAACGTCAAGTGGCATCAGCCAGAGATGAATGCCAACACTTTTCCCGCACCATTAAGGCAGCAGTTGAGGATGAACGCCGAGCTTCTCCCACCACCACCGAGTTTCGATCAACAACCACCAGCGCCAGTGCCAGCATCAGGGCAAGCAAAACAAACCGAACCGCGCAAAGATGGAGGAAAGAAAGAGTCAAAACCAATGCCTAAATGGCTCAAGGGAATTGCTAGTAAGTCTTCCCATCAAACCCCCCGGCACTATTGCCTGTCGTCATGGCTGTCACTCTGTTACTGACAGTGTTCGTTGCGCCGATGAAACAGACAAGTAACCAAGACAGACAAGACAGAGAAGCAAGTGGAAAACAAATACCTCGGAACACTCTGTCTAACCGTCTATCCACTCAGACGCAATGCCACTAAACTGCACCACGCTCACACCACGACAGCATCACAACTCGAAATATACCATCCATTGCAAATCCTACTATCCCATTACATGAGGTGCGATCAACGATACTGTTGATAGTGTTTAGTACTCAACATTCGCCTTACGTCCACCGGCACCGCATAACTTTCCCCCACCAACTCCTTCACCGCCACGCACAGCTTATCAATCCTAACCACCAGCCCGAACAAAGTAGCTACACCGACGGAAAAGGTCATGTACTCGGCATCTTGCAGTGTGCTCATCGTTATCTTGCTCGGCAGAGTGGACAAAATCGCCTCCACGCCTTCATGTGCCCCTCCCGGTGTATCGATTGGGTCGGGGGGTAGGTAAGCGTGTAGTCCGTGAGGAGTATCCATGAATCGATCTACTAGTGGACAAGGTGTCACCTGTGGTAATGGTTCCCCTGTTTTCAGCGCCGTAGAGCACATTGAGATCACGCTTACTACATCGCCTAGGAATCTTGGGTCGAGGAAGCGCGTTCGACGGAGCAATGCGATCGAATATGCGGCGCCTAACCGCTCAAAAATGGCTAAGCAGTGAGAGAGAAGTTTGCTGATCTGCATCTGTACTTCGAACAACTCTCTGTAGCGTGCTTCAGGCCAACGTCCACGAAGGGAAAACTCGTAGGAGACGTTGACCGAGATCATGCTCAACCGGTGCAATTTGGCACGGATGCCGATGATTCGTTTCCGCACCAACTCGGAGGATGGGTGTGCGTTGAGTAATGCTGCTTCCACAGCTGCTCCAGTCGCGGGTTCGGGTCGGTGAGAGTGCAGAGAGGGACGTCTTGAGCTAGGTCTGGATCTACGATTCTTCTCCAACCCGGATGTTGTATGCTGTTGCTGTTGCTGTTGCTGTTGCTGTTGCTGTTGCTGTTGCTGTTGCTGTTGCTGTTGCTGTTGCTGTTGCTGTTGCTGATGCTGATGCTGATGCTGATGCTGATGCTGATGCTGATGCTGATGCTGCTGATGAGGATGACTAGCAATCCCAACAACACTACAATACACCCTTCCCAACTCGGCAATCGTCGCTGCATGCGATAACCTCTGATACTGCCTCAACGTCGAACTCGGCGGAAGATAGCTGAAAATGTACGCGGCCGAAACACCAACAACAACCGCAACAAACCTCCTCCACGACGTATCCCATCCATAACCCGGTGCACCAGGAGTTGGGTTAGTGACGTCTTTCCAGCTGTATCCGACAATGAGCGCTGTTGTGACAGAGGCAATAATCGGCGTGATCGGTGGACCGGGCAAGTAAATCCTGAACAGCATCAAAGGTGGGAAAGCCACTGCTGTTGTCGCGCCCAAGCCGTAGGCATTGCCTCTACCTGAGCCTGTGGAGATGTACCAGATGATAAGCGCAAATACAGCCCCAATCACAGTAGCCAAGATACGGGAGAGAAGTGCAAAGGCTGTTTCGCCTCGGAACCGCGCAAGGGTGAGTTGAGCCATAAAGATAGCCCAAATTGCCCTATTCTCATAGCACCAACCTGCGGAGGATTTGATATAGGCAGGAAGAGAGACAAGAGCGATGAGGGCAGCTGCTTTGATACCGAATAGTGCGTTACCTTGGAAGGGTCGACGGGTCCAAAAGTAGATAGTGTTGCCAATGACTTGGAGGAATCCTTCAGGATCCAAAGCGTCTGGGTCTCTAGCACGAGTAGAGCCAAGATCGACGATGGGATCGGCCGTGCTGGAATCGTGGTCGGCATCATCACAAGGGAAGTGCGCATGTGCATGGACATGTGTCGCCACATCTTTCTCTTTCCTTTTCCCCGCACTGCTATCCATGCAAGTCTCTTGCTCAGCAACAGTCTGACTACTCTTACTGCGCTGTCTAGAGGCAAGCGGCGTATCATTCGTGATATCAGGAATGTGCTCCGGATCATCATCCGGCTCATGCGCCTCATGCCCATCACCCAAAGTATTCCTCCACGCATCCACCGAAAACATCCTAGGCCAATGCGGATACCACACCGACGCTACCGTCCTCTGCTTCTGAATCGTCTCCACCTTCCTCAACAAGGCCAGCAACCTTTCCGTAAAACTGATAGTGTGAAACTGGTGCAACCAGGCTTGGTAGAGATACCTGTGATGAATCTTACCAATCTCTCCTGGACCCGTCCGTAGATCCAACTCTGCAGCAAGATTGTTGCTACTCAACGCAGCTTCTTGGTGCGCTTTGAGTGCGTCACGATATGGATCTAGCACTTTGAGTCGCTTTTCTTTTCTGAACTCTTCCAATCGAGCTTCGAGGCTGGAAATGACTTTGCTCGTTTCTTCTGCCTGCTTGCGTCCCTTGTGCGCGCGTGCCTCTGCTGACATGAAGAGCCGATCGTGCAAAAACCTGTATCGATGCGAATTGAGATGCTTCAACCAAGTGACGATATGTCGAATTGCTTCTGCATCAGCAGTAAGAAGTTCGCTTGAAGTCTCACGAATGAGCTGAGCAAACATCTCGGTGATGTAGTTAGATGTCGAGGTGTGCAGGTAGGTCTCCAAATTGCCGAAACGAATTGATTCCCAGATGGCGACCGGAGCAGAGTCGCGCTTGTGAACAAAGTTGTGAAGGAACTGGCTCGATCTGTCCCAGGCGTGATGGTGGTGGTGCGGATCTTTGTGTTGCGAGTGGTGGGAGTTATGCGCATGATCGCCGACATCTGTGGAGGTATGATGTTCGTGGTGAATCCAGCGTCGTGGTGAGGAGCTGCGTGAAGCTGCAGCGATGGATCGGGTGATCTTGCGGAAACGAGAGGAGGCAAGCTCGTCACCTGGCTGAACGGAGGAATGTTCATCGAGTTGGCGGAAGCTAGCTGGATGAGATGAATCGTGCGTGTCGCTAGGATAGACTTGGCCGCTCAGCCGAGACTCGCGATGAGGAGCCAATGTAGCGGATGCATGACCAAGCAACATCTGCGATGCTGTTTCATGAGCAGTCAGGCCTCCAGCAGGAGCAGGTGACCCGAGGGGCGTGTGTGGTGTCGCTGCTGGCGAATGGGGTCGCGATGGCGGATGCAGCGGTTGGTTGTGATGCGCTTGCACATGCTGGTGGTGGTGGTGTTGGTGGTGGTGGTGGTGGTAAAGACCACCATGTCCGGATTCCGAAGCATCTCTGGGATGTTGGAGCGAGGTTGGAGGCGTGATGGCGGGTGTTGCCAAGCGGGATGGCACTGGCGCCTTGGGGAAGTGCGCCGAGCGAATGTCTGCCTTGATCGAGGAATAGTAGTAAGACCAGCCATCTGCAGGTGCGACAAGTGACCTTGTCAAGCGCTCCAATGCCTTGAGATCGTCACCATTAGCCAAACCAAATGAAATCTCACGTGTCAGCAAACGCGAGGAGATGGCAAGCGGCATCAACCCACCTTCTGCGGCTGACAGCTTGTTGGCGATAAAGTCAAAGTTAAAGCCTTGCTTGTTCGCCTCGCCAGGCTTTCGTGCATCTTGACTGTCAGACGGCGTGTCGAGGGGCGAAGTGTGGAGCAAGTTGACCTGATCACCACAGGCATCTGCAATCGGGTTGAGAACGGCGACGAGCCGTTCAAGGAATTGTGAGTTGACGGATTTGGGAAAGAAGACGATGCTGATCAAAATGTTGATCGCTGCCTTGACTGCGAGTGGCACGACAACCGATTGGCCGAGAGTGTAGAATGGAAAGGGATAGAGCGGAGCATAGGTCAAACAGATGTTGAGGAGAATGCAGCTCAACACGGATGCAAAGAGGAAAGGACCTGGGCCAAAGCGAATCTTGACGTAGAGCACCACTGCCGAACCTAGAGCGAGGAAGAGGGCACAGACAATGCTGGCTCTTGCCTCGATGTAATGTCCCTGGATAGCAAGTGATATGTCGGTCTGGGCACGGGGAAGCTTGTTGTTGCGCACGGCGTAAGAGAGGGCGATAGCGATAATGGACCAGGCCCAAGCAGCGCAGACAAAGAGAAGAGTGAAAAACTCGCGTTCGAGGATAGCAGCCAACGGTACTTCTGCTGGCTGGATGAAAGCACCGACGAGAACGAGGAAAGAAGCACTGCCAAGGGCGCGTTCGGAAGGTGTAATGATGAGGAGGACCATACAGATCCATGCGAGGAGAGCGGATCGAAGGACGGGTTTGAGCTTTGGCCATGTCAAGGTAGGTGCGAGCCAAGAGATATACCATGGAAGAGGATCGAGGCCGACCAACTTGACGAATCGCTTCCAGTGCCTTGCTGTGCGATTGAAGTTGGGTTTGCGTTTGCCGTTGTTGTTGTTGTTGTTGTTGTTGTTGTTGTTGTTGTCGTCGCTGCTCGGAGCTGATGCTGATTGCTGTTGCTTTTCCTCCTGATCGACATCGGCTGAGGAGGTAGAAGTATCTGGTCTAGCACTGTCTGCATTGGTGGGTCGTTTGGGATCTGTTGCGAGCTCCTTGTTGGACTGAAGGCATGACTGTGGTGGTGTCATTGTGGGATGCGGGTGGAGCAAGGGCTGGAGTCGCGTTTGCCACAGCTGATGGTAGTGGTGATGGGAGTGGCGATGGGAGTGGCGATGGTGGTGGTGATGAGCGTGTTGGCAGGACCAGATGATTGGCAGGTAAAGTGCCGGGAGTGTCTGGGGGCTGAGTCGGTGGAAGGCAAGCGATCAGTGTGAGGGATATAGCAGGGATCGGTGCATCCGAACAAGAGCCCTTGCCCGCGCCTTGGGCAGTTGGGCGTTGTGACTGAGCATCGGCTCCTCCGCCAAGTGATGTCTGTCGAGGGTGCATGCGTGATTGTGACTGTGATGATAAGGAGGCAAGCGGCTTTGCTATGTCGACATGGTCGGAAGAACTCGGACAGGACTGACTGAGCGAAAGGGCACGCTTTGGAGATGATGGTCAGAATGCAAGCCAGCCAGAGAAAGGATGACATGGTCGATTTATTACACAGCTCTGTTAGGCCTATATATCCAACACAGCTAGGCCAAGATGGTCGGAAGAAAAGCTCAACAATGAATGGAATATGCCGGCGTCGACTCTGTGAAAAGTACAGCAGAGTTAGCTAAGGCCGTGCGCAATGCCTCCCCACGAACGAGGAGACTTTGGTCAGCAATCCTCTTGCTTCCATCCGCCTTCTGCTCCTTGTCCTCACCTTTGCTATCGGTCCATCCGTGCTTCCCTACCATCACCTAATTCCCTATCATCACCTAATTCCCACGCCATCTCACCTATTCCCACGCCACACCACGCCACACCACGCCACACCACGCAAGACCGACCCTCATGCCTTGGCCTCCGTATGTGACGGCAATGAATCTAGTCTACGAGCTCCTTGACCGGGGCTATCTGCCAGACGTCGTGCTTCGTCGGGCGATCCGATTGCTCAACGCACAGCGGATTGCCAGTCTCGCCAAACCGGAAGAGGATTTCTCGCTTCACGTCTCGACCAAAAAAGCGTACATCGAATCGCTCAAGACTCGGGAAATAGCGATCCAACAGGAAAAAGCAAACGAGCAGCACTACCAAGTGGATACTGCTTTCATGCTCTCCTGTCTCGGCAAACGGGCCAAGTACTCCTGCTGTCTCTACCAAACCGGCCGAGAAACGCTGGAGGAGGCAGAGGAAGCTATGCTCAACTCCTACTGCCAAAAGGCAGGTCTCGCTGATGGGCAAGAGATTCTAGACTTGGGATGTGGTTGGGGTTCACTTTGCCTCTATCTGGCGGAGAGGTATCCAAATTGCAAGATCACTGCTTTGTCCAATTCCAAGACGCAAAAACACCATATCGACTCGATCACTGCCTCGCGTGGCTTCAAGAACATCCGCGTCGTCACCGGCGACGTCAACGTCTTCCACTTGCCGCACCGCTCTTTCGATAGGATCTTGAGCATCGAAATGTTCGAACATATGAAAAACTATTCGCAACTCTTTCGAAAAGTCTCTTCTTGGCTCAAAGATGGAGGCGAATCTCGACTTTTCATTCACATCTTTTGCCACCGTACTACCCCGTATCATTTTCAGGACGACGATGGTTGGATGGCGCAAAACTTCTTCACCGGTGGTACAATGCCCAGTTTCGATCTCTTTCAGCATTTCCAGCAACATGTGACACTCGAGCATAGTTGGTGGATCAATGGAAACCATTATGCCAAGACCTGTGAGCATTGGCTCCAGAGGCAGGATAGAAACCAGAAGAAACACAATAGCCTCGAGCTCTTGAGGAAAGATGCAGTGAACAAGGGGAGTAGGCAGATCGATGGCGAAAAGACATTCTATAGATTCAGGGTCTTTTATCTGGCTTGCGCAGAGTTCTTTGCTACCAATGCGGGCAATGAGTGGGGGGTTGGACATTATCTCTTCAGCAAAAAGTAGCAAAGCCATACCCAACTCTATCCACCCTTTCACCCTTTCAGCCTTTCAGCCTTTCAGCCTACATCTCTCGCCGTTGCACTTGGAAAGAGGACGCTTTTCCTTCCCCTTGCTATAGAGTGGTGAGTTGGTGTCTACTTTGTCGCTTTGCTCTCTTCCACCGCCTTTCCGGGCTGCTGCTGAACACCGTACAGTGCCCAACGAGCAAACTCACTCTCGCCGAACCTGAGTAATGTCGTAATGCTTCCATCAACCACGGCAACCACCACGGATCGCCTACCCGCTTTTAATTTTGGGAAGACATTACCCGCTCCCGCTGCCCCGGCATTCTTCGCCTTACCCCTATAACCGCGCCTTGCTCTGTTCTCAACCCAACACCCCGGCGGACAATGTCTGAAAAGCCTCGCTAGTACCTTGAACATTTCAAAATCCATCAAGAGGACCTTCAAGAAGCGCCTAGCCAAACTACTTGCCCAAAACTTCTTCCATCCACCCTCGCTCTCCATCTGCTTTTGCTTGCTCTCTTGGACCGCAGCTTGTCTAGCCGCGGCCTTTTCTCGCAGCAACTTTTGTTTTCCTAGGCTCAACTTTCCATATGCAGCTCGGTTTTTAGCTTGATTCGAAACTTGGAGTGATTTCTCGTACTCCATCCTTTCCCTTACTTGCTCTCCATCCATTCCCTTTTCGCCCTCGCAGGTGGTCGATGGAAGCGTGCAGGAAATTAGTTCAGCATCCGAACCAGGAATAGGGATCTGAGCAAAGATGGACTCGAATCCCCAAATGGAGGGTAAGGGGTGGGTGCGAGCGTTGAGGATAACGATACGGAATTCGGGGGGTGGCGGATGGGATTTCCGGTATAGGGTCGCTGGTCGATATGCGTAGTAGAACGGCCGCAAAGTAGTAGTAGTAGTAGTAGTAGTAGTAGTAGTGGTGGTGGTGGTGGTGGTGGTGGTGGTGGTAGAGTTGGGAAGAACAAAGTCATGACCAGAAGGAACAATTTGTAACGAGCCAAAAACCGCATCATAGCTATCCCATCTTACATTTCCTTTCTCACCCAAGAACCGTCTGCCATTTTGCCCTCCTTTCGCTGCGTCTAGTCCGAGATTGAAGCGTAAACTGCGGGCACTACCCCTTCCCCTCGCTACCCTAGCAGCAATATTAGCCATGAAGCGAGCCATAGTCCGTCTCCATACCCATTGCAACAAGCTGAATAGGGTACCCATCGCATCTTTTCCCAGCTGCGCCAATCTCCGGGGTATGTAGAGCAACACATCCCAAATCGTAACCAGCTTGAGCGGCCTCTCTGGATCGGCAACAACTCCTTGCGACTTCACATGTCTCTTCCTCGCCATAACACTCGCACTAACCGGCGCACTTCTGACGGCATCAACCACTTTGGCTCTCTGCACTACATACCCTAGTCTCTTCAAATATGCGTAGACGAGGTATGCTTCCCTTGTCAAGGGTTCATCTAGCCCCTCGCCTTCGGTTGGGGGGAGCATGAGGGATGCAAATGCTTGTTGTAACGACATGGGCACCAACTGCGCCTCGCGCTCTTGCTCTTCTACGGTGTATAGTTGAAGACTCGCTCGCTCGGCAAGAAAAAGTGCTTCTTCCGGCAGCAGTTCGTTGCTCGCCTTGCTAACCATCTTGCCCGCATCCCCTGGCAGCCTTTCACGGCGGATGACTCCAACAGTTTCGAAAATCTTGCCCTGCACATCAAGCAATCTCGCCCGACGCAATTCCGGCTTCCACACCGCACGAACCAAGGAGCGAGATCCAACGGTACGTTGACCAGAGACCGCGGTGAACATTGCCTCTCTGGATCGATCGAGTAGTTTACATTGTCCGCCGAATCCGGTGGGTTCGAAATCTTTCTCCCCCTCTTGGGGATGACGATGCCGGACGACGTTGTGGTCCAAGGCCGAGCTTTGCATTGAGAGTTGAGCGTCGATAGAAGGCCAAGGTAGTCGGGTGCTTCATCTTCATCGCCTGAATCATCGGCCGCCTTGTGTGGTGCAGAGCAGATGGAAGAGGCGTTGCAAGTGGCATCTTCCATCTCCTCCCTTGCAGTCACGGCGGGGATGGACGCGGCGGGGATGGACGCGGCGGGGATGGACACGGCGGAATCGGAAGCTGCGCTTGGACCGGGTAGATGAGGTGTAGTTGGAGGCGCCATCTTGCACTAATCTGCCTGGCCTAAGCTTGAAGATGGCAAGTTGGTGGTGGTGGTGATGATGATGATGTTGAAAAATAGCAATCCAATATGATGATGCAAGGTAACATGAGGCAATACGTGAGGGATCGGGCGAAGCAGATCGGGTCAAAGATCGGATGGAGCCGATCTCATCAGAGATCGGGTACAACCTAGTCACCCTCGTTGTCAAGCATCGTCATGAAGCATCGTCATGAAGGAGGATACACGCACATTCAGCATGTACCATCCAGATGTACATATATATATATATATATCTCTCTCTGGGAGCGCTAGGCTCTCACCATGCTTCTCAGTCGATTGAGTATATATGTTTCTCTCTTTTAGCAGCAGTGACATCGTACTCAGACTCTCCCCGATCGCCAGTATCGGGACCCAAACGTCTTTACTTTTCAACAGATGATGATGATGGTGGTGGTGGTGATGATGATGGTGGTGATGATGATCGTGCTGAAACTTTCTAGCTGTCCGAAGTGGATTGATTGATTCTTTCCGCTCAAAAAGTAACTCTTTGGAAGCCAAGAGACACCTTTTGTTCATACAAGCTGACCCCCTCACGCACAGCTACTGATACATGGCTCATCTACGCCTATGGCTCAGAGGCTTGTTCATTGCAATCAACTAGCCTTCTACGGCTGCCAAACAAGATTCCCCTTGCCATCCTCCACCCTGATAAAATACTGGTTGCCCAAAACCCCCTCTTTGCCCGCGGTCAGCACTACCCCGTTTCTACTGACCTCAAACTGAACCCCATCCTCCAAGGCCTTCTTGACATCGACAAAAACCAACCGACTTGCATTCTTCCTCATACCGGATATCACTCCCTTTTCGCCAAACTTTCCTTTTGCTAGATGGATATGGTTTCGTCTCATCACTTTCAGTCCGCCCGAAGCGAGGATTTCTTCCCATGCCGCCGCATTGGTTCCGTGGATAAGCTCGACTCTTTGCCGCTCGTCTTGGGTAATGTTTAGCTTTGCATCCAGCTCTGAGAGGAGCTCTTGATCCTCATCGCCAGTGGTAGTAGACAGGATAGATCGGTAGTTCGAAAGAGTAACCGCAGTGTTACTGAGTTCCGAGACAGATTTTAGCGAGTGTCCTTGAACAGCCCTAACCAACCATTCTTGGCCCTCTTGCGCCAACTCGAACCTTTTCTTATCGTTGCTTTCTACCACTGCTTGAACGTCTTCTAGCTCTGGTTTTCTCTTCCCGCCGCCGCTTCCCTCTTCGGAGGCCATGTTGACACTCTTTACTCGTGGTCGATCCAATAGGTCTCGCAGGGAAATATATCCATCAGGGCGAATGGTTAGGCCTTCTTTTTCGGCTCCATGGCGTAAGATGTATGCTAGTGCTCGAGAGAGTTGTTCGCTTGGAGATTGACCCTTTCCGCCTGACTTGTCGCTACTTTTTGATGAGGATGGTTTGGGTGCGCAACAAGAGGAGCAAGAGGAGGATTTAAGAGCCGCTTGTTGAGCTTTTAGTGCTTTTTGCGCTTCTTTCCTTGCTTTTCGTTCCAGATTCAGCTCTGGTGGGGCAGCACTGCCTCCTTTCCCTCCGCCTCCTTTCCCTCCGCCTCCGTTGAGCGTTGCAGAGGTAGCTTCCTGTGGTTGTTGCGAATCGGTCATCGTGTTGTACGGTGGATGGTGGTCAAGGAGAGTAAAGGGGAGAAAAGTTCTTCTGAATCGATAAATTGTGGGTGTGGAGCAATTGCTTTTCGAAAGGATGTTAGATTGGAAGTGCAAACAGTAGCCATGTTCAAGCCGTTGCGCCAGGCTAAAGATTTTAGAGTAAAGCAGTTGAAGATGCATCGGCATCGCCAATGCGTGATGTATTGAACGGGAGTACACAGGATCGGGAAATCGGGAAGAGACAGAACAACGAGGAAAGACAAGCAGAACACGAAGCTAGTGGGGACTAATACATTGACATGACAACACTCATGAAAGTAGATATGTGGCTTATGGGAATGACTCAACAAGGTAAGCACAGATGAGTGCCCAGAGCATGTATATATACTCCAAGTCATGTCACTATCATACAATAAGTAATATAAGCCTTTTATCTGAGACTATCTGATTGAGCGAGCACCTGCTAGTGGCCTCTGTATCGGTGTATCTAAATTTAACTAAAGCAGCACCTGTGTTCCACCAGCTTGGATTTTGGATTTTGGTTAGCAAAAAAGGTCAGCCTGGATTCAAACTTACCTTGATCCATCTCTTCACACATCCTTTCTGACTACACAGCACACCACAACCAGCTGTCATGTTGGCAACCCAAGAACACCAATCTGCACTTCAACCTGCACTTCAACCTGCACTTCAACCAACACCAGCAGTCAATGCTCACAAGAGGAGGTGCAGAGACTGGACTTAAGCTAAAGAGCAGCATCTAGTTGACTTCCTTTCAGAACACACTAACTGGGCAGCAATCCTCATACACAATTGAAGCAATGATACAGTGTGGGGAGACAACAAGACTGCAATTACAAAGAAAATTGGACTCCAGCTACAAGCTGATGACCCACCTGATGCAAAGGTTGTGCTTCAGAAAGTCAACTCCTTGAAGGACTGATTCAAGGCATGGTATGACCAGATGAGCCAGACAGGTCAAGGCTTCTTACTATCTGACCTTCATACAGACAGTTTGCTTCTCAGAGAGCAGAACAGGATTCTGCAGCAAGAACTATGGTTTGATGATTTCCATCAACTATACATCAACCAGCAGCCTGCACAAAATCTTGACATCTTCTCCAGTGGCTTGTTGCAAGAGTCTACCTGCAGCCAACTTGCTGCCTTTTCACATCTACAGCTAGACAGCCACTCTGACACTGCCAGTCAGAGCCTTGGCATTGAGGCAGATGACTCAAACAGCAATGATAATCTTCTCCCAAGCATGGGGCTGTCATGGGCCTGAATGCTCAAGAAGCAGGAGGGTCACTGGTTCATATGGAAGGAGCACAGGTATCAGAGATCTAGTCAATACCAGTAGAGAGCATGGTCATAGTGCAGTCTCCATGGAGACCATGGACTCCTACAGACTCACATGCAAAGGAGGACCAGGCCCATATGTGAGGAGGGCCAGGCACAGCCACAAAGAGGACCAAGCTCAAGGAGCATGCAGACAGTTACCACTCAGGGGCTCAAGAGACAAGAGTCAAAGGAACTGTCACCAGTCAAAGGAGAAGGAGCAGTGTATAGGGAACTGGCAAGCAGGTCCTGAGGAGAAGGAGCAGTGTTGAAGGAGTCAACACCACTCAGGAGGCACAGGGGTGCCAAGCAAGCAGGATAGCAGGGAGGAGGAGCAGTGTCAAAGGAGTCGACACAGCTCAAGAGGCACAGGGGTGCCAAGCAAGCAGGATAGCTCAAGGAGGACAGGAGTGGTGCTAGAGGGGCCCCCTGTACAGTACTTGATGAAGAAGGTACTCTCTGGAGAGAGAGCAGGGGCAGCATCACTGGTGATGCTGTGAAGAGGTATATAACCATACCTTCTCATCATCAAAGGTCAAGTGGATCCTCATCCACTCTACACACACCATAACTAGTTATCACTTCAGCATAAGTATACATTAGTTTTAGTCAGCATAGTAGTAATCTATCAAGATTGCTCCTCATTGTAGTGTGTGTGTTGTATCACCACTACCTGACATCTGAAGGCAGTTCATAGCAAACCAGTGGTCCGGATTAAGATAGAACCAAAGGCAGTAGTCCACTGTGGTCCGGGGATCACTCCAAGCATCAGTCAACACACTGGACACTCATGTTGATGCCACCAACCTTATCACCAACACCATCAACCTAATTATCAACAACACTTGCCAACCTTATCACCAACACCATCAACCTCATCATCATCAAACACTCACACCAGACCTTGGTGTCATCATAACCTATGTATTGATATTGATTGTGCTGAGCTACCCCTGAACGGAGTGTCCACAGAGGTCATCCGAAACCTATGATAGTATATACAATGAATGCCACCTGCTATCATCATGCAACTTGATAGTTGCTGAGCAACTAACTTGTCAAGACTGATACTGAGACAATAGCTGTTGCACAGTTTGATAGTCACCGAGTATCTCGACAGACCGACCTGGGTTTCAGGCGCGAGACCCCTGACAGGGGTCTTCCATGGTTACCATGACTCTTGGACCCAAAGGTCATGGGCCCAGAGGGTCTGCCTTCTTGCTTGGGCAGTCTCTGGCCCAATGTCTGATGCCTTTGCAAATATGGCAAGTGCTATTGCCTGCTACTGTGGGGCTTCTTTGTTTCAGGCCTGGTACATACTGCTGAGACAGCAGCCAATTGGTTGGTCTGCTTGGGTTTCCTGCTGTTGTTTGTGCCAGTGGTCAAGCAGAGTTACTTTGTGTCAGTTGCCGGACAGGGAATGAACTCTGAGCAGGTGGCATTGGTCAGATTCCCAGGTTCAATCATGGAGGAGCACCACTTGGGTGTCTAGCAGAGGACTGCTGTAGCAGCATCCTCTGTCAGTCAATATCTTTGACCTCTTGGTACCATTCCCACTTCTTTGCAGGTGGGTTATGCTCAAACTTTTCTTGCAGACTATGTGTGAGACTGCCTCTGAACAAGTCAATGATGAGTTTGTTATCATCCAGATTGACTTGTCCTTCCAAGTCTCTGAAATGTTCCACATGGCATGTGGCAGCACCAGGTGCATTGCTAGTGAGTTTGAGAGCCAACAGCTTGTTGTAGGCTTCCATTCTAGCATTCCAGGGATTGAATTGTTCTGACAGCTGCTCTGTGAAGTAATGCCAGTCATTGAACAACCTTCCTTCATGAGCTCTGTCGATACAGAGCTTGGAAGTCCACCACTCCCATGTGTTCCCTTCCAATTGAGAGCCCATGTGATTGATCATTCTTGTTTGCTCATAAACTTGGTTAAACTTAAACCAAGCTTTGGCTTTGAGAATGAAGATCTCCACATCTTGGGGATTGAACTTAGGGAAGGGTGTGGCAATTGGCTTTGATTGAGAGAGATCCACCAATACACTAGGATCCTCCTCCAAGTCTAGGACATAAGGTTCTGTCCTAGTCCTACTATATGGATCCACCCTGGGTTTGAAGTACTTTGGCCTGGTGGGTGAGGCATACTTTTCATAATTGACATCATCCTGCTCTTCTACATCAGCAAATGAGACAAATCATCCTGGTCATGGTGCTGGTGTAGGAGTTTGAGGATCTCCTATCATGGATTTGTCACCTCCTACCTGCTCTTCTGATGGTGAGAACTCAATCGTCTCTTCTCCACTTAGGTGAGCACAGTGAAGTCATTCTTCTCATTGGCCTTGCCTGGTGAGCTCGAGCTGGGCTTCCAATAGTGCTAGGAGCCAGTCGAGCTTATTGTTGAGGCCTTGGTCCATCATTGTGATTGTGGGGTGTTGCTTGAATGATCCACTCTAATGTCAGAGGTTGCACACCTGAAACCTGAGATTGGTAGTAGTATTGATACTATCACTGATTCTGTCAAGTTATGTGACAGCACTAATGGTATTTCGATTCCTAGTGAAATATGCAACAGAGCTGTCTTTGTTGCTTTTCTCATTGGAATCTGTAGTTGTATTGATGTTATGACAGATTTCAACTGACCACTGTGGACACTCCATCCAGAGGTAGCTTGGCAAGATCAAAATATGATATGACTCTAAGTGAACTTGATGTTGACACCAATGGTCTGGTGTGAGTATGGATGGATGACATTGACATGAGTGTCCAGTGTGTTGACTAATGCTTGAGGTGATCCCAGGACTGCAGTAGATGACTGCCTTTGGTTCTCTCATTATCCAGACTGCTGGTTTGCTAAGAACCACCTTTGGATGTCAGGGAGTGGTGATACAACACACATGCTTTGTTGAGGAGCAATCTATTGATTACTACTATACTGACTATAAACTAATGATACTTATGCTTAAAGTAATACTAGTTGTTATGATGTGTGTAGAGTGGATGAGGCTCCACTCGACCATTTGTGACAAGAAGGTATGATTATATATCTCTTTGCAGCATCACCAGTGACACTGCTCCTGCTCTCTCTCTCCAGAGAGTACCCTCTTTGTCAAGTACTGTACAGGGATCTCCAAGGAGGCACCTCCTCCATATTGAGCCTTGTCCCTCCTGTCTTTCCTGAGCTGTGTCAACTTCATCGACACTGCTCCTCCTCTTCATGTCCCTCTTGCTGGTGTCCTTTACACAGCTCTCCTTCCTTTGACCAGTGATGGTTCTCCTTTACTCCTGTCCTGTGGGCCCCTGAGTGGTAACCAACCACATGTCACTGAGCTCGGTCCCTCTCACATGTGAATTGTCATACAGACATCCTTACTACCAATCTCCATGGAATCTGCCACACAATCTTACTTGCTGCAGATTCTGGTGGGATTCGTGATATCAATGATGCTCATGCCGATTTTGCTGCGATCTGTGACAGAGCTGATTCTACTGCCAAACTTGGTGAACTCTGTTGTAGCTCTTACGATCTACCTGATCCCATGATTCCTGCACTACCTTCATTTGAACTTCAGTCTCTCCTCGCTCTGTGCACCCAGGCCCATGACAGGTGACATCTCAACATATCTATTGGTTATTGAATGTGCTGAGCTACCTCTGGACCGAGTGTCCCCCATGGTCAGTTGAAACCTGTGATACCTTTCAAGTTACAACATATCCACATGAGAACAGTCATAGGAGGCTTCTACAACCGATTTGAGCAGGAACAATATTAGGAGGCCTTTACTACAGAACTTGCTGAGATTAGTTGTAACTGCCTTTTACTACAGATTTCGGGATTCAGGCAGGCAACGACTGACAAGATACTGCTTCTGAAGAATTAGTAGTGTAAAGTTCCTCTTGCAACTCTCTGGCAAAAAAGGTTTTTGGTGCAGGGCTCTCTCGTGCGATTGGAAGAATGGAAAGAGTGTCTGTGGGTTGAGCCGGCCCGGCTTTAAGGGTTAGCCGGAAGCGTCGATAGAAAGGGAGAGTCGAACTCTCCTTTTCGCGCGCACGAGACTCTTGTTCTGCGTTACAGCAAAGCAGCTGAGATGGAAGCGTTGAGAAGGTGTGAGGATGATGTCTGTGCGTTGGAGGAATGCTGGCCGCTGATTGGGTTGGAGGGGTTGATGGCTTTCATGCATCTATCGGAGCTTGCTTGTGCTGCTTGGTCTGATCAGTTGAAGTAGATAAGGCTACACAAAGCGTAGAGACAGTGAGGGTAGCGCTTACGGCCGAGTAAAAGGGCTGAGCATCTGAGCACGGACCACATGTGTCACAACCTACTCAAGACAAATGCTTTGTTATGTTCCGCAGTCGATGCGGCTCTCTGCCGCTCTTCTTTTGTATATATATAGACTCCTCGCTCTCTCGCTCTCTCTCTCTTACCATCATCAACAAAAAACGCCTCAACTCCAACCACTGACAAATGACTTTAACTTGATCTTGCATACGGATCTTGTATTTGTGGCTTTCTACCTCCTCCATCCTCACCCCTGTAGCTTCAACCAAAATGATGACTAGCAGCCCGAACCGGGCGCCTTTATCCACCTGCTCCGAGTCAGGCTATCAAGGCCACCTTAGCTTAGGCGACGGACTCCTGGCCTCGCGCGACCATCGCCCGACACACGCCTCTCTCTTGCAAGTGATCTTTAACAAGGGCTCGTACAACTCGCACCTTATCTCTCTCGGCGCCTTCCTCCCTGGCGATCTGATCACCGCGTTCGCACCGCATGCAGACTTGGCTAGCACTCGATCCTACTCGACTGTCCAGACGGGACCTTGGACACATATTGAACTTAACTCGGACCTGCTGTATTGCAACCATAGCTGCGATCCAAACGTAGCTTTTCTCATCGGAGATGCGGAGGATCAACAGAGTTGGAAAGCAAAAGCGATCAACAAGATCAACAAGGGCGACACATTGACGTTTTGTAAGCAAGCCAAGCCTACGCTATCCAATCCGATCTCGAGTCAAGGATGGAGAAAGAAGACTGACATGCTTCCTTCCATGTGGACGGTGCCCGCGTTGCAACAGTCTATCCATCAACCGAATGGCACATGTCTCAGCCATTTGATTGTACATGCGGCCATGAGGCCCTCTGTTTGGGAAAGATTGATGGTGCCCATTCCATCCCACTTTCTACCTTGAAGAGGTATTTTATCAATGAGCACATCCTCAAGATGAAGAGCATGCAGATTGAGAAGGGTGCAAGCTTGGACGAGCAGCAGAGAAAGAGAGAGTCGTAGCTTTTGCCATCCACCTGCTCGCCTGCATAGACCAATGCAGAGACATGTACCCTACCACCCTTTATCGTGTGTGAATGGAATCAGTGCTACATCCTTGGGCCATATCGAAGGATCAATTGAAAGAAGCTATCTTTGAACTCGATACTAGCATCAACAAAGGAAAGAAAAAACAAACCAACCCACATCGCTCTGCCCCCTGCAAAGAGTGTTACGGCCTGAGAGGTTTATACAGGAACCATAAGCATCTCGACCAAAACAAAGGGATATTGTTCTTGCTCCAAGAAGTGAGCATACTCTCCTGGTGCATCCGCCACATTGCCCTCGTTCCGCTTGCCATCACTCGCCGGTTGCAAGTAGGCAAAATGACTCTTCAACGCGGCCAACAAGGCCTTTGTCCGTTTGGCATTGGGCTTGACCGCCACCGCAAAGTAATCAGCTGGCAGTCCAAAGGTCAAAACACTCTCCACATAGGCCCTTACGACCTTTACATGGGCCAAGGCCTGATAGGCTTCGCTAAAGTTGGTCCTAGCGAGCCTGAGCAACTCGGTCCAGAGCTGCTTCTCTGAATCTGCAGCTTGCTCCAAGTGTTCGCGTTGGCGTGAGACTAGGTGTTGATCCCAGATGAAATCGGTACGAACGATAAACTTGTTTTCCCTGCATCTCTCAACAAACTGCTCCCTGACTCTCTTAAACACGGTGACATTGAACAATGCGAATTCCTCGTCCGAGGTGATTTGGTTGGATGATCTCGGGACGACCATGGGCGTGAGTCTCTCGTATTTGGCTGTCCAAGCGTTTATGTTGTTCTTCGGAACAGCAACTAGGAGGGTTTCCAGATACTCGCTCTGGCCGTCGACAAAGTGCTCTTTGTGCACTAGGTGCGCAAGGGAGCGCACCGAGAGATTGCCTTGCTTCTTCCTCTGCAACTGCTGCAACTGTGTTTTGGCTGCATTGTAGTTTGCAAGTTTCTGCTTCATAACGTTATCGATGCTAGTCAATTCCTTGCCTAACATCTCCACCGTTTCCCGCAATGCGCGATCAGCACGGTACTTGCCCGTGTTCCACGCCCAACCAAGCATGTAGTCGTCTAAACTCTGCTCGTTGACCAAAACATGCTGTGCAAGCGCAGCCTGGTCGTTGTTGAGCAAAGCACGGAGAGTGTCGATGATCTTGGAAACAATAGAGGTATATAGGCTCTCGAGCTTCGGCAGATCTTCCGAGAGAGAGATTAGCGATTCCAGAGTGCCAGTTTTCAGCGGCGGGAAGCAGAGTTGACCCAAATCGCAAGAAGCAGAGGCATTGTCAGAAACGAGTTTGCAACCGAGTGAGGAAAACATTTGATGCGGATCATTGTCTTCCAGGCGGACCGAGATTAGCCAGTAGCCTAGATCCGAGGGCATCGCGAACGGAGCAAGGAGGATAGGATACGGTGGCGCTTCGTTTGTGGTAGGGTGAGGCCTGATGGATGGCGAGTTGAGAAGAAGGGTGCTATCTGATCTCCTTGAGCAAGTGAAGGTGGTGGTGATGATGACTTGTGCGACGATAGGGAATTGCGATTCTTTTGCCTCTCACTGTCTTACTAAGCAGGGGTCAAGTGTTGGCCCGAGCGCAAACACACGCCAGACAGGGGCCATTATCCACAGATGCACCCCACCGCAATGTGAAAACTCACTGCTTAAGTAAGCTCTGCCAGGAAAGAAAAGCTCAGAAGTTTTGAAAACCTCTACTTATTTTTGCCATGAGCCTGGGTTTCTGACTATTTGAGTTTTCAGCAGGAGTTTTTGTCATGTGCTGATATTACATGATTCTAACACAATTCTGCACACAACCCTTGAATTCCACTTTCTGCACTGTCTACACTTTCTCATGCTTTGAGTTACATTTGTCCTTGCTTCACTTCTATCACCATCTCCAGTAGCATTTCCTCCCTGTCAGTGCCAGGACATGGACATGCCATCCCCTCATGACCATATCAACAACAATACACTATTCACAGCTTTGCAGCAAGCCTCTGGATTGGCTCCAGCATCAGAGCAGTCTTCAACTGCTTTGCAGCACAACACAATGCCAGCTCAGTCCAACCTTGATGGGCTCTCGTCAGCCCCACCCTTCTGCAACTTCCAGCACCTTGGCTGGGGCTGAGTTGACTCAGCCAGCAACCTCTCCCACTAATCCCCTTTGTCCTCCTCCACTCCTTCTGGTTCCAACACCACCACAACTACCAGTTTCTTTGCCTTGCCAAGCCTCTACCTGCCCAACTCAAATGCTCTGCAGCTCACAGCCATCAAGCCAAGCCAGTACTCATGGCAGCAGTTTCAACAACACAGATCATATTGCCTACTTCAATTGGTTGCCTAGTGACATAAATCACCTCATTGATATCATCTACAATAATGTTCAATACCAATGTGTTCTATTGCCAGGACATTTGACTGCAGAACAGGAAAAGGGTCTGAAGATGAACAAAGATGTTATCTGCAGGCAGATATGGCAGGAGCTGTTCCCAGACAAGTCTACTGTTGGTGGTGTTGGTTGAGTAAAGACAAAGATTCACTGGCTCACTGAACAATACAACAACATCAAGAAGACCATCTTGCAGCAGACCAGTGCTGGAGTACTTCTTCAAGACATGGATCACAACAGCTCTGTAAGTACAACTTAGTTGATTCATGTTAAGTGTGCCAATGTTCTTATACTTTATATCTCTGTCTATGCTTCTTTATCAACTTGCAGGACTATGTCACACACAAATCAATTGCTCAAAGCTGCCCTTGATTTGAGCACTGGCACAAGTTGATGACCAACCATGCACAAACTGGTCCAGTTGTTCTTCTCACTGGTCACCCATATGATGCCCCCCCCCCCCCCCCTGCCTCCTCTCAGAATAACTTGGTTGATGCCAATGTGAACATGGACAATGCCAGCAATGCTCTCTACCCTCAGCAACACAACATTCCTGGCATGGAATCCATTCTTGAGGAGTCACAATATGATCCCATTGGAGCAAGAGTTATCTTGTCTTTTTCTTCTTTGGTTGCAGCCACCCCAGCTGCTGCTTCATCTTCATCTTCATCCCACTCACCCTTCTCTTCCTCATCCAACCCATCTTTGATTGGCCCCACCCCCTTCACCATTACCCCTATAGACACTCCAACCCACCAGCACTCATCCAGCACCACTTTTGGGGCTGATGAAGTGGACAATGGTGATGGTGGCTCTGTTTTCCATTCTCCAGCCACAGGTACAACACCCAAGAAGTCTTGACCCTCCCCTTACCAAGAGCAAGTGAGAAGAGCTGTTGGAAATTGTGCAGGCTCTGCACCCAAGACATGCTTCAGGCAAGAATCAAGGTTGAGGAGGAACACATGAAGAGGGAGGAAATGTGCATTCAATTTGCCAGGGAAGAAAGTGAGAGAAAAGAGTGCATGCAAACTGAAGAGCATGGTTGGCTCATGGAGATGGTGCAGATGATGAACCCTAATCTACCCTTTGGCAACATTGCTGGAAGTAGTCAAAGCAATCTTGAACTTGACCCACTGGTTCATGCCATGGATCAGCAGGACAACAGTGATTCAGCTTGTGAGTAGACCATTTGGAAAGAATGGTGTTCCTTTCAAGTTCTCCAAGTTCTGTTCCTGTGTTTCTGACTTGTTGTATGATTGCTCTCTCTAAAGCTAGCTCTCAATATGTTTGACTAGCATACCCCATACCCAGTCTTCCATGTAATCTCTTGAATGTAGATTGCTTCAATGCAATGAATTGTTCCACATAAAAGATGCTGATTGGTGGAAGTGTGGAAGAATAATCTTGGGGGAGGAATGCTGCATGTAGCCCTGGTGTCAGGGGTCTCGCGCCTGAAACCCAGGTCGGTCTGTCGAGATACTCGGTGACTATCAAACTGTGCGACAGCTATTGTCTCGAGATACTCGGTGACTATCAAGTTGTGCAGTGACAGCAGGTGGCGTTTGTTGTATATACTATCGTAGGTTTCGGCTGACCTCTGTGGACACTCCGTTCAGGGGTAGCTCGGCACGATCGATATCAATGTTATGATGACACCAAGGTCTGGTGTGAGTGTTGATGATGATGAGGTTGATGGTGTTGGTGATGAGATTGGTGATGTCGATGTTAATGAGGTTGATGGTGTTGGTGATAAGGTTGGTGTCGTCAACACGAGTGTCCAGTGTGTTGACTTGATGCTTGAAGTGATCCCCAGACCGCAGTGGACTACTGCCTTCGGTTCTATCGATATCCGGACCGCTAACCTGCTATGGGCGCCTTCGGATGTCAGGTAGTGGTGATACAACACACACACTACGATGAGGAGCAACCTTGATAGATTGCTGCTATGCTGACTGTAACTAATGAGTACTTGTGTTTCTAAAGTATTGACTAGTTGTATGGTGAGTAGAGTGGATGGGGATCCACTCGACCTATGATGATAAGAAAGCATGGTTATATACCTCTTCACAGCATTGCCAGCGATGCTGCTCCTGCTCTCTCTCCAGAGAGTACCTTCTTCATCGAGTACTGCTCAGGGGCCTCTCCTGCTTGGCACCCCTGTGCCTCTTGAGTGGTGTCGACTCCTTCGACACTGCTCCTCCTCCTCGTGACCTGTGTCGACTTCCTGTCTCTCGAGCCCCTGAGTGGTAACCATCTGAGCTTGGTCCTCCTCGTGGCTGCGCCTGCTCTTTGAGCTTGGTCCTCCTCGTGGCTGTGCCTGGTCCTCCTCGCATATGGGCTCAGTGCTCCTTTGCATGTGAATCCATAGGAGTCCATGGTCTCCATGGAGACTGCACTACGACCATGCTCTCTACTGGTATCGACTAGGTCTTCGATACCTGTGCTCCGTCCATATGAACCAGTGACCCTCCTGCTTCTTGAGCATCCAGGCCCATGACACCTGGTTCCAAGCATGCATGTTGCACAGAACTCAGCTGAGTTGTGTTTGTAGCTTTGGACTCTCTTTCAGACCACATCTTCCTTGTTCAACTGAACTCATCAATCATCAATCTCCTATTTCTGGCCCTCTACTTCAACCATGGTGTGCACTTCTGACAAACAGCACCTCCTGGACAACATTGAGACTGCCATCATGCACTCATTGATGGTGGAATCCAAGATGCAACTTGATCTGATGGATGTTGATGCCACTTGGCACCCTAATGATGACCTTGAAGAGTCTGATGATGACATGTTTGATCATGCTGTCTCATTCATGCTCATCAGGACTTACGACATCATCAGCCAGTCTTGATACACAGTTGAACACCTTCAACTGCCACAACAAAGGGATCCCCTCATCAACATGCTTGATCAATATGCTGTCATCAACCACAGGCTCTTTTGAGGGGCTGTTCACATGACCCCAGATGCATTCCAAGCTCTCACTTATGGACTCAGCACAACCATTGCCTTCAGATCAATATCAAGCTTTTGGCATGTTCAGCAGCAAGTGGCAGTGGGTCTATATTGGCTTGGACAGTCAGGAAATGGTGGTGGAGTTTGTGATGTTGCATTTGCCTGTGGTTGCAGTCAGGGCTCAGTTCACAAGTGGACAGATAGGACTATTGCAGGCCTATATGAGCTGAACAGTGAGGTAGTAACCTTTGCAACTGAAGACAAGCATGCTAAGGCAAAAGCATGGGTTGCTGATAAGAGTGGAGTTGAGGAATGGTCTAGAGGATGGTTGGTGGTAGATGGTACACACATCAATCTTGCTTGGAAGTCAGCACTCAATGCTTGCAAGCATTACTCATACAAGGGTAATTATACATTCAACATTGCCCCTGTCTTCCTCCCTCATTCCTTGTGCATTGTTGAGTTGGTGGTTGGACATCCTGGGTCATCACATGATGCATGAGTCTGGGATTCAGGCAGTGGTATTGTTGCAAAGCCTCATTTGCATCTTGATGAAGGCAAGTTTGTCTGGGTTGATGCTGGTTATGGCTACTCCAGCTACATGGTTGGACTGTGCAGCAACACTGCAGTTGCAAAGAGCAGAGATCTCCACTACTTCAACTATTCACTCTCCTGCATTCATGTCAAGGCTGAACATGGCATTGCCTACCTCAAGAACTGCTTCCAATGTCTCATGGGATTTTGAGGCAACCTGTATCAAGAAGAGGACCATGAGAAAGCTGCACATACAGTCCAGGCTTGTGTCAGAGGTCGCGCGCCTGAAACCTGAGATCAGTAGTAGTATCAGTACTATCACCGATTCTGTCGAGTTATGTGACAGTGCTAGTGGTATTACGATTCCTAGTGTAATATGCGACAGAACCGTCTCTGCCGCTTTTCTCGTTGGAATCTGTAGTTGTATTGATGTTGTGACAGATTTCGACTGACCACTGTGGACACTCTGTCCAGAGGTAGCTCAGCACGATCAAACTATGATATGACTCTAAGTGAACTTGATGTTGACACCAATGGTCTGGTGTGAGTATGGATAGATGACATCGACATGAGTGTCCAGTGTGTCGACTAACGCTTGAAGTGATCCCCGGACCACAGTGGACGACTGCCTTCGGTTCTATCGAGATCCGGACTGCTGGTTTGCTAAGAACTGCCTTCGGATGTCAGGAAACGGTGATACAACACATGCACTTCGATGAGAAGCAATCTATTGATTGCAACTTATGCTGACTTGAAAACTAATAAGTACTTATGTTTCTAAAGTATTGACTAGTTGTATGGTGAGTAGAGTGGATGAGGATCCACTCGACCACTTAGTGACGAGAAGGTATGGCTTTATACCTCTTCGCAGTGCCACCAGCGCCACTGCTCCAACTCTCTCTCCAGAGAGTACCTCCTTTGTCGAGTGCTATGCAGGAGTCCCTGTAACCCTACTCCTGTCCCTCTTGAGCTGCATGTCAACCTCCTCGACACAGCTCTTCTTCCTCATGAACTATATGCTGGTGTCCTTGACACAGTTCTCCTTCCTCCTAACTGGCAACTGTTCTCTTGACTCCTATCTTGTGAACCCCTGAGTGGTAACCAGCTGCAATTTACTGAGCTCGGTCCCCGTCTTGGCAGAGCTTGGTCCTCTGTGCATGTGAATTCATCATATGAACATCCTTGTCACTGATCTCCGCAGAATCTACTATATGACCTCTCCTACTACTGATCTCATCAGAATTCGTGATATCATCCTTGTTCGTACCAATCTCACTGAGATCTGTCATAGAGCTGATTCTACTGCAGATCTCGGCGACTTCTGCTGCAAATCCTACGATCTGCCCGATCCCCTGATTCCTGCGCTCCCTTCATATGAACTAGTGGTTCTTCCTGCTTCCTGTGCACTCAGGCCCATGACAGCTTGTATCATTGCACATATGTTTGCAAGCCATTATGATTGACCAGATGAGGTGGCAGAATACCTTAAGGCATCAGAAAATCTATCTGAAGCTGAAGTGCTGGAGACCACATCAGGGATGGAAGCATATCAGCAGGCTACTGAAGATGCAAGGATACAACAAAGGGAAAACCAGCAGCAATACAAACAGGAACAGGCTGCTGCCATGGAGGGCATGTCTCAGAACCAAGTCCAGAAGTTCAGGCAGGAGAAAGCACTGGATCTTAGGGAGAAGATGCTCACTGCACTCTTTGCTTCTCATGGCTGCCCTTTTAAGGACACAACAACAGAATCTCAAAGGATGGGAATGACAACATTGGCCTTCACCAAATGGCAGGAGAGACAAAACCAATGGCATGAGGCTTGCAGAAGACAGCAATCAGAACAGGTGTGATGTAAGCTATTTGCTTTAGCTTTTCAATCAAAGGTTTTGGCATTATTCAGTATAGTGTTCAACAACATCTGATATGATCACTTTGATCTTGACCTGGTGTAGGGAATTGGCAATTGCCTTTACCTGCTGAGTCAAGTGAAACTCCATGTTGCAAGTATCACAGGCCTGTGCAGTTTCTTGGGGCGTCAAAAATTGGGCCCAAACATATTTTCAAAGTATTGTGTTTTCAAAACTCAGAGATAACTGAAACCCCCTAATATTTGTTCTAAACGATCAACAACCACAACCACAACCACAACCACAACCACAACATCCATCTTTCCCTCAACACATGCCAAGGCAGCCACTCCCGCACTTCTACACTTCTGGCTAGCCAGCCGCACAACCCACAATGAACGTGGTCCGGGAAATCACGAGGATAAACCAAGCCGAACTAGACATTGCCCTTGGCAACCCCTCCGCCTCCTGGCACGCACAATACTCGGATTCGGCATACATCTTCATCGGTGGTCTACCCTACGACCTCACCGAAGGAGACGTCATCACCATCTTTTCCCAGTATGGCGAAGTTGTAGATGTAAACCTACCCCGAGCACAGTCTCAGCCCTCTCGCACGCAGGCTTCTGGGTCGAACGAGGAACCCAAGCCGGAGCCGGAGCCGGAGCCGGAGCCGAAGCCGGTGGGCAAGGGAAAACACAGAGGGTTTGGCTTCTTAATGTACCAAGATCAAAGGAGCACCGTGCTGGCAGTCGACAATCTGAACGGGGCGGTGGTGTTGGGCAGGACGTTGAGGGTTGATCATGTAGCTGGGTATAAGCAGCCAAAGGTGAAGGCCCAGCATGGCCTCTTGGCCGAGGCAGAGAGTAAGAGTTTGAATGCTATGCCGCAGTTGATCAGCCATCTGGAAGGCACACATACGGAGCCGGAGGAGCAACAGCGCGGTTTGGAAGATCCAATGGCAAACTACTTCAGACAAAGGAGGAAGGAGCAGAGGGCTAGCATTCGGGCTGAGCGCGAGGCCAAGAGGAGGAGGAGAGAGGAGCGAGCGTCTACTTCCACAAGATATAAAGATGACAAGAGGCAGGACAAGAGACACGCTTCGCTTCGGAGGCAAAGTAGCGATGAACAGCAACCGCTCAATCGCTACCAACAGATCAACAAACAGCCTAGCATTCTCGACCATCCAGAATCGCACACCAGAGATTCGAGACTCTCACACCGGCACCGCGATCGAAGGCACAGAGACGACGACAGAGACGACGACAGAGACGACGACAGAGACGACGACAAAGACAGAGAGAGAAAACATCCTAGTAGTCACTATCATAGCAGCAGTGGTCCACGTCCATCTCGTTAATACCATCCCCGACGTCTGGCCTCTATCGGCTTACTCCTGCTATACCATCTCCATGTGTGCGCTCAGCTGCAAGAGTAAGCTTCTCCTTCGCAGAGAGCTGGAATCGGGCTCAGGATCTGGATCGGAATCGGGCTCAGGATCTGGATCTGGATCGGGATCTGGATCTGGATCGGGATCGGGATCGGGATCGAAACCTCACCCTTTCTTACGTCCGTGCGCGTTGCTTATCAAACATTATTACGATTGCAAACTCGGTGCTTGTTGCGTCCTACCATCACCACATAAAGCCTCTCTATCCACACAAGTCGATCAGACCATGGCAGACAGGAAACCAGTGGTGCTCCTCACGGGCGCATCCCGCGGCCTTGGTCTGGCCATGCTCCGACTTCTCCTCACCGGTTCACCGCCTTGCCACGCTTCGCCCATCGTGGCTAGTCGGGTGGTAACAATCTCTCGCACCATCCCTTCCGACCTATCCTCTCTGCAATCTTGCCATCCCTCCGACCTGGTCTGCATCCAGGGCGACGTTACATGCGCCAGCACGAACGAAGCCGCTGTTAGTGCGGCGGTTGGAAAATTCGGTGGGCTGGATTCCATCATTCTCAACGCCGGAGTGGTGGAAACGCAACGAATCGAGTCTCTCTCGCCCTCGTCCTTGGCCAAGATGCTGAATATCAACACTGTTTCCCTTGTCACCACGCTTTCTGCTGCGCTTTCGTATCTTCGGGAATCTGCAAAGCCAACCGTGCTATTCGTCTCCTCGGGTGCTGCAACGGGAAACATTGCCGGTTGGGCTGGATATAATGCGAGCAAAGCAGCAATGAATGCGATCGCAAGAACGCTAGCAAACGAAGAAGAAAAAATAGCAGTGTTTGCAGTTAGACCAGGTGTAGTAGATACAGACATGCAAACTCTTCTCCGAGAAAAGGGCAAGGATCAGATGAAAGAACAAGAGGCGCAAAGGTTTTTGCATCTCTATCAAAATGCAAAGCTACTCAAACCTCAACAACCCGCTTGGAGTATCGCAGCTCTAGCAACAAGAGGCACTAGGCAGATGCCCAAGGGTAAGGATGGCAAAGCGTTGGGAGAGGTAGGTGCATTCTTCACTTGGAACGAGGATGTACTTGAGGGTTGGAAGAACGAGGATGCGGGCAAGTAGTCCGGGTGCTTTGTGAGATCAAGAGTTGTTACGTGTAGAGGAACGGGTATGGTTGTATTTACAAACAGCGGTTAAGCAAGTAGCCAGAAAGCAGAGCCAAGCATACCAGCGATGGCAGCAGCAGCACCGCTGGTTTGCAACCTGTTGCCACCGTTACCAGCACCAGCACCACCACCAGAAGCACCAGAAGCAGAACCAGATTCAGAGCCAACACCAGGAGCAGCAGTCTCAGTAGCGGCAGCAGAAGTAGCCGAGCTGTAAGCAGAACCAGCAGCCTGCATGTTCTGAGTAGTGTTGACTAGAACCTTGTCAATAAGATGAACAACGCCGTTCTTAGCAACATAGTCGCTCTCAACAATACGAGCGGTGATATTACCAGAATTGACGAAAGCACCGGAAGAGTTGGTCATCACCCTAAGCTGATTACCCGAAGCCGAGATCGCATCGGGCGTGATAGCAAGACTAGTCGAGTAAATGACACTACCGTTGACCACATGATTGAGAAGAAGAGCTGTCTGCTGCTCAGCACTAGCATCACTCATGCCAGACTGAGCTGCCTCGATAGGCTCGTTCAAGGGAGCAAACACCGTGACCACCGAAGCATCAAGAGGCTCCACAAGATTGGCACTCTGCAGAAGCTGGCCGAGCTGCGAAGCGCCAAGGTTGCTAACGACCTCAGAGGTGACAGGGGGAATACTAAGAACCTGATCGATCGGTTGAACACGAATATTCTCGTACTGAGCACCATCCATGGCCATGGCCAAGGAAACATTGCGCGACTCGAGCTCAACATAGACAGTGTTGTTCTGCTCGTACTTGGAAAGAACGACAACCTGGCTGCGGTTTCGCGGCAGGCTGACGAACTCTGGCATCACAAGAGCCGAAGAAGCGATCGTCTTATCCTTGGTGCCGATCGAGTCAGTACTAATGGAACCATTGAGGACTGCATCCAACACACAAAACAAGGCTAGAGATCAGTACAGGTTCGAAGGAAAACATTGCTGCAGAAAGATATGCCAAGTGCGACGATCTCGTTGGTGGAACAAGTGAGAAAACATACCGTGGTAGGCGATGGTAGCAACGAGCGTCTGGCTATCGACGTTGTCGCCGAGGGCAGCAAAAGCCTGATTAGAGGGAGCAAGAACTGTCTTGTTACCGCCCTGAAGAGCGGGAAGAAGAGCCTCGCTATGAATGCCAACAACGTCGGCGAGCGACGACAAGTTGTTGGTACGGAGAGCACTAAGAAACCCCTCAGCGAAGGCAGTAGCATTATTGCCCTGGGCAAAAGCACCAACGCCCGCCGAAAGGGCAAGGGTGAGAAGAGCGAGGAGCTTCATTTTGGCGATTACAACGTCTGCCAAGTAGTAGCAAGAGGTTTCGATGTAAGAGCTGACGTGGTTGGGATGGAGCAAGGCAAGCTGCCGCTATCCTCGAGTATGGCCAAGGGGTTAAGCAAGAGATCAAGGCTTGAAGGTATGAGGTGGTATATATCTCGAGTCCTACAGAAGGAGGCGGTGAAGCAGTCGAGCATCTTCCTCAGCCTGCAGCCAAGAACTCCTTCTCGGCTGGGCAGCATTAGATGGCCAAGCATCCCAGCGGAGCATGAAAAGCGCATCAAAGCGAAGCAAGAAGGAGCAGAAGCGACATTCCCAGACCGACGAGCCAGCTGACGCCAAGCACTCTGAGACAAAGGTGGAGCAAAGTTCAGGAGACAGATGAGTGGCGGCCGTATTGGAAAACAGTAACAGTGTCAGTGTATAGAAAGCTTGGATGGTCTGAGACCTCGCTTAACCTCGACAAAGGCAAGAGGCTGTGTGTGCAGGAACAGCAGGCGAAGAATGATTAAGCCGAACAAGGAAAACGTTAGGCCAACATAGTTGTGGTGGCAAAACAAGAGAGCAAGAGAACACCAAGTGCGACAACGATGGAAAGGAGCGCGCGCAGAGCTTTGAGATCAGGAGAGGAGGTGTGTAGCATAGACTTGGTCTGCGCTCTCAGGTACTGCAGCATGTCTCTTGTTCGCATCTCTGCTGTCTTTCGCCTTTAACCCCCCCACCCCCCCCTCCCCTCTTGCGGTTTTGTTGTCCGCTTGGATGGTTTCATCATCGCGCATGGTGGTGGTAAACGGAGAAGAAAAGGTGCTTACAAAGCGTCCGCCTGATGTACACACAATCGTTTGAAGACAGGATGAGCATGACTGCATGCAGACAAGAGCTGGATCTGTAAGTGCCAGCAAGGATGACCTTGAGTTCTTGCACCTTCTGATGAACGAACAGCTTCCAAGGGCACAAGCGACAGCATCTTATGACTGCCTCTCAACCGACGACTGCCGCCAACATTGCCTTTGTTGGCTGCCTGCCTTTCCATGGCGATCTGAATGGTGGCGAGGGATTGGCATGTGATGCAATCGAATCTCATCTACCGTACCTCTGTTGCGTCTTGGCAAGCTTTCTGAGCGCTGCAACAAAGTCAGATGCACGGTAGGGCTTGTGCGGCTGCATGTTGGCATCGTAGAACAGATCTGTCAGCCGCATTGGCCATGCAGGGAAGCCGTACAGCTTTCTCAGCCTTGGTCTGCCACCAAACACGACGAGCAGATCTGGTTCGCACATGTATCCTGCTTCCACCAAGCCTTTATCTAGTGCAGCTACTGTCAACTCGGAGGTGAAAGTCTTGCGTTTCGAGAGCCATGCTTTGCGCAGTGATGATGAAGAGAATCGGCATTGCGGTGTTGCTGCCATGTCTGGTTGCAAGACATCCAACAAGTATGCATCCGCCCGTTGGCCAAGTTGCTGGCTGACAAGTTGTGCGAATCTCTCCTGACCATCTTGCTGGCTTAAAAGCGTTACTTGGAGGGTGCCCCTCTCTCTCGCCCTCTTCGAGCATGTTGCGAGTCCAAGACGGATGTCTACTCTTGCTTTGCAAGCGTCTTCTTGATCGACATCTGCAGTGTACGAGGAAGCCAGCGTCTCATCGAGAGATGATAGTCCTGCTTCCGAACCGCTCGATGCTGGCCAACTCGCTGACAGCTCCATCGTCCTCCTTCTTCTCAGCTCGGCATATCTCGACGAGCTCGATGCTCCTTGTTGCTCAAATCTTTGCACCTCTTTCTCTCCCTCCTCTTGCTGCGCAATGACCGCCTGAGTGCTGTAGCCTACCTGCAGTACTCTACTCAGAGATTGCAGCGCGGTAGGCGACAGTTGCTGTGTCGTATAGACGCTAAGCTGCTGCACGCCACTCACTCTAGCAAGATGAACGATGGATGCCATATCGTTGACATGTTTTGCTTCCACGGCTGCTTGGAAGCCGTATCTGAAATCACGCCAGAGGTCGGCAGTGGAAGCGACATCTCTTGCGCTGATTCGCATCAGCATCCTCGACACGTAGAGTCGGATCGAGGAGGGAACCGCATCGGCAAGAACAACTGCTAGATGCTCGGGCACCCTTATTGAGCTTGACGGCGTCTCGTGAACATCGACAAGGTGCTGGAGGGAGGTGTACGAGGCCGGTGCAAGATTTGGATCCTGCTTGAAAGCATCCTTGATGGCGGTGCGAGCCGAGCGCTCTACTAGAATGATTTGGTATACGATATGAAAGATTGCAAATGCAAGTGCTAAGAAAGGTCTCAACAGTAGCCACAGCAGGCCCTGGTTGCTTGCAGTTGGAGCCGGTGTGGAAAGATGCGAAGCAGGCTTTGAGGAGGAGGAGCGGGATGTCGAGGTGCGCTCTGCTGCTTCTGACTGTGCCTTCGACATGGCTGCAGTCGTATAGCATCTCCACTCTTGCGCACAACGATGCCAGGCTTACAGCTTGAGGGTGATCGTGGATGCGAGGCAGGACAAGGCAAGCGAGCATCGATAGCTGACATCTTCCAACTCCAGGCAACACAGCCAAATTCCACGGCACTCGGAAGTCGGCACTCGGAAGTTGTAAATACGGAAGTCGGAATACGGAAGTCGGAAGTCGGTTACAACATCCTCGCACGTAAAAAAGCGCTTTGCCTCTGTCGACGGCCTTGATCTCGACAACGACGATAGCAACGATAGGGAGGGCATGCTCGCACAAGGCTCTTCAAGAGAGACTATTATCGTATCAGACTGGACTGTGGCTTAAATCCAGCCCAGCCGCTCATCAGCAAGCATGCTGCAACCAGGCCTAGCTGCTGCCCTTCGAGGCATCCCACGCCTTAGGCAGCCCTTTACGACGTTCAGACATGCTGCTAGCCTCCATCAGCACCTCACCACAACCTCAAGGATGCCCTCGCCATTCACTCGGAAAGTAACAACATCTCACCGACTGAGGAGTCCCTCCAATCATCGCCGTGATGCCATGCGACACTCCCGCTTACCCCCTCCACCCCCCTCCAACGCACAACCCCCATCCATCTCCCGCGCACTCCTCTTCTTGATCGGCTTCTCAACCCTTACCTTCACCTCGGCAGCCTACTACTCGCTCCGGCAAACGGAAGGTATCGCTTGCCAGCTTGGCAGCTCACGAGATGTATTCTCCAACATATCTTCCTACTTGACCTCCTCCTCCTCCTCCTCCTCCTCCTCTTCCACTAGCTCCAGCGGCAATGTTTGGGGGCCGGGGATAACAGATGAAAAGCTCTCCAACGCACATGCCCACGACACGGCCACAAAGCTTGGTGTTCGGATGCAATCGCTTCTTGGATGGTGTGAACAGTTGCACTTTCCTGCTGCGCTCACAGAGTTTATCGGTCGGACGTATATCATCGTTGCTGAAGGCTATCTTGAACTTCCACCTTGCAAACAGGCGGTTGTGCCCATTGTAGCGGTGAACAGTATTGTTTTTGCTGCATGGTCCATCGCTTCGTTGCGACGAGGAGCCGGGGGAAGAATGTACAAGTGGATGTCTAGGCATTTCGTTCATCGTCCAGGTTCCAACCGTCTGCATACTATGGTTAGCTCAGTGTATAGCCATCAAGCTGCGCTGCATTTGGTGTTTAATAGCATCGCACTTTGGTCGATCTCCTCGTCGGCGCTGATCTTGGCTTCTACGGGATATGCCTATACCAACTCTCGCATTCCTGAGAGTTGCGCAACACCGCATTTTTTGGCATTCTTCACAAGCGCCGGCTTATTCGCATCAAGCGTATCGCACATTGTCGCTGCTATCCGGTTCAAGAGGTTATCCTGCCTTCTAAGCCTGCCGATAGCAAAAACTATGATGGCAAGAGAGGCGAGTTTAGGAGCAAGTGGTGCGGTATACGCATGTTTGATCATGTCTGCTTGCGCTTTTCCACAGGCTCAGTTAGGGATTATATTCTTACCCTTTGTTACAGTTCCAATTGGCGTTGGCGTGGCAGGGTTGGTAGCGGTTGATGTTCTAGGAGTTCTAAGGGGTTGGAGAGTTTTTGATCATTGGGCTCATTTGGGTGGAGCAGCCTTTGGAGGATTGTATTGGTACGGCGACGGAGTGAGAGCGTGGGAAGGGCTGAAGAAGTGCTTAGTGGAGAGAGTTGGCTTTGGGAGCGGACAGCGGGGGAGGGGGTTTCAATATGCCAACGAGCCCAGCTGAAGACAGCATTGTCCTCTACAATCGCCGCCCAGAACAACACTGTCTGTCGTTGATCACACACTCTCTCGCACCGACCACGAGACTTGCCTCTGGGATCGAAGGAAAACATGCTTTACAGCCGCTTACGATGGGGTTGATGTTAAAAGTACACTTACGTCGCCTAAGCTCGCTCTCCCCCCCCCTCAACGCTGGTCAGGAAAACCTCCTAATGTTATCCATCTCCTGCAAGACACCATCCAACATTGCTTCGTCTCTGGTTGCCAATGTCGGAATTAAGGCCTTTGCCTCTTCCACTTCTGTAATACACAGATTAGCCAGCTGAGCCATTTCGAACTGCGTTAGTTGCAGACCGGTTTGTTGGATTTCGTTTGCCTCCTCATCCACTTGCCTCTCATCTAGCCTTGCGTGCTTGAGCAAAAGTTCTCGGATTTCTCGGATGGTGTTTGGATCTTTATAGCGAGAGAACTCGGATACGTAGTCTTTGGTTTTGGAAAACACGGCGGTTGCAACTTCATCACGGCTTCCATCGGCGGTAGAGGTGGTGGACGAGTTGAGCGCACCAGGTTGCGAGAAAACCAGTTCGACTTCCGAGATTAGAAGGCAGCCCGCATCGTCGAATTCTTTTACACCGAGAAAAGAGGAGGAGGAGAGAGGTTGGGAAAGAGAGCTTAGTAAGAAGCGTTTGCATAGGGCAGAGCAAGGGAGGAAGCGAGCGAGACAAGAGGGGAGCAAGACCTACCTGCACCAAGCTTTCCAATGGCGGCATCTTCATCTTCGATCATCCCTCGATGACGACGGCCTACTTCGTGCTGCATTTTGAGCTATTGGAGATGTGTTGCGAAGGTCTGGGCAAACGATTCCAGCTATGCAGCCTGTGGCTACGAATGCTTTTGAGCTTCTTGAAAGCCTCGCTGGGTGCAGTTGCGAAAGCGTGTGTGAGGACGTAGGTTGCAGAAGCGTTCAAGATGATGGGGTGGTGAGAACAAGTGAATGCTAGTGGAAGAGAGGCTTTGCGCTCAGAGTTGGTTCTTCTGTCCAAAGCCATCTCAGAACTCGGAACTCGGATGTCGGAAGAAGAAATTCGGAAGTCGCAAATCGGTAAATTAGTAAATCGGCAAATCGGCAAATCGGTAAATCCGTAAATCCGTAAATCGGGAAATCGGGAAATCGGGGAAATCGGGGAAATCGGGGAAATCGGGCCACGCATCTAGGATCCCTGAGCAAACTGACGACCATCCTAAACTTGTTCTTGCTCACCACCATGTCGCATACTTACTACCCCCTACATCAAGGCGGGGAAAACAATGCATCTAACATGACGATGGACATGACAGATGCCTCCTGCCCCATCGCCGCCCCACAACTAATGTACACCCTGACCTCGCACCTCGGCTCCCCCTCCTCTCTCTCCTTCTCCCCCTCGGGCCAGCTGCTGGCCACAGCATCTTCCGATTCGACGCTCACCCTCTGGTCCCTCTCCACCGGCTCGCACCTGCATACCTTCTCCCCTCGCCCCACCCAGATCTCAGGCTGCGGCTCCGGAATCAACGCGATCAGCTGGTCATCGGACAGCACCTACATCGCCACCGCCTCTGACGACCACACGATCAAGGTCTTCTCGATTGTAACGCACAGGCTCGTCCGTACCTTCTCCGAGCACACGTCTTTCGTGCTCTGTCTGGCGTTCAACGCGCAATCAACACTCCTCGTTTCCGGCTCGTTCGATGAAACAGTGCGGCTATGGAATGTAGGCCGCAACAAATGCCATCGAACCATCGCAGCACATTCAGAGGCGGTTTCAGGAGTACACTTTAACAGAGATGGAACAATGATCGTCAGTTGTTCCTATGACGGCTTGATTAGGCTCTGGGATACAACGACGGGGCAGTGTTTGAAAACGCTCGTTCATAAAGATCAGAGTGCCATAGGCGGGGTTGAATTTACCCCTTCAGGCGGACAACTTTTGTCTTCGAGTCTGGATAGTACCGTGAGAATGTGGGATATATTCAACAGCAAAATCGTCAAAACCTACACAGGACATACTAACTTAAAGTTGCCTCTCACAGCACAACTCGCTTTTCACCCAGGCAGCAAGCAGAACAGCCAAAGAATAGCCACAGTCCTCAGTGCAAGCGAAGAGGGAAAGGTGCTCATGTGGCATACTCAGTCAAAGGAAAAGGTAGTTGAATGGCAAGCGCATAAAGAATCAGTGATCGCAGTAACTGTTCATCCAACTAGAAACATTCTAGCTACCGCAAGCACCGAGCTTGAGAACGCCGTCAGAGTTTGGTTCTTTCCAGCCCCTACACAAGGCATCATAGAAAGCTGATGAGTTAGGCTGCAGCAAGGTTTGTACTTGTAGGTACATTTCAGGTTGAGCTGTATCCCTTTACTGACTCTTCTTGTTACTAATCTGGCTCTTACCCCAAACATTCTCCTCCACGCTCTTCTTTGTCTGCTTATGCGCAAAGACATTGTAGTACACCGCCCTCACGACTGTATGGATGGGCAAAAACATGCCGACCCTGTTCTGATAATCGCTATACTCGGGATACTTTTTCGCACTCTCCGCCTCCGAATAGACGGTACTTGCATAGAACAACACGTTCATCGCCAACGGAGCAATAAGCGCATAATTGACCAACTGCGACCAATGCACATTCCCGCAATGGAAAGTAAGCGGAACAAAAGCGTATAGAATCCACCAAGTAACCTGCTCGCATGCAAAGTTAGGATGTCGACTCCAAGCCCACAATCCCTTTGACACGAAACCTCGCTGGGCATCTTCCCGGGTGCAATAAGGCATTACCGCTTGCTTTTCAAGAGGAAGCTTCCTAACCGGATCCACCATAGCAGCGGGCAAGGGGTTTCCTTGAGCGTTTTTACCACGTTTGTAGTTCTGGTAGTTCCACTGTTGTTCATCTGCCAAGAATTGGACGGTGAGATTGGCCATGAAGAATGCTGCAAGCATGTAGTCTCCGAGGATGAGTTTGGTGACGGGACGAGCGACTGGTTGGGTTACATGTTTAACCGAAGTCGTTGTGAGCAAGAGGTAATTGGGTAAGGCAGTGATAGCGAGTAGAATGTTCTGAGCAATGGCGATGAACAAGATCGAAAAGATCTCCCAAACCGGTCGGGACATAGACTTTCGTAGCAAAGGCCACCTGTAATCTTGCACTCCAGGCTTAAACATGCCCCTCCTATATGCGTTGTAAGTCAACCTAATGCACCAGAGCAAGGACAAGGTTGACATGAGCGCCAAACGAGGTTCGATCTTGTCCCAGATGCTTGCATGCTGTACACCGCCAAAGAACGAGATCTTGGCGGGTTGGTAGGTGAAATACTTATGGAACGTCAAGTGGAGCGAATAGATGAGCGGGAGCAAAGTCCAAAGACCATCCACTTGCGATGCGTTACCCGTGATTTTTTCCATGATCCAGACGTACAAGCTGACAAACGCACAGAAGGCCATCGCAGAGTGAAAGGGGTCGGCATCGGCATAGTAGGCTTTGTAGGTGGCGATGTGGGCGAGGGTTTTGGTGTTGCGAAAGTAGGAGGTGAAGGAGGCGTAGAAGGAACGCATAGCGGGGAGCAGGTCGCTTTGTGGGTCGAGGGCCGCATGGGCCCAGCGGCAAGTAGCAGCGCCTACCATGTTGGGCACTAAGTTGCGATGGGTTCAATGCATGCGCAACTGGCGAGATGGTGATGGAGACGAGAGAAGAGACCTGACTAGATGGTTCTCATTCTCCTCCACATTTGTCTGTGCACAGAATGCTTGGATTTGATCCTTGGTCTGTGCGTCGGATGGGTGAAAAGTGAGCTAAGCCTGCAGTCCGAACCCAAAAATAGAAGAGCTGTTGACCATCCGCGGCCTAACATTTTACTATCTTGACAAAAATGAAGAAAATGTCACGTGAGACCGGCTCGCACTTGGTTGGAATGAGAACGCGTCGAGTTGGACAAAGACGCGTGTTGTGTTGTTCTTGTTTGCGGATGCGCTTTGTGCATCACCACTCGCTCATCCCCTCCTCCTCCTCCTCCTCATGATCATGATCATGATCATCATTACCATCATCATCATCGTCGTTACCATCTCTACACCATCAATTATCGGCATTCGGTCACCGTGCTTCTGCTGCCTCGCTTATAATATCTCGATACCCGCCCGGCTCCCCTGGTTGTTGCTCGGTTGACCTCAGCTTGCAGTCATGTCCGGCTCATCCTCGCTCCGACGTCAACCATCCTCCTCCAACCTCACTCGTGCTGTTCAGCCTCGATCGAGAGCACCGCCTGTCTCCTCCTCAGGCGCAGCTAGGAGACTGACAACGAATGGTGCTGGCTCCTTGCAACCAGCTTCACGGCCAGCTTCATCCGCTTCCAACAACGACGCAGACAAGAAGCGATCCGAAGCTGGTGAATGCAACATTCAAGTCGTCGTTCGTGTACGAGGGCAAGCTGCCAATGGGCCGAAAGGGACATCACCGGGCATTCTCTCTACATCCGGCCCACGATGTCAGCAGATCGATGTGGCGATCGAGCCACCTCCCGTATCTTCCTCTTCCATTCTAGCCTCCTCTTCCATTCTAGCCTCCTCATCCAGTCTTGTTCAAGAGTCTTGGACGCGGCAGAAGAGCTATCATTTCGATCAGGTCTTTGGTCCTGAAGCGGATCAAGGCATGGTCTATCAGGATGTTGTCGGCCCAATTCTGGAGCAAGTCATGTCTGGCTACAACTGCACCATCTTTGCCTACGGTCAGACGGGTACGGGTAAAACGCATACTATGGAGGGCGACTTGACATGCCAAATGGGAACCTACAGCTCTGAAGCAGGCATCATCCCTCGTTCCCTCTATCGTCTCTTCCACACACTCGAGCTTTCCAAAGAGGATTACTCGATCAAAGCCACTTTCATCGAGCTATACAATGAAGAGTTGCGAGATCTGCTCGCTTCAGAATCTTGTGCCAACACCTCTTGTTCGACACAGAAGGACGCGCAACACGGTCTCCGCATGTACGACGATGCACGAGGCAAGGGTGTTGTCATTCAAGGTCTCGAAGAGGTTGCACTCAAGGATGCTGCCCATGGCCTCACCCTGCTTCGCCGCGGAAGTCAAAAGAGGCAGATCGCGGCTACCAACTGCAACGAACAGTCCAGTCGATCTCACAGCGTCTTCAGCATGACCGTCTTCATCAAAGACAAAGGTTCCCGAGGCGAGGAGGTGCTCAAGATCGGAAAGCTCAACCTTGTCGACTTGGCCGGTTCGGAAAACATTGGTCGTTCTGGTGCGGAAAACAAACGTGCTCGAGAAGCAGGAATGATCAACCAGAGTCTTCTTACTCTCGGTCGTGTCATCAACGCTCTCGTCGAGAAGAGCAGCCACATCCCTTACCGAGAGTCGAAACTGACACGTCTCTTGCAAGAATCGCTTGGTGGACCAACCAAAACATGCATCATCGCCACTGTCTCGCAAGAACGAGCAAACATGGAAGAGACACTCTCTACACTCGACTACGCCTTGCGCGCCAAATCCATCAAGAACCGTCCAGAGCTCAACAGCCGCATGACTCGTTCTGCGCTCATCAAGGAGTACGTCTTCGAGATCGAACGTCTCAAAGGTGATCTTCAAGCTTCGCGCGATCAAAACGGCATCTATCTCACCGAACAATCCTGGCAAACGATGCATAGCCAACACGAACAACGCAAGACGCTCGCCGAGACACTCCAACGCAACGCCGAACTCACCGAAAGCAAACTCAACAGCCTCAAAGAGCAGTTTGAGCAAAACATGCAGCTTCTCGTCAAGCGAGATAACGAGGTTCGCATAGCCAAAGCAGAGTGCGCTCACAAGGTCGCTCAACTCGAAAGCATGATGGCAAGGGCAAGCTCCTTAGAGTTGACTGTGGAGGAAGAGGTGGCGCTGCGCAAAGCATATATGGCGAGCGAGGCGCATCTGAATCAGGCTGCTTCTTCCTTGGCTGAGCTTGTGCAGCAAAGCACAGAGGATGTTGAGCGACTGTTTGATAAGTTGCACAGGAAGACCGCCGTGGAGAAGGCCAATGGTGCGCTTGTGGCCGAATGCAGGAATGCAGTCTCGCAAAGAGCAAGCGAGCTTGATGCTAGTTTGGGTACTTTGCACTCTGCAGAAGCCAAGTTCCACGCCTCTCTCAGGTCCAGTCTGGATTCGTTGGTTAGTGCTACAGAGTCTCGGCATGAGGAGCAACAGCAGTGCTTGCAAGCCAAGTTGAAGAAGCTATCTACCTCGTTGAGCGAGGTGCGATCGGGAGAGATCGAGTCAAAGGACCTTCTATCTGCGCTGCTTGCAGAGCTGGATTCGACGATGAACGAGATGCAAGCTACTAGCGACGCTAGCCTTGGCTCGCTCAAGCAAACGTGCCGGGGTGCGATCGAGGATGTTGTGTTGGCCAATACGCAGCGCTTTGCTCAGGTTGCTGCCTCACTGGATGAAATGGTGCAGTCTCAGCTCGCGACGCTCCGCCAAGTGATCGCTATGAACGCTGCCAACCAGGACATGATTGCCCAAGCTAAAGCTGCTGCTGAAGCCGCAAGTGGACAAGAGATGGCAAGGCTGCGAGAACAGAACGCAATGCTCACTGCAACAGTCGACGACATGAAGCGCAGCAACACTTGTCTCAAGGCCGATCTTATGACTGACTTCGGACGCCTCCTTGATCGATTCACCGACCAGCAGGAATCAGCGATCTCGACATCGATCTCATCAGCACAAGCGCTCGTCTTGCAGTCCACTACTGCATCGCAATCGCATGCCTCTCAGCAAAGCTCGCACCTCGACTCGCTCTCCACCGCAGCAGGTCAGATGGCATCTCAACTCGAACAATCCAAAACAGCCCTCGTCGAAGGGAGCAGTGTCATCTCTCACCATGTCAACCAAGCAAGCGGCCAACTGGCTACAAAGATGGATGCATTCGCCTCGGCAATCGAGGAGGATCTCTGCATCTCCACCACCTCGGCCACTCGCGGACATCAAGAGATCGCACAAATCGCAAGCAAAGCAAGGCAAGAGATCCAATCTCGAACCAAGTCGCAATCGGCCAAGATCAAGTGTACAAACGCCAAGCTCAACGAGACATTTGATAGTCTTGCTTGCACCCTTTCCACTTCGTCGCAGGAGATCGCTTCCACGACGAAAGAGGTTGTGCGGCTGGTGGGGGAGAGGGAGCACGACATCAAGGTTTGGAGTGAGGGTATGAGTGGCCGTTTGAAAGGCCTTGGCTCCGACTCAACTGCTTTACTTGTTAACAAGTTTAAGCAGGACAAGAGCACAGGCCAAACACCGCAAAAGAGAGCATGGAAGATGCCAGCTCGATGGAACCTTGTACCTGCCAATCGCAAGGATGCGATCCAGGCAGGAAAGCAAGTTCAAGACGCTCTACTATCTTGTGCTCCACAAGTTGCCGCTAGCGACCACCTCCTCAGCTCCGAGATTGGAATGCAAGCCCCATCAGAGCCTCAAGATACAGTGCCTCAAGACACAGACACTGCAACACCTGCTCCTGCTCCTACTTCAGCTAATGCAAGCATCCAAGACCACCTCATCGAAGCAACCGCCATTCAAACAGCTACTACAACATCAAATTCCTCAGCTCGACCGCTCCGCCAAATTGCCTTTGCTCACTCCAACCTACCCATGCCAGCGTCAACATCAGTTCAAGATTCAACAGGCATCAAAACTCCCACCACCGTCGAATCAGGACCTACAAAAGGTAGAAGTGCAAAAAATAAGCTCACTGCATCATCGGCTACCGCTTTACCCACGAGTAAACGTGCTCGTTCTTAAACCCAACCCCCCCCCCCCCCCCTTCCCCTTCTCATGTTACATTGTCCAAGTTGGTATGGATTTGGCTAGTTGCTTAGCGTGCATTTTGTGTACTTTTGCAGAGTTGCTTTTAGAGAATCTTATACCAAGTGTCGGAAACAAGTGTCGGAAAGAACAAGGTCGTGTCTCTCGTATCTCTCGTGTTCTCGGGCTGGCTATGCAATGAGCCGTCCTTCGAGCATGATGCAGAAAGCGAGCACTCGCATGAGGGATCGATGTACGGATGATCCAAGATCTTTGCTTCGTCCAGCGAATATGTTACAAGCATAAAAGTTGCCGACTTGAAACTAACCGCAAGCAGATTAGTTGTGATACTTGTGAGCAGTAATCAATTCATAGGCCTCCATATACTTGTCCTCTGTCCTCTTAACCACATCATCCGGTAATGTAACAGGCACACCTTGATCAGCAGCCTTATCCAATCCATTCGCCTTCAACCAGTCCCTCACGTATTGCTTGTCGAAACTATCTTGACCACGACCAACAGCGTATTTTTCCGCCGACCAGAAACGCGAGCTGTCTGCAGTGAGCACTTCGTCGACCAAGATCATCTCCTCTTGACCTGGGTTGGAGGAGCAAGGGATCAGACCGAATTCGAATTTGGTATCGGCTAGGATAATGCCCCGAGACTTGGCGTGGGCGGCAGCTTTGGAGTAGAGAGAGACAGCCGCAGTAGCCATCTGCTTGGCCAGGTCTGCGCCGATGATTTGCTCGACTGCAACCAATATTTAGATTGGTGTTGGACGAGAAAAGCAGGCTTAGTGTCAAAATGCAAACAAGAGATGTCGGTATGATGGTCGGGGATTGCGTGCATACCTTTATCAGGGTGAATATTCTCATCATGGTCTCCCTGTTGAGCCTTTGTACTCGGAGTGAAAAGTGGACCGTTGGGGATCTCCTGACTCTCCTGCAAGCCCTCTTGGAGCTTGATGCCATGAACGGTACCTGTGCGCTTGTATTCTGCCCAGCCACTGCCGGCGATGTAACCCCTCACGATAGCTTCGATAGGGAGAACGTTGGCACGCTTAACCAGCATGGAACGACCTTCGACTTGCTCCTTGACCGATTCGAGCTTCTGTTGGAGCTCCATCGGGAACTGGGCGTAGTCTGTGGCGATGATGTGCGACTCAATGAGGGATGGTGTCAAGAGGCCGAACCAGAAAGTGGAGAGTGCATGGAGAAGCTTGCCCTTGTTTGGGATGCCCTGTCGTTCTCAAGCCAAGGTTGCCGGACAAATCCAAAGGGTCAGCACGGGTCCCATGCATCTGGCCTCCAATGAGCGAGGAGCTACTCACGTTCTCAAGAACGATATCGAAGGCAGAGATTCGGTCGGTTGCGACAAAGAGAATCGCACCTGCGTGAGGACCGTTGGCGAGACCAGCATCGTAGACATCGCGGACCTTTCCCTTGGCGATGAGCTTGAGAGGCAAGTCTGTGGCGACCATAGCGTTTGCCGACATGATCCGTGACCTCGATCCTTGCGTGCAGCTTTTAGATGAGGATGATGGTGTTGGTGAGCAAGGTGTTGGTGAGCAATGAGCGAGTCATATCAAGAAGAAATGCCAATAAACTTGGTCGGTCTAACAGAGTGGGGGGGGGGGAAAAAAAGCACGTGACAAAAGCACCTGACAAAGGCACGTGACTTGACCAAAGAAAGCACGTGACAATAAATTGCCCACGTGCCAAGGACGCGAGTCTGTGGATAGACATTCGACTGTAAGATTGAGCTGGATTTCTTTCGCACGAGAGAGAGAGAGTGTGTTTTTTTAAAAATAAAAGTGGAGAACAACACTTGAGGTGCTCCTGAGACCTATCAGGATCCTCATCAACGCTCCTCGTATCACTTGTTTCCCCTCTTCCACCATCAACTCTCATCTTGAACGCCTTGGTCGATCGCACGCTTCCTCATTTGCAAACGCTGCCCCTGCAGCAGCACCAGCACCAGCGCAGGTACACGGCCTGCTGCGCATCCAGCATTCACCATGCCGAACCAATCTTCCAGGCACGCTACGCCTGATGGCGAAAATGATCCCAGTCTCGCCACACGGCGTCCAGCCAAGGTTGCCCATCCTCTTCCATCTAGGGAGGGCATGAGCAATATCACCAATTCGGCCGCTTCCAAGCGCATTCTGCCTCCGCATCTTCAGTCCGCCAGTAAACCGAAGAGAAGCCCATCCGAGACACTTAAATCCGGCAGCCTCCGCGATTCCATCACATCCAATTCCTCTTCCGCTTCGGAGAGCCTTGGCAAGTCTTCCAAACGACTTGGACCACAATTCGCTTCTTCGAACAGCGCTGCCTCTTCTGCCACTCCACAGGCCAGAAGGAAACGCACCGATGCCGAGCCCGCATCTGTCACGCCACGTCCAAAGACATTCTTCGAGCGATCCTCTGGTCTCCGCAGATTGCAGTCTGTCAGCGACATCGATGGGCTTACCGCTGCTTCCTCATGCAGTGATCAAGCTTCCCGATCTTACGAGATTGAACCTCTTAAAGCCTACCTCCGCATCAGGCCTCCGCCTGATGATGGTCAAAAGGAGCTCACCCGTCCATATATCGAGGTCGTCAACAATACCCAAGTCCTCATGCACCCGCCCTCTCAATCCGCCTACACCAGCGGCATCCCTGGCGCCAGGTCCAGGTCCACCAGCATCGCCCCTCCCACCAAGTACACCTTCTCAAAGGTCTTCAGCAGTCAGTCCGCTTCCTCCTCTGGTGCCAAGCAGGACATGTCTCAATCTGCATTCTTCCAGCAGACCACCTTGCCTCTCGTCGAGTCTCTCCTTCAAGGCGAGAGCGGTCTGATGTTCACCTATGGCGTTACAAACTCGGGCAAGAGTCACACTGTGATGGGCAACGACTCGCCTGGAGGGGCAGGCATCCTCCCGCGCGCACTCGATGTCATCTTCAACAGCATCAACGGTGTCGAAAGTACTGCCAACATCCAACCTTTTGGTCTGTCGGGCGTGCAGCGTGTTGACAAACAGTCCGCTCACACCGGATCCAATAGCAATCTCGGCGTCAACCCCTTCACGATCCCAGGTGTCTCTCGTAGGCTGCTTGCCGAGACACCTGCTCGCGCAAGCAAGCCTGCCAAGCTCATCGAGCATGATACCACCAAAGTCGCTGTTGACCGCAACCTTCGATACAGCGTCTTTGTCAGCTACGTCGAGATCTACAACGAGAAGCTTTTCGACCTCCTCGATGTTTCGCCCGGCGCGACGCTCGGTCGATCCGAGTCTGTCCGCGCCTCCAACTGGAGTCTTGCCAACATGGCCAACACCGCTCCTAGCTCCATCCCTGCCAGTGCTAGCATCACCCTCAACCGTCGTCCCCTCAGCCTCAAGAATGACCAAGAAAACGGTGGCAAGTACGTCGCTGGTCTACGAGAGATCAAGATCAACTCGCCTCAAGAGGCCCGAGATCTTCTTCATCGAGGTCAAGAGAACCGTGCCGTTTTTGCTACCATGGCCAACAGGGCTAGTTCAAGGAGTCATGGTATCTTTACCATCAAGGTCATTCGTCATCACGGCGGCCTCGCCAACATCTCCGACGACGATCTTAACACCTTCACCACCGCCCGTCTCAGCATTGTCGATCTCGCAGGTAGCGAGCGTGTCGCCAACACCGGTCTCGCCAGTGGTGACCGTCTCAAAGAAGCTGGCAACATCAACAAAAGTCTCATGTGTCTCGGTCAGTGTCTTGAGACTCTCCGCAAGAACCAGATTCGAGTCACAGGTACAACCGAAGGCGGCCAGGCTCAGATCATCAAACGTCGTATGAGCATCGTCCCCTTCCGTCACTCTAAGCTCACCGAGCTCTTCCAGAGCTTCTTCCTCAAAGATGGAAAAGCTGTCATGATCGTCAACGCCAACCCTTACGACACTGGCTTTGACGAGAACTCGCACGTTATGAAGTTCAGCGCTATTGCAAAAGAGGTTGCCGTCCAGCGTCACGTTGCCCCCGTCACCAAGACCTTACCTCCACTTGCAGCATTCAAGGAGGAGAGTACTTCACCCTCTCGTCCCCTGCCCAAGTTCAAGTCTAGTATCGACATTAGCACCTCCCAGAGCGAAGCAAGCGCAGACGTCACCATTGTCGAGCATGACGAAGAGACCGACGACGAGAATCAAGACCCCTTTGTTGATATGCTTGTCGAGAAGCACGAGGAGCTCCGACAGAAGCTTTACGCCGCCGAGCTTCGATGTGCAACCATCGAGGCTGACGTCCGCAAGGAGATGGTCGATGAGTTCCAACAAAAGTTTAGGGACATGGAAGCCTTCTATCACAACCGCATGATCGACGACGCAGAGCAAAATGCGCAATTTATGAACCGCAAGATCGATCTGCTGGTGAGCACAAATACGCGAAACCAGCCTCAACTCGACGCCGACAGCGAAGCTGAAGATCAGCTGACTGATCTCAGTGACGACGACGACAACAACAACTGCGAGTCGGCTCACGACGATGAGGCAGAGATTGAAGGCGCCCTCGCTGCTGCCAGCAATGCGCGCAAGTTGGATCACAGTATGAACGAGCTCAGCGGTGCCGAGAGCGTCTTTGATGATGCCACTGAAGGCGAGATCTCACATTCTCTGGCCCTCGATCATCACTCGGACGAGGATGCGGCCAGCGATGACGACATTGATGAATCAGCGCTCCTTCAACCAGGAAGAATGCCTAAGCGCGCAGCCGCAAAGAAGGCTGCCAAGGTCATGCATGTCTTTTCGGATGAGTCAATGTCAGAAGAGGACGAAGAAGATCCCAAAGATGGCTCACAATCTGGCTCAGACTTTGGCTCTGATGGCGCTGAAGATCAGAACATGTCTTCGGCGCTCAGTGATGTGCAGAAACAGAACGACGACGCGAGCTACGATGAAGGCAATGACGACGAGCAAAACGACGTCGAACCTACCCTCAAGCGAAGCACATCCCAGGTCTACGTCGACATCCCCACACAAACTCCCGAGTCTAGCTTCAACTCGGTCTCCAGCTCCAGATCCGCAGCAGCTCAAGAGTCGGACTCGGATTCGGACTTCAAGATTGTCTCGGACAGCGAAGAGGAGCGTGTTTCCCCGGCTCGCAAGAAATCCGGCCGACCTAGCACGTCGAAGGCCAATAGAACTTGCAAAAGCAACCGCAGCAGCGCCTCCACGGGACCTACTCGTCGCTGCTCGAACAAACCACGCGTCTCTCGTCGCTCCTCGAACATGCTGATCGAAGCAAGCAACCTCAGCGACCTGAGCGATGCAAGTATGATCATACAAGACCCTGTAACACCAAAGAAGAAACGTAAACTGCGCAAAAAGGCAGCCTTGCAGCAAGACGACTACGTCGAACAAATTGCCGATTCCAGCTTGGTAGAAGCTGTATCTCAAAGCACAAGCAACCGAAGTCTCGTTGGTCATAGCAAATCCAAGAGTTTCGGTAGTAGCAGTTGCACTGCCCTCAAACACTGAGAGATGCAAAACTTCTATCAAGCGACCATCGCAAATTCGAATGAGAGTGTAACTTTACATAATACCGCAAGTCAAAGAACCAAGTAATGCCTTCATCGTCATTGCTGCGCACGGTTACAACAGACACGTCATGAAGCGCTCTTATCAACCCTACCGCATCCTTCTCTCTGTGTTGGGCCATTGTGTTTTGGACCTCAGAGATTCAACGCGCTTCGTTGGCAAACATCCTTACTGTTCTCATCCAAACGGGCGTGCGTATATAGTCGAATGATCCCCTCTTCCAGTATACACGCACTTGCCTTCACCCTAGAGTGCCGACCACCTTAAGACCGTCAAGCTCTCAACAACAATGTTAGGATGAACGGCGACGCTCAACAAGGGGCGTAAGTCAAAGTACTGTACAGTCCCTGTGCATAAGTTTGGGGACAGGGTCCAATAGACGATAAATCAACTGTCCGATAGCATACCTTCCATCTGCTTGGAGGAGTGATCTCTCATAAGTGTCAGGCTGAACAAAACACACAGTGAGCAAGCTCAAAAGAAGACTTTTCGATTGCAGTGAGTCTCGGAGCCAACTAATACTTGAGTGGACCTCCATGCTTAGTAAGCACTTGCTCCACGCAATGCTCCATTGACTTGATCACAGGGTTGATATGTTTGAGCATGATCTGGGTGTTCCACACTTCCTCTGCAGCTCTTGCAAGCTCATCCCAGGTTTTTGGAACTGGCAAGCACTTACCAAGCAAGTTTTTGAATACATACCATATGTTCTCAATAGGGTTAAGGTCCAGCAAAGCTGGTGGGTGTTCCTGCATCTTAATGTGGTATTTGGCCTGCCATTGCTTGCAGATAGCAGCCTGATGACAGCTGCTGCCATCTTCAACAACTGACAGGCCATCAGGGTATGCACTAACAGCAGTTACAGCATCCCAGAGTGGGCCATCAATGATCCAATTGCAATATCTGACAGCTGTGAGGTTCTCAGTGGGATCCCATTGATTAGCCAACCCTGGCCACTTCTTTCTTGGAGCCAATGGGAGCACAACCAATGGGGTTTTAAGCTTGTATGCAATGCCAACCCATATGTGGATGCTGAAACAGCTGGAACTGGAATGGAACATTGGAACCATGTTGTTGATGTCTTCTCAAGTGTTTTTTTGGTCACAAACCCATGTGCAGCCAGGCTGGTAGCCAACCTCGACAGCTGCCTCATCTGAGAATAGCACACACTTCCAATCAGTGGAGCTGTTAGACTTGGCCCAATTGAGATGTTTCTGCCTGTTTTTGGCTGTCAGAAATGGCTTTTGAAGCACAATACAGCAGTTAATACCAGCCCAGTATGCTGCTTTCCAGAGCTGCATTGTTGGAACACCACCAAGCAACACTGACAGCTGTCACCATGATAGAAGCGGGTTTTTGAGTACCTCATGCTGAAGGTAATGGTCTGAGGTAGTGTCATAGGACCGGATGTGCAGGAAGAACTGGGATCGGGCCAATGAAGAGTTCTGACAGAGTTCATCAAGATCCTATGACAGAAGTCATCAGAATCGGTACAAGTGTGATCTTACAGCAAAGTCTGTTGGGATCAGTAGTATCATGGCTGTACAACAGATCTCACAGGAACTGGCTGGAGGAAGCCTCTCTCACAGATCTCATAAAGGGACATACAGTACTGATGTTGGGCTTGACACCCTGATGAGGTGGGGGCCCTACACAATGATGAACTTGGCACAAAGGGATGGGTGCTGTCACCAGAGGCAGGATGAAAGAGGGTTACTTTGCCACTTGGATGAAGTGGGTGTGACCCCTATCAATGATGAAACAGCACAAGGACCCCTCATCCACAGGGAGCAGGAGAAGCAGTGCTAAAGAAGAGGGGACATTGTAAGAAAGGCAGGGACTGTAGGATGGACAAGGGGCAGTGTTGAATGAGGCCTCATAGAGCAAGAGCAGTGTTGCAGGTGACACTGCGAGGATGTCCATATAAAAACACATTCTCTTTGTCACAAGTGGCTGAATGGATCTCCATCCACTCTACACTTTACTAGCTATATCTCACCATACATATACTTAGTAGTTTCCATCAACAAAGTTGCAATTGCAGAGCATTGCATCTAACTTAGTGCATGTGTTGTGTCACTGCTACTTGTGGCCATCCAAAGGCAGTACCTACTGCAGTCTGGATATTGATCAACACTGAAGTCAGTCTCTGCAGTCTGGTTCTCTTGATCTCATACCAAAGGCAGTCTACTGCAGTCTGGTTCTCATTCAATCAACTCAATTGTGCGACTGTCAGCACTCAGGATGCTCATGTCAAGACAGACACTGTCACACCATACTCTGGTATTGTCAAGGAGTCCATCTGGATCTTGATCATGCTGCACTACCTCTGGACAGAGTGCCCACAGTGGTTAGTCAAAATCTGTGATAAACTTTAGTTACAATCCATCTGATCAAGAAAGATCCTAGAGAGCTTCTATGGCAGATTTCATTGAGAAAGATAATAAAAGGCTTCTACAATAGATTTCACCAAGGTTGATCTTAATCGACTTTTATAATAGATTTCGGGTTTCAGGCACGTGACCGCTGACAGGTAGTTGTTCAGGTGTGTGGACGGCTGGATCGTGCTTTTGTTTTGAAGGAACCACACTCCTTAAAGTTCTGGATGGTCTTGTGAACTGCTGTCTTGGATACACCAATGAGCTCTGTGATTTGTCAAATTGGCAGCCCAGTATCATGCATTGCAATGATTGAAGCATGCTGGCTTGGAGAGAACTCATTGCCATGGACCATGTTGGTGTTTGAAGTGTTCTTGCTTAGTATGATGGTGGTGCTATTGCTCAATGACAACAACAGCCCAGATGAGGGGTATCTGGCTAAATTAGGAAATTACCTGATTGTCCTCAAATTTACACACAGGGACTGTAACATATACTTAGTGTCACAGGGTCTGCGCAGAAGACCCTGAACATGCATGGATGCGCAGTGTGTGCACAAAAAAAGCAAAAACAGTTGGATTGCTGAGCTACAATTGTTTTCAGTAAAAACGGTCATAACACACTAGTTTGACAGATTTAGTCACACAAACCACAAGAAGAGGCTTGGAAGCACATAGGGGGTCTGAGCATAGGAGCATGTGGTGAGGTTACCACACAGGGAGATGGTAGCATGCAGGATGGGGAGGGGGGACAACGGAAGAGCTCACAAGGACAGGAGGTGGACAATAGAAGTGTTCATGAGGTCAGGAGCATTCACAAGACAAGGGGAAGGGAAATTGTGTCAAGGAGACCAATGTCATAGGACCAGAAGTGCAGAAGCAGAAGTCTTATGAGGAGGAGCGCAGGAATCAAGGATCGGGCAAATCGAGGGTTTTACAACAGAGTTCATTGAGATCCATAATAGAGAGGCTCTATGAAAGATCTCACCCAGATTGGCACAAGCAAGGATTGTATCATGAATTCTGCCAAGATCTGTAGTATCATGATCATATGATGGATCTCATGTGGGTGCTGACTTCACAGGCATCCCAGCAGGACAAGAGGTTGAGGACATTGGGTTTGCCACCCTGATGAAGCAGGGGGGCTGACTTGATGATGAACTTGGAGCAGGAGGATGGGAGAGATGAAGAAGGGGGTGAGTTGCCACTCAGATGAAGTGGGAGTGGCCCCTATCAATGATGAAGCAACCCCCATCTGCAGGAAGGACAAGGAGCAGCACCAAAGAGCGACATCACAGAGTAGTCAGGACAGCTAGGAAGGATAGGAAGGATGAGGAGGAGGAGCAGTGTTGAAGAGGCCTTCCAGAGCAGGAGCAGTGTTGCAGGCAACATTGCAAGAATGGGTACATAACCATGCTCCTTGTCATAGCAATTGAGTGGATCCTCATCCACTCTACACTTTACCTTACTAGCTATAACTTTCACACAAGTATACTTAGTAGTTCATCAGCAGTAGCAATTGCAGAGCATTGCACCTAATGTAGTGCATGTGTTGTATCACTGCTCATTGACATCATCCAAAGGTGGTTCATTCTGTGGTCCAGATATCAATTGACACCAAAGGCAGTTCATACTGCAGTCTGGCTCTCTTGATCATTAGAAACCAAAGGCAGTTGTCCACTGCAGTCTGGGGATCACCTTTCATTCAATTGACACACTGGACACTTGTGTTGAAGCAACATTGTCAGCATCAGACCTTGGTGCTCACCATGTACTATAGTTATTGATCATGCCAAGCTACCTCTGGACAGAGTGTCCACAGCAGTTAGTCAAAACCTGCAATAGCAATCAACCTATCACAATTTTTGAGTGAGGGAAGTCATAGAAGCCTTCTATGACAGGTTTCAACAAGAATAATAATAATGGCCTTTTACCACATATCTCAATAAGATCTGTAATAGACGCATTTCTACTAAAGATATCAGGTTTCAGGCGCGTGACCGCTGACAACCAACACATTGTCCAAGAGGAAGAGGAGCAGTGTCAAAGCAATTGACACACAGTTTAGGAGGAAGTAGAGCAGTGTTGAGGGATTGACACTGTTCAGAAGGAGCATCAGCACTCAGGAAGTGTTTACACTTCACAGGAGGAGCAGGAGCAGTGTGTCACAGGGCCAGCGCAGAGATCATAAGCAGCTGTGCTGTGCAGCTGCCAAAATGAGCTCAGTGCACCAGAAGTGGAACTGGTCAAGACCCAGGGGCTCCAACCAATCTCACCAAGAATGGTCAGACAGTGAGCTGGGGGGAAAACCTCATCGAGAATGGTCGAGACAGTGGGTACTGGGGAGTTTCACCAAGACTGGCCCAAGATGAAGCAGATCAGCCAGCCCCATGATGAGATGAGGGCATTCCACTGAGAATGAAGGGACAACCACTGAGAGCAGGGAACAAGAGACCTCACCACCAGATGAGGTGGGAGGAGACCCCTGAGCATGATGAAGTCAGCATAGGAGGATCATTGCCTGAGCAAGGGAGTAAGGGTAGGAAGGGCAGGATAGTAGTAGGAGTCAGATAGAACAGGATGGATGGGGAGGCCATACCCTGTAGGGAAGGAGGGGGGCCATGGTGAGGTAGACACCATTACACAAAGATATATATACACCCCTCTGTCATAGTGAATGAGTGGATCCAGCATCCACTCTATTCTTAACTAAACTATACTCTACTGTAACATATACTTAGTTGTTCCATCACATAGTGCAATTGCAGGCCATTGCTACTAATCTGAGCAGGTGTGTCATATCACCTCTCACTGACATCATCTGTAGGCAGTAGTTACTGTGGTCCAGATAATCACTTCTCCAAAGGCAGCACTCATACTGCAGTCCAGGCTTCTCTCATAGATTTGCCATTTGCTCATTGACACCTCAAACACTTGTGTCAAGTTGACAAATCCCCATTCCATACATTAAGTGTTCTGCAACAAGCAGGAACTGACTGTGCCATGTTACCACTGAACTGAGTGTTCACAGCAGTTAGCCAAAACTTGTCAAACAAATAATCCTTCAAGCAGTCTCAGTGAAAGTGGCCAACAGGTGCATACTCAAGCACACTCACTGAAACTGGTTGAAATCACCCAAACCGGTAGCTTTCGGGTTCCAGGCACATGACTGCTGACACAGTGTCATGGGCGACACTGCACAAACACATATATACTTTCATTCCATCATAGCATACAAGTGGATCCTCATCCACACTATCTATTACTTAGTCTACTCTTTACTTGTTTGTACCATTTGTGATTGCAGAGCTTTGCAAAGTCTTCTCAAGTGAGTGTGTTGTATCACTGCTAAGATGACAACTGTAGGCAGTGCTCACACTGCAGTCCAGTCATCCACCAAAGGCAGTAACTATACTGCAACCCAGCTCCAATTCCATCTGTAGGCAATAACCTTATTGTGGTCCAGACACCAGTTGACTATTGTCAAGGGACTGTCAGCACTAAGAACACTTGTGCCACAACAGATGTCAACCTCCTCTATTTGGTTTAGACACAATGAATCTACCTTAACCTTCAGAACATGCCACATAGCCTCTGAATGGAGTGTTCACAGCAGTTAGTTGAAACCTACTACCACACAGCCTTCCAGCATATCTCATGGAGACCAATTGTAAGGCAAACCTTTCTGCACCTTTTGGGGAAATCAGTTATGTTAGGTTTTTATAACGGTTTTCAGATTTCTGGCACGTGACCGCTTACACTTAGTTCTCTTGTCAATAGTTGCAATTGCAGGACATTGCTTCTAATCCGAGTGTGTGTGTTGTATCAATGCTCCTTGATGTCATCTGTAGGCAGCGCTCCACTGCGGTCCGGATACATCGATCGACACCGAAGGCGGTTTACTACTGCGGTCCGGATAACACTCAATACAGTGAATGACTGTCGGCATCTACAAACACTCGTGCCGAGACAGACATCATCGTGCTATACACTAGTATAGCTTTAGCAAGTCACTCAGGACTTTGATTGTGCCACGTTACCCACTGGACGGAGTGTTCATGGCGGTTAGTCGGAACTTGTCCGAAAGCAGCTCCACAATCTATCTCAGCGAAACCAAATGTAAAGAGTGTCAGCAGTCGCACTCCTGGAACCAGTTTGGGTGCTTCCGGTTGATTTCGGTGAGATCAACTGGCAAGATCTTGTTTGGTATGTTTTGATTGAAAGTAACCAGAAGGTTGAGTTCTGGTAGGTTTTGACTGACCACCCTGAACACTCTGTTCAGAGGCTTTGTGGCACATCCATAACACATTGGTATGAGAGTGGTGTCAGATACAACTCTCCTAATACAGCATGAGTGTTTGTAGTGCTGCTGCTTGATGCTCTTGATGTCATCTGGACCATGATGAGACTATCACCTACAGATGACAAGAAGTACTGGACCACAGGTGTTTAGACACTGCCTTCAGTAAATGACTGGACTGCAGGTGTTGAGCAACACCACCTACAGTGGTGAACTGGACTGCAAGTGTTTGGGGAACACCACCTACAGTTGACTTCTGACAGTGATACAACACACACATTCAAGATGTTGTTGCAAAGCCCTGCTATTGCAATGATATGTAACTAAGAGTCAAGTAACGAGTAGTAAGATATAGAGTAGAGTGGATGAGGATCCACTTGTATGCTTTATGGTGAAATGAGAGTATTTATGTGTTTGCTCAGTGTCACCTGTGACACTTCTCCTGCTCCTTCAGGAAAGGGTTATTGCCCCTTTCTAGCACTACTCTCCTTGAGCTGTGTGCTGGCTCCTCTAGTGTTACTCTTCTGCTGCCTGGACAGTGTGTTGGATTATTCAACACTGCCCCTTAACCTCTATGTTTTTTATGCCTGGTGATACATGCCAACCCCTTTGGCACTGCTCTTCTGCCTTATGGTCAAAACCCCAGTCTCCTTGACACAGATCTCCCTCTCCTGACCAGTGACCATCCTTCCATCACCTAT